CATTATTAAAATTAATTCAACAATATTTAGAGACATAATAAAAGGAAAAAATAAATTAAATAATTAAAACTTCGAAACCCGAATGACTCCAAAAACCGCCAAAAACTCCCTGCCGGTTGCTAACTTTGCGGCTGTTGCGCGTGATCAAGGAGGTGCTCGGCTGCTTCGGTGGTGCGGCGTGACCAGGAAGGAGGAGAAGAGGAAGAAGGCGTTGCTGCGGCAAGGATGATGGCTTCGAAGGTGAGTTCGGTGATGATGGCGGTCGATGGTGATGATGCTGCCGGCTAGGAGAGGAGAAAGCTGCCGGTGAAGGAGGAGGGAGTTTGGCGGTGATGTGATTGTGAAGCTTAAAGCTGCTGCTGCGCAAATGGTGGTGCGGCGGGTGAGCAAGATGGGCAGAGATGGAGGTTCGGTGAAGGTGAAAGAGGGCGGTGGTGGTTTTGCTGCGTGAAGGAGGAGAAGAGGTAGTTGCAGCGGCCGGAAGCGAGAAGGTCGGCGGGGGATAATTTTGAGCCGTGAGGTTTTCGGTCAGTTTTCGGTCCAGTTTTGTTGTAAAAATAAATCTCTAATCCTCCTTTTATAAGCTTCCGGCTAAACCTTACTTCTTGAAGAGCAAGAAAACTTGTTTCCCAAATAATATCGGGATTAAAATTCTTATCCAATTCCAATCCGAAATCAGCCGCACCATAAGCTTCTCAGTCAATTTTCCAAAAACAAGAATTCTAAAATTGCATCATTGGCCCTCCAATTCTCTAAACTCATTAATTTCTTCCCCATCAATTGCTCCAATCTTCAATTCTTTCCCATTGAGTTGCTTTTAATTCGATTTTAGCTCAAAACTTCAACAATTCTTCATTTGAGTACAATTCCTACAATTAAAGATAAAATCACATAAATAACATATTTGTACTCAAAATATATTGCAAAAATCACAAATTAGGGATATAATAAATAGGTAAAATATAAGTATATCATTGAACTCAAATCACATACATCTCAAGTCATACAAGGCATAAATTATGAGAATGAACATATATCCTCCATCTACTTAAGAACTATGCATTATGAACACACATAATTAAGGATAAACACCATTTATGAGAATATAAAGCACAAGTAAAGATTAAGAGATTATGGAAAGCTTACCTTTTCCAAGTAGAAACCAAACCAAAACTCCAATCATCTTCACAATTCCAAAACTCCATAGGAGAGTGAGAGAATTGATATTTCTCCCTAATCATGAACCTTGAACAAAAGCCCTTGGCTAATTTCCAAGCCCCTTGATTAGTTACATACCAAAAAAAACTTAGTTTAAATCACAGAATATAAACCCTAGTTTAGAACTATGAAATGGTAAAGTGAACAAAGAGGAAATGTACTAAGAAGAGTTCTAAGATTAAGCTAAGAGAGGAGAGTCCCTTCTAATTTGGTACAAAATGAGTATTTATAGGGAAATGGACGGATGGACTAAAATGAATAAGTAGAGAATTAGTTAGGCTGAATTGGAATTTCTTCAAAGTTGGAAGTCGGACTTATGCTACGCATTTGCATGACACTTCTGGGCAGATTTGAACTAACATTGATGTTTCTGAAACTTCAGACCTTCGCTCCAGATGACAAGGGAAGGAGGGATTGAGTTTGTAATTTATGAAAATTTCTTTCTTCTTCCATTCGACTGAAAATTGCACCACCGCCGCTTCCCGTTCGATTTCGCCGGCCTCCACGCATTTAACCTAGATCCCGCCATCGATTGCATCTCAACGTGGCACTGAAATCTTCCTACCATCATCCAAAACAGAAACCTGGGATTGGATTCTCAATTATTGGTCCTGATTTCCTCCCTTGGCTGTAGACGCAATTCCCCTTTTCTCGCCGGGAAACTCCCATTTTCGCCGCCGATTTGAGTTGATTTCTCCCATAAAATTACTGCCAATCGACTCCTCCCTGCTCAGGTCACATTTTCCCCAGAATTTCCATGGTTCTTAGATTGAATTTCAGCCGAAATTAAGGACGGTTTATGGCTGCCAGTTCAAGTGTTTGATGAAATTCCAGATTTCCAGCCTGAGTAACAATTTTCATTGCAGTTTTCCGCTCACTTTCAGCACGAATTTGGAGTTAATGACTGAAGAGAATTTGTAGCTGGCTTTCTGATCTTCACAATGATATAAGGAACATCCCAATCCGAGCTATAGACATCCAGTTATGGCCGCTGGAACAAAGCTTATTTTCTCAGATTTTCTGGAACCTTTCTGGACAGTTCTGATGAAAGGAATTCAACTGCATTTTTTATCCCTTTATCATCTGAATTTGAAGAAGTATTGAACATGACAGTTGTAGCGCTCTCTTTCAGCTTCGTATACATATAAAGAAATCACCAATCAGAGCTACGAATTTGCAGTTAGAGCCTCCAGAAAATGACTTGTTACTGAAATTCTGCAATTCTTTTTCTTCAGTTCTGACACATGAATTTAAACTGCAGATTTGATCATCAAAATGCCAGAATTTGCAGAATCTTTCTTCATGACAGTTGTAGAGCACACTTAGGGCTTTGCAACTACATCAAGAACTTTCAATTCCAAGCAACGGATCTCAAGTTATGGTCTCTGGAAATTGAATACTGGTCATTGTCCAACACAAGTGCATTCTTGGCACTTTTGATTGGTTTTCTCCATTTTCATGCTATTTAGCCACTCTACAACGATGAACCACAAACAAATGAGAATTGTGCTCTTATTAGAATTGAAACCATCTAGATTAGTCCTAAATATGAGTAAAAGATGTGTGAAATCACACATAAATACATGTATATTTGATTCACATCACTCTCAGCAGACACCACCAAAAAACACATCAGATTTCAATTGATTAAGAACCAAACTAGAAGTAGTCAAAAATACCTTTAACACCTCCATAATATTCTGAATGGTGTACTTATCAACCTGACAAAACACCATCAAATCATCTGCGAAACAGATATTTGTTAGTTTCATGGACGTACATTGGGGATAAAATTTCAACAGGGGATCAGAAGCAGCCTGCTTTATTTGCCTTGTAACATACTCCATTATCATGACAAACAACAACAGCGACATAGGGTCACCTCGTCGAAGCCCTCGTTGCCCTCGAAAATGACCATAGTTCTCCCCATTTAATCCAACTATATAAGAAGTAGTTTTCACACACTCCATAATCAGTTGAATAAATCTAGCAGAAAATTTTTAACCCTTCAAAACTTCTTCCAAGAAATCCCATTCCACAGAGTCGTACGCTTTCTTAATATCAATTTTAAATAAACACCTCCCACTTATGTTCTTCCTACCATAAAGTCTTATAAGCTCTTGTGTCAACAATACATTATGCAAAATGAGCCTGTTTCTCACGAAAGCACTTTGATTAGAGTCAATAATCTCAGGCAGCACGGTCTTAAGTCCACTACTGATTATCTTAGAAATGGCCTTATACACTACATTACAATAGGCTATAGGAATTAAAGCAAGAGTGGTGGCGTTTACCTGCTTCAGCAGCTTACCATTCTCAAAGAACTCTTTTACAGCTTTAACCACATCAGCACCAACAGTTGGCCAAGCTTTCTTGAAAAAACCTCTACCAAAACCATCCGGTCCCAGGCTTTTATCCCTATGAATCCCTCACAATGCAGCCTTCACTTCCTCAGGACTCACCTCTTTGAGCATGGCAAGTTGTTGCTGCCAGTTCAGCACAGGCCCCATAGCAAAAACTGAAACTTATGTACTTTCCCTGTTACTCTTGCTGCCAAGCTATCCCTGAAAATAGTTAATAAAGTGCTTTTGAATGATCCCCCAATCTCTGATGATCTCACCAGTTGAGCTGACTATGGAGGTGATTCTATTCTTCATAGCTCTAATCCTCATTTAGCATGGAAAAAAGCAATGTTGGCATCTCCTTTCTTTATCCAGTTTTCTTTAGCTTTTTGTGACAAGTAACTCTCAACTGCCTTATTGACCAATAAATACTTCTAGTATAGTTCTCGTTCAAGTCTTTGCAGATGATCATCTCCTAGTTTAGCATGGACTTGTTCTTGAGCATTACTCAGTTGTTCGTCCACCTCCTGAGCCTGAATCTAAATATCTGCAAACTGGTCTCTATTCCACTGGCGTAATACAGGCTTCAGCTTTTTAAGCTTCTTCATTAGTTGGAACATGCTGGTGCCTTGTACTTCTTCTCTCCACATTTCTGCCACAATCCTGTTAAAATTCTCCGACAAACACCACATATTGAAAAACTTAAAGGGTTTGCATAGCTTCCTAGACTCACCATATACCTAGCCTGTATGTGCAATGGATTGTGATCAGACACACCTTCAGGTAGAACTGTTACTAATGAGTTTGAAAACTTCATTATCCAATCTCCATTTACCAACACTTCTATTCTGGAATTAATACACCGTGCTCCTACTTGTTTGTTGGTCCAAGTATACTTATATGCCTCTTGCTTTAAATCCTTTAAGCCACACTCTTCCACGCATCTTTGAAAACCCTAAGTTTCAGCCACTATCACTCTATTACCCCCGGATCTTTCATCTACTTTTAATACATTGTTGTAATCCCCTACCGCTAACCAAGGCAGCGTAATATTAGAAGCCAACCCTATCATATCTTCCATTAAAATATCCCTCTCAGTACTTTTATTTGAGCCATAAACTGAAGTAAAGCAGATTCTGTCACCATTACTAAGAAATTCCACAAGACCATGCACCATCTGATCAGAAGAATGCAATACATCTAACTTTACCATATTAGGGTTCCAAATAAGACAATTCCTACCCCGTATACTTCCATGATAATTAAAAAAGTACTTATAACCCTGCCAATGCCTTTTCATAAATTCTTCTACCCCAACAGAAGCTATTTTTGCTTCTACAATACATATAACATTAATTTGTAAACTAGAACATAGTTTCTTTACCTCCATTTGCTTTAAGGGGTTGTTTAGACCCCTTATATTCCAGTGTAAGATAGTTGTCATTGAGAAAAAGTATCAGAATCAAGCTGCCTTAATGTCCCAATAATCACCTCCTTCACTGATTGACCAACATCTCTATCTCCATTTGCAACTCGCAAGGTGATATCCTGTATAGTTTCCTCTTCCAATGCTGACAACACCTGAAAATTAGAGCTCGATTACCACTTCCTTTCTGATAAATCTTTGTCTAGGTTCCATCACTCCTCCTTAGTGGCCCTGGCTCTGATGATCCTGTATTATCAACTCTGAAACTTGCTGACCTTTATTATGTTCAGTCTCCTGCTGCTTTCCTCTCTTCACCACTCCATTCATAAACATATGCTTCCTTCTTTTTCTGAACATCAATTTCACTTGCCTTACTAATCTTCACAGCCATGTTCTTCTTACAATCCTCACTCCCATGTCCATAGTTGTTGCAATGCTCACGCTGAGTAGGTCTCCACTCATAGAACACGGCATGTTCCTTAACCATGCCACATTCATCAACAAACTGTGTAACTATTGGTGGTTTATCTTGTATCTCTACATCTACCAACACCCTGGCATAAGCTACTCTGTCTTTGTAGGTAGTAGGCTTATCTGCAACAAGTGGTTTCCCCAACGTACAAGCAGTTTGGCTTAATGTATCTGGATTCCAATATTTCAATTCTAATATGTGAAATTGTAACCACACCGGCACATGCTTCACCTCCTTGTGATTCAATCCTTTTTCATCTGTCCAAGGGTTAACTACAATTGGATTTGGCCCCAAATGATACATAGGGGTTTTCAAAGCCTCATTCCTAGCATCTATTGATTCAACTCGAATTAAGAACAGACCAGAAGTAAGAAAAAGTACCTTCTCCACCCCAGATTCTTCCAGAATTGTTTGTAAGATCGTTCCATTACTTTAATCGGTGGGTTTGCTCCCAACACAAAGCTCACCACCGACTGCTTCCAATACTCTGCTTCTAGCTCGACCGCCTTTTTTCGCACCATTGCTATCTTCCTTCCTTCAAACTCCTCCGATGGAACATATGACAGCGAAACCCCCACCTTCTTCATCTGCTTTGGATCAAACTTGTTCCAGACAGTGGGTGCCTTCTGCAAATCCCCTTCCTTATCAGTAGACCAATCAAGCTTCCTCGACGTTTGAACACCAAGAATCTGACTGAGAGTTGTAGCATGCATATCAATAACCACCGTCATCCCAAATCTAGACGATTCCCCTTTTTCCTGAGATACTACTTCTTTCGCCATCATCATGACACTCTTCTCACCTTTCGAATCTGTAGATATTGTACATATTGTATATACTGATTAGGACTTAGTTGTAAATTTGTAAAGTTCTACTTGTCTGAATGTATATAAAGTCCAACTAGAAGGGTAGAATTGTAAAGTTAGTATAGTTTTTTTTTTTTGGACACATTAAATATCTGTATCTTTGTACAAATTTACACACAATTAATACAACTCAGTTTTTCATACAAAAATACACAATCACACACAGTTCATGAATGTTCTTGATCGATTTCTTCTTATTTTGATTCTGTATTTTGTAGATGGTATCAGAGCAAGACTAGATCTTGCTCCGTGCCAGTCTGCACCACATTTTGATCCGAAAATTATACCAGAAAACTCAACCAAATTGAAAACCCTAGATTGTTCGATTGAAATCTAAAAGATGGAATTCCAATGAGATGAAGACCGTAGAGATTGAGACAATGGTGAAGAAAGAATGATGAACTACGGTTGAGGAGGCTACATACATCCACTGTTCTTACATCCATCGGATAATTCATCCATGGTGGTGGTGGAGAACAAACTCACAGATAGGAATTTCGTTTCCTGGAGTCACAATATGAAGCGATTCTTAGGAACGAAGAACAAGATTGGCTTTATCAATGGTAATGTACAAGAACCAGACAATAATCATCCAGATAATGAGCAATGGCATCGAGTCAATGGGACGGTGGTTTCATGGATAATGAATTCAATTTCTGAAGAACTGGTGGATAATTTTGATTTGGCAACAGATGCAAAGGAGCTTTGGGACGAATTGCATGAAAGGTATGGAATCAGCAACGCGCCACAAATTTATCATCTTAGAAGAGATGTGGCCACAATCATCCAAGGTAATCTCACTCTGGCTTCTTATTACTCAAAATTGAAGAGGCTTTGGGATGAATTAAACTGTCTAGATCCTGTTGAATATTGCAATTGTAATTTTAGCAAGAATTTAACTCGGAAAAACAGACATAAATTGATGGAGTTTTTGAGTGGATTGAATGATGTTTATAGTGGTGCTAGAGATCATATTCTCATGATAGATCCATTGGCGGATGTTAAGAAGGCTTACTCTATGCTAATTAATGTGGAAAAGCAATAAGCATTGCAAAACTTTTATGTTGAACCATCAGATCAGAGTGCCATAATGGTACAAAGGAAAGGAATAGGATTTGGATCACAGTATTCTGAAAATACTTCTGGTTATAAGAATCAAAATAACTGAGTGACAGGATATGGAAATAATAATGCATACAAAGGATCATACAGTACAGGCAAGGAGAACAGTTTTAGAATTGATAAAGCTTTAAAAAAGTTCCAAAAGTGTCATCATTGGGGAGAAATAAGTCACTTGAAGGATGGCTGCTTTAAACTGATTGGCTTTCCAGATTGGTGGGAAGGTCTCAAGGAAAGAAGACAAGCATTAGGGCCAAGGAACTAAGCAAACATGACTGAAACACCATTGGATTTTGAAAAGGAAGGACAACCAAATACAGAACAACTCATGAACATGATGAAGATGATGCAACAGGAGGTATCAAAGATGATGAAGAGAAAAGGACCAGCATCAGAAGGAGAGAGGATCAATTTTGCCCACTATAATGATTTCTCAGGTATAAATACTTATCATGCTTTGAGTGCTCTTGATTTAACTGATTGTGAATTACCATTACTTTGGTTCTTGGATACTGGAGCCACAGGGCATATGGCTGCTTTCCTAAAACTGTTAGCTTATTATAGATCAGTAACACACTTTACACCAGTAACACACTTTACACCAGTTACATTACCTGATGGAACTGTTAAATCAGTAGAGCATATAGGCACTGCCAAATTATCTCCAAACCTAGAAATCGCAGACTGTTTGCACATACCTTCCTTCAAATATTATCTGTTATCCGTAAATAAACTAGTAGTGTCATCTAAAATCGACTGCTTCTTCTCCACTTCCTTCTGTCTGTTGCAGGACCAGGTGACTAGAAAGTTGGTTCCTGTAGAAAGGGTCCTCACCAGACTTTGTGTTAGACACCAATTCTTTTGTTGATTCAACCATCACTACTTTCATCCAAAACCACATCAATCATCCTTTCATCACTCACATTTGCACAGGATCAATTCATCACTCCAATCTAGCTGCTGAAAGTACTTCTTCAAAATGGCATAAAAGATTAGGCCATGTTTCCAATAATGTACTTAGCAGACTAGGTTTAGTTTCTGGAAGTTTAGATAATGATACAGTTTGTAATATCTTCCCTCTTTCTAAATAACAAAGATTACTGTTTCCTACTAGTTGTATACAAACTACTACTTCTTTTGAGTTGATTCATACAGATCTTTGGGGGCCTTATAAGGTCAAGTCTTTAAGTGGTGCATATTATTTCTTAATAGTGGTGGATGATTATACAAGAACCACCTGAACTTCCTTTATGAATTCTAAAGCAAACACTACCATGCTTCTTAGAAACTTTGTTAAGATGATCCAAACTCAATTTGGCAAGATCATTAAGACCATCAGATCAGATAATGGATCAGAATTTCTTTCTTCTGATTCTCAAAACCTGTTTTTAGAATTTGGAATATTGCATCAACATTCATGTGTTTACACACCCCAACAAAATGGAGTGGTAGAAAGAAAACACAAATGCCTCTTAGAAATAGCCAGAGCCTTGCTTTTCCAATCCAAACTTCCTAAAACTTTTTGGGGAGGATACAATTCTTACAGCCATATACTTGATAAACAGATTGCCTTCTACTTTACTTGGGTGGAAAACACCTTTTGAATTACTCTTTTCAAAGCCACCAGATTACTCACATTTAAGGATTTTTGGATATCCGTGTTATGCAACTAACACAACTCCACACAAAGATAAACTAGATCCTAGAGCTTATAGATCAGTGTTTATTGGGTATCCAATGAGTCAAAAGGGATATAAATTGTATGATTTGGATCATAAAATAGTGCTTGTTTCCAGGGATGTTGTTTTCCATGAAACAATTTTCCCATTCCAATCCATAAAACCATCTATTAGTAGTTCACAAATACAGTCTTCTTCCTCATATGACTTTTCTTATTTAGACTGGGATCTTTTACCCTCTGATATACCAACACCATTATCTATTCCAACCTCTTCCTCTATAGAAATACCCCTTTCTGATCACCAAAACTTTGATTCTGATCCTACACTTGAATCCTCACCATCAATACAATTGGTAAGAAGATCCACTAGACAACCTAAACCACCTGTTTGGATGGGATTTTGACATGGGAAACCTAGTTACAGAACCTGATTCAGTCTCAATACCTATTCCTACTTCATCACCATATACTCTCAACACTTATCCATATCATATATCACCTTTGTTCACCCTTAGTCATATGTCTTTCTTGGCTCATATCAGTAATTTCAAAGAACCTAAGTGCTTTTCACCGGCTCAGTTTCATCCTGAGTGGATTAAAGCAATACAGTTGGAGTTGGAGGCCTTGGAGAATAACCATACCTGGACATTGACTACTTTACCACCTGGAAAAACAGCAATTGGTAGCAAGTGGGTTTATAAGATCAAACACCACTCTGATGGCTCAACTGATAGATATAAAGCCAGGTTGGTGGCTAAAGGCTGTAATCAGATAGAAGGGGAAGACTTCTTTGATTGTTTCACTCTAGTGGCTAAGGTCGTTACAGTAAGATTGTTGTTGGCCATAGCAGCAGCTAAAGGATGGGCTTTACATCAGATGGACATCAATAATGCCTTCCTGCATGGGCATTTAGAAGAGGAGGTTTATATGACTCCACCAGAAGGTTATGACAAAGCTTTACCTGGGCAAGTTTGTAAGTTGAATAGATCTTTGTATGGTCTGAAACAGACTTCCAGACAATGAAATCTGGAATTCACTACTCAAATTCAGAGATATGGATTTAAACATTCAATGAATGATCCTTGTTTGTTTACAGGGACTTTGAAAGGGCATTTTATTGCCTTAATTGTATATGTGGATGATATCATCATCACAGGATCAAGTGAAGAAGTTATTTCTAAGGTAAAACAGTACTTGGATGCAAAATTTACAATCAAAGAGTTGGGATTTGCTAAGTATTTCCTTGGTATTGAATTAGCAAAATCTTCTGATGGGTTGTACATCAATCAGAGAAAATATATTCTTGATATTCTACAAGAAGCTGGACTGGTGAGATACAAAGCTACTACAACACCCTTGCCAAAGGGCCATCAGTTTTCAGATACTCCTGGACCAGCTTTACCAGACTCTTCTAGGTATAGAAAATTGATTGACCAGCTCCTTTACTTGCATTTTACCAAGCCTGATATCGCTTTTGTTGTGCAGCAGCTTAGCAAGTATGTTCATAAACCTTGTGAAGAGCATTGGACACTCTTGATCCATGTATTGAAGTACTTGAAGGGAACTGTCTCACTTGGCTTGTTCTATCCTGCGACTAACTCATTCCAGGTTGAAAGTTTTAGTGATTCTGATTGGAGATCAAACCGTAACTACAAGAAGTTAGTCACAGATTTCTGTATCTTTCTTGGAAGCAAGTCTTCGCCGTTTCTCTAGAGTACTTCTCTGCTCAATGCAAGCTAGATCGAAAACTCGCCGATAATTCTTTATAAAACCAATGACTTTATCGTCATAATTGGGTTCCACACTAATGAACCGTATCCAAATATCCAAAACACCATCTTTTATGAGCTAATCTCTGCCCAAAAGAAAATCTGACAGGTATATTGTTAATGTGGAATTCCCAAGTCAGAAACACACTCAAAAATTATGAAATGAGACTTGGCTCCAGAATTAAATGATGAATCCAATCGACTTGTGCACACAATTTTTTTTGATCAAATGGTATACTGGATTATTGAAGAACGACATCATCCTATGCTATTACTACGTATTATTATAGGCCATGAAGACCTTTTATTTATAGGGAGAAAATATAGTCGGCAAAATGAACTTCCTAATTGGAAAATAGAAACCACATAGTACTACGTCAAATTTTCTCAATAAATTTATTTTAGGGAGAAAATATAGTTATATAATTTACACGTCATCCTCTTCGTCAGTCTTCGATTTCGCCTAAAAATCACCCTAACAAAAACAAACGAAGGATTCTGCGAAACTTGGGAAGAGAAGGAAAAAAAAAAAAAGATTATGAGCTTTCTTGCAGGAAGGTTAGCTAGCACAGAAGGTGCATATTTCTTGCAGGAATCAAAGCAAGCCGTGACCAAAATCGTTGAGAAAACAAAGCCAAAGCTTCCTCCTTTATCATCATCAAATGCAATTCAGAATGAAGTTGCCGCCTCCTCATCATCATCATCATCAGCTGATGTTCTTCCTGAGGTTTTAAAGCATTCTCTGCCTCCTAAGATCTTTCAGTCTTCATCAATTCCCAATAATTCATCATCTTTCACCACATCATCCAAATGGGTTCTTCACACTGATCCTACCAAGACCAATTTTGTGTCCTCTGATGCTCTCAATCCTCTCAGAGCCTATGTTTCTCTTCCCCAAGTCACCTTAGGTCCCAAAAGGTATTGTAAGAAAAATTTAAAGCTTTTGCTCGCTTTATTCTGATGTCTCTGTTTTCAGCTGAGTTTTTTAATTTTGGCCGCCACCATTTGAATTCATTTCCTTGGGTTCTTTGAATTGAAGGGCTTCGAAATTTGGGATGTTTGAAATCCTTGTATGGTATATTTTACTTCATCAATTTGTGCGGATGCAATTGAGGTCTGGTTGTTATAATTTTGTTTTAATTGCTGAAAACTGATTGGATATAATTTTCTGTGAAAGAGGATCAAACTGTTGGAAGAATAGATTAACTTTGAGGTTTAATGTGAATGTTGATTTAGGTTATTTGATGCATACAACATGATATTCTGTAGGTGAACTGTCTAGTTTCCAGATCATATTTGATACTAATTGAATTTTAAGGGAAAGCGAAAGACTGAATTTATCAGACTTCTCTACTTTATTTCAGAGTGGATAAGATAGTAGAAGAATTTCCAATGCTCCATGTTTGCTCTAGCAGCAGGCACTATATTCTAAAAATTATATTAAGATAAAAGGCTGAGTTTGATGAGATTTGTTGGGAATTCCACTTTTTGTAACATATTCACCTGGTATTTACTTCCATCGAACTGAATATATCTCCGTGCACCCCCTATATCAACAGATTAGTTGTTGGGGTGCTGCTTTCCTGCTGAAGAAGTAGTATATTTTGCAAACTGCAGAGGTGTTGCCTCTTTAATATTTTCAGCTAATCTGTTCTTATTTGGTTGATTTCTAGGTGGCAAAACTCTGTGATTTTTGTCTGCTACAACTAATGTAAACATTGCTTTTGCCTTCTTTTTGGACACCTAAAAAGTTCTTGAAGTTCTGTAACCTACATCTACATTCTTAGTATACAGGAAAAAATGCATGTATTACTGATTTCTAGTCAAGTTTGATGTTTCGTTGCTTGCCTTTTTCTGGGGAGAAACTAAACAAGGTATGATATTAAAGGTTCTTCTTGTTTTGGATGTGTAAAATTCTTGTTCAAAATTGATAATGATAAGCATCTTCCAATTATTATCCATAGTACTGACTTGAAATGATATACAACTGAAAGAGCCTTTCCAAGTTCTTTGGTAATAGTTTGGAATACTTTGCAGTTTTGTTTGATGTTCGAATTTATGATATACAGGTGGCAGCTACCCAATTCACAGCATGGCGTTTTAGCTTCAACAGCAAATGAGCTACGCCAAGACAAATATACACCTGTTAATCCAGAAAAGTTAAAGGCTGCTGCTGCTGGGATATCTCAGAGTAAGACATTTTTTTATTCGCATGTAATTCATTAGTCAAAGTGGAACAAGATTTTTTTAATGATGGCATCGTCTAATCTGGTCAATGTCTCTTTGTGAATCTAAGATTTGATCTTCAGTATAATGTAATACAAAATATTACCCTAGCATACTGGCCCTGCACATTATTGCCATTAAACTTCTTCCATTAGCTTGGCGAACAATGACGCGCAAGAAGTTTGTAGGTTATTTATTAAAAAGGTTGTAAAAGCTTTCAGTGGTCGATGATGCTGCGTGCTTCTCCTCTCAGAGAGATACAGAACCTGGTATCGCTTGTAAAGGATTGCTACTTGATGTTTATTCTGGTTAAGGTTAAGCTGCCCGAAAATCACTCAATCTGTTTATGCTAAGTCACAATAAAATGTAGCGGAGTTGTCCAATGACTTCTTCAACAAAAAGGATTTTGGATAGACTATAGAAAGATGTTGTTGAAGTTGAATGAGCTGGAGACAAGTTTGAGTGAATTATGAATGTAACAAAGAAACAAATAAATATTGGGCGGGGATAATGAGACCACATTTTGGTTGGAGGGAAGTCATGAATCTGTCCTGATCATATACTATGAAATGTGTACTCTCTATGCTTTGATAATATTAAGAATATACGGGGATAATCCCTTTTTACTTAGAGAGCAAAAACATGAGTTCTTGGATGGAAGGCTTTGTCTGCTTATGATAATTGGTTGCTTTCATTTTTGTGATTTGCTTATACCTTCTCTTTCAGTTGGGAAAGCTTTTTTCGCTGCTACTGTTCTAGTATTTGGTGGTGGAATCTTGTCTTTCGAGCTAGCAGCTTCCAAGCTTGAGCTACATAGTGTAAGTGCATAGCTTCTTTTCTTTAAGTAGCACATCAAATCGGGACTGTCTTTGGCCAATTGATCTTAAATGCCTGTGATGTGATTTTCTGATTTGAAAAACTACTTATAGGTTGATTGCCATAACTGTAAATTTGGTTGCTTTTCTGTAACTCTGTTGTGGTGGTGACTTTGACTACTGACATATAATTTGGTAAAGCGTCAAGAATGAGCTAATAACCTACTGAAATTAGGTAATTATATGACAGCTAGGGAACACAATACACAACACACACAAAAAATTTAAAAAAAACAGGAAAGGAAAGAAAAAAGAAAGAGAACCTAATTATTGTGGAAAGGTTCATGCAAGCTATCCTGAAAAGAATCTAGTTTGCATTTTCAGAATGGTTACGGTATACATATTCGTAAAAAGAGTTTATTATAATTTCTTTATTAGGGAGGGATTCACTACCATTGTATGACATGGAATTCCCTTGTTTCATTTTCAACTCAGCAATGTTCTTAATTGAGCGACTACAGTAGATATGCATGAATAAGGTTTTTGTTAAATGGTGAGTGAGGGGTGGGGGTGTATGTTGTGTATGCAAGAGAGAGGTTCATGTTGAATGAGAGGCACGTTTTGACAGACTCTAAAAATTGTGGGTTGCTGCAATTTTCCTGTCTACGCCGGATTCTTCTTCCTTCTACTGGCAAACATGATTTTAATCTCCCTGCTTTACTACCTTTTATGTCTTTTGGACGTATCGGATTGGTGAATTTGCTTATTAGGGTGATGACCTTCGAGCCAAAGGACACAGCTTTGTTCAACCAAGGTTTGAAATGGTTAGGGAGAAACTCACTCCCGTCAGAACCTGGGTATGTTTGACACCTCAGAATCAGATGCTTCAATTCAATCTTTTCTGTTAACTTTTGTTACCCTCTTAGTCTTCTGACTCTAATTTTCAGGCTGAAGGGACATCAAAGAAATGGCAAATCGAGAAGGATAACGAAAAAGTTAAAGAGAAGCCTCTGATCAGGGAGCTTTCTAAAGCATTCGGTGTTAAGACAAATTGATTTCTCATTCAGTCATCATCTCTGATGAGTTTTCTCTTTCAGTGGAGTACTTTAGTTGAGTTTATGAACCGATGTTGCATTTAAGATAGTAAATATGATTGGGAAGACATTGAACTGTGAATTGTCAAACAGGGCTATTGCACTTTTGTGTTTTACCTTTGTTGTAGTCATTTTGTATGATGTATCTAAAGTATTACTCAACTCTTACATGTTCCATGTATAAAATTGCAAAAATGCTTCGTGCATGATCTTTTGTTGAAAAATAGAGGCCATTAATTTGTAATGTTATACTCAACTTCTCATTTCACTCAAGAATGTTTATCGACAATTTCTTGTGTTATTTTCCGCCATTTTTTGAGTAATAATATTTTTTCATTTATCATATTATGAATTCAAATTCTTATCTTGGTTTATTTCTCAATACAATAATACAGTAGTTTTGGATTTTTTGTTATAAAATTAATACTAAACTAGCATATAAAACTAAGTATAAGAACAAGAGAGGAGAGACAAGAGAGTAGAAAGAAATAAGAAACTTGTATTCAGATATATTTTGAAACATGAATGAGCTCCCTATTTATACAAGAAGTAGGAGATCAAACTATGGGAAATGAATCACCTATCATTAATGTTAAATATTACATAATCATATCTCCTTGATTGTGAATAAAATAATACAATTAATATGAACATTCAATCAAATCAGATTTTTTCATAACACTCCCCCTTTGAATGTCCATCGTTGCAGAACAATGCCTCATTAAAACCTTACTAGGAAAAACCCTTTGGGATAAAACCCTAATGAAAGAAAAAGAGTACACTTCCGAATGTGACGCTCTCGTTAAAAACCTTGTCAGGAAAACTCATTGGGACAAAATTTCAATCAGGGGAAAAAGAGTACAGCGTGGTACGCCACTTGTAATCTTCTCGTTACATGCCAAGCTATTGACCAGGTTCATGATTGTTTAAGTCAATAATAGTCAGATTACTTCAACTTCTCATGTAGACGGTTGTCTTCATATACCTGTATAATCTTGAATGTTTTATAATAATGGATATGCATGACCATCGTACCTTGAAGGTATCAATATACAACATCAAAGTCTTGACTAATTGATTAGATAAACCGAAACTTTATATGGTACTTCAGGACCAAATCGATCTATATCATTAATAGAAAGTCAAGAAAAAAGATCTATATGCACATCAAGATTTTAACCAAGTGTGTTTAACGGGTGTTGAATATACAAAGGTCAAACTATTTAGACCAAAATCTTTCATTATCTTTAGTTCAGGCAAGTAGCAACCTTTTGAACTTCCTTAGAAGTGTTCATAACTATGATATAACTCTTCAGGAGTTTTATTTATTTTCAGGCAATTCGAACTTCGTGATAAGTTTCGATAATATTCAGTCTTTTGAAACTCTACAAGAGTTCGGTGCTAACAAAATTGTAAATGCACATATGGCTTATGAATACTCACTCTAGTATTAGTTATCATCCTATCATTCAAATATGATCATAAAAACAGATAGAAAATCATGTTACAGATAAACATAACATATCTAGATAAAAACAAACATAACATATTTATTATATTAAAAAATATGAACCTAAATATCTAGACACATGAAGACACTATAACTTGCGCAAGTCTTTTGAACTAATTTCTCGAGAATTGGGAATCATGTCTCTTTTTTAATACTTCGGGGATTTCATATAGACGTCATTGTTAAATATCAAGTATCACGTATTAACTTGCAGATTTTCATGTTCTGCTCTTACGAGAATTTTGATTTGACAATTGTGGTGAGTATATAACTCAATACCAGAATGATAGAAGTTGAACATTGAGTGCCTGTAAGAGAAACAATGAAGCGGTCCAGTACGTTAATTGCATGTGTTCAATTAAATTAATTACCCCATGTACGATTGAGAAAGTGCTGAAACATAAAAGGCACCAATTATATGCATAAGACCAAACAAGTCATTGTAGATATTCTCCCCAATATTGATTTTCGGTCAGAAACCATACATATCCATCTTTAAATATTAGATGTGCAGTTTATATATTATAATTATTCCGCCACAGTGCTCACAATGATGGAACCTCCTGAAGAGGTTAGAAATATATGTTGAATATTGAATCTCTAATATTTGAGATTATTGATGTTGGATTAACTACTCAAGTATCACGTATTAAGTGATCACTATATTCAAAAAATGCATTTTTTATTTTCATTTGCTACCAGATTAGCAAATAACGGAAGATTTTCCTTTTCATCCACCACAAAATAAATCGGACTTTGGGAAAAACTTGTGCAACAAAGAGGTGGCTCGATAATCTTTTGCACAATCACCCGCCAAAATCTAGCCGGTATATCACTTGCCAAACTTCTAGTTCGCAAGCAATTTCAATTCTAAGTACACATCGTCAAGTGTGTATTGCATCTTTTTATTTGTTGTGGCCAATAAGTTTAATGTCTGTATCTACAACAAACTTTTATTTCATGATCCTTATTTTCATTTACTTTACTACTGTATCATAAGAAATTTTCATGTCGTCATTTTATTGATGATCGATTCCATATTCTTTGGTAATGAGATCTCACAATCCTTAAGTTTCCCAAGTATTCATGCACTTCTTCTGGAAGTTAATTCACCGTAGTGGGAACCTATTCCAGCTCAAAATTCTTATGAATTATAATCACTCGTAATTGTCATCTCTATAAATTTAAACCTTGTCATTTACGAGGATTTTTATCATTTAAAATCTACCACTCATCAAATGGACATTTAATAATTGTAGTAGATGGTCCTACAAGAACATTATTCAAGATTTAGAACTTGACAGCCTTTCGCATGTAATTCAGTAACATGTTTTGGTCAGTTAAACATCTGATTTTAAAAATTATTTCTTGAACTTCATGTTCATGTTATCGAGGATCATCCTGAGATAATTATATTGTCCATCTGATTTATAAAATGGTTGTTTTAAATTCTCCCCCTGATGTTGGGATAATTAACTCGCTAAAACGACGATTAACCAACTAAGCAGTTAATAATCTCCCTTTCGAGAGTAACGAACTCGTCAAACTAATACGATCAGTATATCGAGTAGTTAATCCAACATCAATAATCTCAAATATTAGAGATTCAATATTCAACATATATTTCTGACCTCTTCAGGAGATTCCATCATTGTGAGCACTGTGGCGGAATAATTATAATATATAAACTGCATATCTAATATTTAAAGATGGATATGTATGGTTTCTGACCGAAAATCAATATTGGGGAGAATATCTACAATGACTTGTTTGGTCTTATGCATATAATTGGTGCCTTTTATGTTTCAACACTTTCTCAATCGTACATGTAGTAATTAATTTAATTGAACACATGCAATTAACGTACTGGACCGCTTCATTGTTTCTCTTACAGGCACTCAATGTTCAACTTCTATCATTCTGATATTGAGTTATATACTCACCACAATTGTCAAATCAAAATTCTCGTAGAGCAGAACATGAAAATCTGCAAGTTACCAATTTAACTCCATAATGAAATTTCTGCAAACTTTAGGTTGCAGGTTAACGAGAACCATCTATGTAGCTATCTCATCGACACATCCATTGATACTCTAATTTGTTGGAAGAAACTTTTGGTTCTCCAAATTTAAATCATATAAACTTTATTATTTCGTCTTCTATGGCTTAAGTAGTTATGCCTAATTTTAAAATTTCTCTTCTGGAGAAAATAGTGAGTTAATTATTCAAATATACCAGAATGCTCCATATGAGCGTTTAGTCTGACGGGATATTTTTTATTTAGTTGTTTTCATTTCATTCTACCAAAGTATTCTTGCTCTTTTCAAAACAAATTGTATCGTTGCTCTGCTGGAGACAGCAATGAATTTTCAAATCCAAAATAGTTGTGTTGGTAGAGCAATTTATATCCTTCTTTGATATCTTGGAGAATATAATATATCTCAATGGACTTTTTTCTTCTAATTTTAGGAGCAAAGTTTGTTTACTATTGCTCTTCCAGAGACAATGATGAATTCATTATATTAGCTCTTCGGGAGCAATTATTTGTTTTCACTCTCCGGAGTAATTATACTTTACGAAAGTTTTTATCTATCTTTGTAGAATAATTCAATGGCATATGCTCCACTGGAGCTTTTAATTGATTCGGTGTTTATCATTAACTAGCATCCCCTTCAGGACGATTAATAAAATTCACAATGCCCAGAGAGGTAATATGAGTTGCACTATTTCGCTATAATGCTGCTACTGGAGCATTTTAATATACTAAATATGACAGCATTTCTACTTCAGGAGCAACTTTGATGCATTTACATATTACTACTAGCAATATATTTACTTTCATTACTAAATATGAGCATTATTATGAGCAAAGTAAAATATAAAAGTACAAAGAAAATATGAGAAAGGGATTAACTAATATCAATAAACACGTGATAATACCTTGCAATCTAAATATCAAAGAAATTAATTCTTTAAAGAAAACTTTTTTTTTTCACACATAAATGCTATCTCAATTACATGCAACTTATATAAGTATTATGTATTCACATTATCAACAATCATACATATATATATATATATATATCTTAAGAATTGTATCGTGATTATATGATATGAGTAAATATAATTTATAACAAAAAATATTTTTTCCTTGTATGCAAACCAAATATACATGTTTTATGATTTATTTTTTTCTCCCATCATCATCATTTTGAGTCATTAAATTGAACACCATGATGAACCGTCTCAGTGCGGCTAGAGACTTGTGCACCGGAAAGTTTTTGAGGTCATGGCGCTTTAGATCACGAAAATCTTTTAAAATATTCATTGAAACTTCAGACCGTCAAAATCAATACGCACCATCTTTAGGCGGTGGTAGAATTAAAATATTCATTGAGGCTTCAGGCCTTCAAAATCAATACGCACCAACTTCAGGCGGTGGTAGAAGCTCTTTTGCTAGAGTCTCGTGCTGATAACTGTGTTATAAAATTAATACTAAACTAGCATATGAAACTAAGCATAAGAACAAGAGAGGAGAGACAAGAGAGTAGAGAGAAATAAGAGATTTGTATTCAGATATATTTTGAAGCATGAATGGGCTCCCTATTTATAAAAAAAGTAGGAGATCAAACTATGGGAAATGAATCATCTATCATTAATGCTAAATATTACAGAATCATAGCTCCTTGACTGTGAATAGAATAATACATATTAATATGGACATTCAATCAAATCAGATTTTTCCATAATACTTTTATCATTTTGGTTTTTTTTTTTTTTAAACTTTTTATACTATGATTCTAAGTATAATCTATCTATATACTATACTAAGGCAAAAACCAGAGAGAGAAAACTAAAGGCATGGAGCACATGCCACATAGGATTTAATCCTATGTGGCATTTCTTAATTTCTTAGACTTAAAAATGCACAAAACAAAATAATAAAACCAAAAAAAAAGCAACTAAAATAATTTTTTAAAAAAGCATAATAATAAAAACCAAACCTTTATTTTCATGAACCAAATCCTAACACAGAGATTGATTGGAGAGAGTACCAAATCCTAACAAATTTTAGAGAGATCTGCATAAACCTTATCACCAGTGAATTTAAAATGTTATTTAAAAAAAACAAATTTCTATAAATCCAGAGGTAATCATGTTTAAAACTGAAGTCATTACATATTTTATAAAAATACAAAATTTATGTAAAAATGTCTAAATGTGTATGCCTTCCCTGTCCATCGGACGGGTCTAACACCTAGTAACGTAATATGATAACCCTTAAATGGCCAATTTGTAAAATCAGAAACTTGAGTTACCCCTTCTCCAATTCTCATTTCCCAAAATGCAGTAATTCAAACGAATTTCTTCATCTACTATAGTATCTCTGCCTCTCTCCTTCGCCGCCTCCACTCCGCCAAAATCGCCGGCCGCCTCTCGGCAATTCACTATCCTCTCCTCCCGCCGGTGACCGTGAGTCAACGAGCCAACCCCGTAACTCCGAGCCTACGTCCTACGCTGACCAGTTTGAACCTGAGCTGGGCTTCGCTGGTCATTCTGTGAGTTGTTCTTTCGGAAGGTAGAGACCGAAGGTACTTACTTTTAGGTTTACATTGGTCTATTCTCTGATCTAATTTACCTGTTACTTTCTTTTCCTTCCTTTCACTGCTTCATTGTTTTGATTTTAGGTCTCTGTTGCTGATTTTAGCTTGCTTTTCTTCCTTTTTTTTCATTATTTGTGGTTTGGTTGCCAGAATTTTGTGGTGATTGAATGTGTTGCTGGTTTTTTTTTTTTTTTTTTCAATTGATGTATAAATGGGATTATTGCTGCTGATAAATTTGATGGTGTTTGATGAAAGCTCAACTTTTTGTGACCTTTTTTAGTTGAATACCATTAATTTTAACTTCCTGATCCTATTAGACATGTATGGAGAGATCCCCTGCGATTGGAGTAGTGTCTCGTTAGTTCTTTTATGGGCTTGGATTCAATTTATTATTATTTTTTTGGGATTGGGATTGTAATTTCCATCTGGTTGAGCATACTGTAATTAATGAGCACTGGAATGGGACGTTTTGCTGTTTGTTCTGGAAAACTGTATTGGTAACTATTTCTGGCTTTCCTTTTTACACCTGCTGTGTGAGGAAAGAGTTACAGGGATACTTTCCTTTATGCTGGTATCTATAGGAGCCCTGCATGAGGAAATTGTGCTGATTTTGCATAGAAATTGTAAGTTTAGTTTGATCAAACGGTAACCTGAAAGCTTTCAACTTGACTTGGCCCGAACTGTTTCAAACAGTGTGGATCCGTTTTGGATTACAATCTACATGTTTCGGGCAAGGACAAGTCAGAATTTAGAATGTGAACTCTACCTTTTGATGGAACATTTTAGAACTGCAGCTATTGATTTGTTCTTAGTTCAGTTTTTGGTGATGTATTGTGCACTAGTTTGAAAGGTTTTTTCCCATCTCTTTGCCATGGAGAAGCTGTTACATCTCCAAGTCTATGCTTTGATCTATTGGCATTTCTGCACACATTAGGTGTCTTGTCATTTTCTCCAGATTTCTATTGGGTGTTTTCTCAACTCTGCCAGTGTTCCAAGAATACTGTAGCTGCACTTCTCCTGTGTTCTCCAGTTTGCTCCTCTTTTGCTCTCCACAAACTTCTTCCCTTTCCCCCCCTCCATTTAATGTATCTTTATTTTTTTGTTCTGAAAGTAATTGCTGCATTTCCAAACTAGTTGTCCTAGGACATTGAAGACGAGGTGCTGCAATCAGTGTGCTTAAATTATTAGTGAACTAAGGTGGCTAAAATTTCTTGAAAGTGCTTGAAAGCCTGGAAGGCTGGAACTGATTTATTTGTGTTACTTAATAGGTAATGTCTTCTAAGGGGAATGAAGAACCGCATCAAAACTCAGCAGAAAACAATCAAGCTGGAAACCATGCAACTACCGGGTGGATGGGAATGATGCAACAACAATACCGCCGTATAAAAGAGAATGCAGAAACCTATCCATATGTATGGGGATCTTACATTGTTGTATATGGTGGATTTGGGCTTTGGTTTGCTTACAGATTTAGAAAGCTCCGAAGAACTGAAGACAGAGTCCGGGTTCTTCAAGAGAGACTCCGCAAACTGGTTGAAACTGAGGAATCTGCTGGCGCAAACGTTGCTGAAAAAGCACCCCCCACTCTGGATAAACCCAAAAATTAATTTTTCTCCACATTGAGGTTGAGGTTAACGCTGTGGAAGGATCTTACTCCTATATCTTGATCGCTTGGACAATATTTTGAGTAAAGCTGCGGAAATTCTACTCCAGATTTTGCTGTACTAACACGGAGAAGTTGACACTTGATGTTAGTTTATGTAAAAATGAGATAGCAATAATCATTTTCAGATTTTCAATCTGTAAGATGATATTTAGCAAACCGAAACTCCCAAATCTTGCTCATTGCAGTGTATACGGCATATAATTCAGTTCAGCCATGCAAGTGTGACATCAAAAGTAACCACAAACCTGTGCATCCAGGTGATGTTTTGCGTATCTGGAAGAATTCGGAATTATCTCACTCCCCTTTTTCTTGAATCTTTTTTGAATGATTGGTAAACACATGAACCGTTACCGAACTGGAACAAGTTCAAGCTAGAATTTCAGCAAAGGTAATCTCCGGCTTCATTGCTCAATGTTGGTCTTTTAAAGTTGACAGTGGCAAAAAAAAAAAAAGGACCATTTTTTAAATTGTGGATTATAGAACTACATTTTCATTCATCAGCATGAAATTCAAATTAGCTTGTGTTCTTTTCCCCACTGAAAAGGGTTATTTTCTCATAAGGTACAGGTATCAAACCAGTGTGGATGACAAAATTAAAGGACTGGTTGAATCAAAATTAAATTCTACAGTAAAGGGTGAAATTCAGGGGCAAAAACAGCATTAGTTATTCTCTCCCATTTATTTCATGTTTATTAAGTGTTTATGACTATAAAGATTTACACTCGGTCTATCTTTCTTGCAAGGTGCTATTTGAAATATAATTGAATTTTCTCCCATTTTTTCATGTTTATTAAGTAATGTTTTCATGTTTATTTTCTGCTTTATTATATGGACAATTCTTATTTTAACCTGCACCCCCATTATTTTCTGTATCAGTTTGACCACTAACTTCTGAAAAATCCATAGCTGGCTACCAAAAAAAAAAAAAGGAACTGTACTAGAAAAAAATGGGTTTCTTAAATGGGTTTTAAGACTAAAGAAATACTCCACTGACATTTCGTTCTCAGAACACAAACACACTGTAAAGCTTTGAATTTTTGCTCCAAAATCTCTTTTGTTGTAAAAACTCGAAAAAAATGGCGGCTTGGGCTTCATCTTCTTCTTCTTCCTTAGCTAATTATTCATCATCAACATCGATTCTTCCTCGTACTGCGTCGAAAACCTCCTGTCCCTTTAATTCCCATCAACATCGGCCAGTCACCTCGGTTTCTCTCCTTCCTTACCATCGCCCATCAACCTCGTCATTATCATGGGCTCAAAAAGGTCAACGCTCGCTCCCATTTCTATTCTCTATTTATCAAAATCAAAAGAAAAATCATCAACCCATTTCGCTTTTTGTTTTTTTTTCTTTTTCACTTGACTTTAACTTTGTTGTTGTTGTTGTAGAAGTTGGAATTCGGATTGGGTGGAATATTGGGGAGGAGAAGGCATGCTTGGCTTCGGCTCTGCGAACTTCAGCAGTTCGCCAATTGACTGGTTCCCTCACCAGTGCTGAGGGTCTCCGTTTTGGCATTGTTAGCAATCTCAACTCATTTCTCCATTGACGTTTGTGTTTTTGGTGCTCATTTTTTTTTTTTTTTTTGTCTTCACATTAATGCGGAATCAGAACTGGTGAAATGAAGTGAGAAAGCAGTTACTGCCTTTGCTTTATTTTTGAATTGGCTTCCTTTTGGGATCAATTGATCTTTACTTTTGGAAAATATAGTGGGATTACGAGAGTCTTCAGTTAAAACTAGTACTGTTTTTGTGCTTTTGGAAATTTTTTGAAGAAATAGTTGGAATTTATGTATTTAATTTTTTTTTTTTTTTGAAGAACTGGTGCAGAGCTGTTAGAAGAGAAAAGACTCTGGGCATAAAAGAATTCCGTTATGATTTTGCTTAATGTTTTTTTTCCTTAAAATTAAGTTGAATATGGTCTTGATTTGTTCAAGTTGGGATTGAAGAGTTTCTCATTACTATTTGTATACCAAGTTGACCGTCCTTGGGGGAATTCATTCTAGTCTGATCTCACTTATATTGGCAGAAATGACCTTTATGACTTAACTCACTCTGGAGTTTGAGTTTTTCGCTTGACTATAGGGCTATGATTCAACATTTTTTTTCCCTGTAACCACATGTGATTCTGATTCCGGAAGAAATTCTTTTTATGCATTCATTTCATGGTATGTTATCTTCCCATGCATGTTTCAATCGCTTCTAATTGTTGTCAATGATGCATTTACTATCTTTTGGTGCGAAGGTAGTAGCCCGTTTCAATGAAATTGTAACTAAGCCGCTGCTTGAGGGAGCTTTGGACACTTTCAAGAAGTACTCAGTCAAAGAAGAGGATGTCGATGTAAGTGCCTTTGTGGGATTCTTTTCCTCTATCTTCTTAATTTTTATCCAAAAAAAATCATTTTCAATTGAGTCTTAATGTCTTTCACTCATTCATGTAGTATAAGCAATCATATGTCCTGCTTCTGTCTTTTCCCTTCCCATAACTGCATACAGGAAACAAGTTTTACAGTTTTGAGTTTCAAAGCTACACCTCTATGTTATAAATTGGAATGGTTTAGTTTCGGATGTTTGGTGATTGGAATCTCACTTAGGCATTCCTTTAATCAGTAAACTGGCTTTGATATCTGATGGATCAACATAGATGCAGAATCCTGTTTAGTTCTTGTCTCCTTAATTCTTGTATGCACAACTCCTTAGAACAATGATTGGGGTGACCTCACCGGGTAAATACATTAACCATGAAGGCAGTGTATGTATTGTCCGACATTCTATGCATTTCATAGATCAACCCATCTCGATTTAATGTTTTCTAGTTGGTAATTTGAAACTAGATTTTCTGAATGAGGAGAATTCTTTTTCTTCGGCTTCATTGTCGTACCCTTAGGAAGTAAAGAAACACTCTTTTCCATATTTGCATAAACATTCATTTTAAGGTAAGTTATAATTTTGAATGTTAAACATTCATAAACATTCATTCTTGTCTCCTTAAACATTCATAAACATTCATCAACAACTTCTTTTGAATGTTATAATTTTCCTTTCAGGTTGTGTGGGTTCCTGGCAGTTTTGAAATTGGTGTAGTTGCGGAGAGACTTGGTCGGTCAAAAAAGTATGATGCAATTGTATGCATTGGAGCCGTGGTAAGCACCCAATTTTTCACTATTCAGCTGGACAACTCTGTGACAGAAGATCAGTTATCCCTATCCTTTTCTCCCAAAGACCTTCTGTCATTTCATTTCTTTGTTAAACAGTTCTTGTGGATGGATCTTATGCCCTGACAGGTTAAATAGATGACTGACAAATGCTATGTTTCAAATGCTGCTTAGTCTTTTGTCAGTCACCTACTTAGTGTCTGGGTAAAAACCTCCTCCCCCCTCCTCCCCACCAAAATAAAATAAAAAACCTCTAGGAATAAGTGGTTTGCTGTTATTTCTTTTTTGACTTTCCGTTGATACTCCCTTTCTGTTCACGAACAGGTTCGAGGTGATACCACACATTATGATGCGGTGGCTAATTCAGCTGCATCTGGAGTGCTTTCTGCTGGCATGAATTCAGGTAGTTATCATTCATCGACTTATTATAATTGCAATTGCTGTGGTTTCTCTGCATGCACTAATTTGGTACCACTAATATGCTCATGTTAGAATTATGTCATCAGTTTATTTTCAAAAGCGAAAGAATGATAGAAAAAGCTTATAATTTTGTGCTTGGTATACTAAAGAACTGATTTGTTTGTTGTAATGGTGGAGAGGTCTTGCAACATCGTCAACCTCAGTTTAACTGTTGAAAGATTTAATTGGACAATTGTGATTTGAAGAGTATGAAGTTACATTATCATATCTAGGATATTCAAAATGGATTGCGTAATGTAAAGTCAAGTGTGCTTTTATTTTTGGCCTCTGATTGTTCGCGCTAAGGGTTTGTGGCTGCTGCTCTAGTTGTTTTAAGAAATTTTCAAAGATGTTGAAGCTTACTACTAGGTGTAGACACAAGCTTTTGCCCAGTATAACGTTGATTTGTTTCACTCACCAAAATGTATCCAGCACTTATTATATTGCTTTGCCTCTAGAAACTGAGATTGGTTTATGTGGATTCTGACTCTGGGCCTACAATACTTGCAGGTGTCCCTTGTATATTTGGTGTTCTTACTTGTGATAATATGGACCAGGTAGATCCCTGAAAAGATTTGCTTTTCCTTTCATAGCCTTCTATTGCTTTTTCCACATTGGATAAGACACTATGAATTGTAGCTTTCTAATTTGTTACTATTGATCATTATTTTTGCTGATTCAAGTTTGATGACCCGCAAAGTACTTCCTAGAAGCACCCATCCTTTACTTTTGGACGAGTTGAGTAATATTGTTTTTGAACAAGAGCTGTCCGTTTTCCCAGAATGAAACTAGGCTGGTGTGCTATCATGAAAATGCTCTATTCAGTCGTGTGTCCTTCTGGGATTAGGCAATTTGTGGAATTAGTATATACATTAATCTGTCTGGAGGGTATGGTCTTAGAAGTAAGAGTAGCTCTTAAACTAAAGCACAAGAGGACGTGAAGGGAAAACGAATTCAAAGCGGGGTCATCTGCCTTAAACTAATTTGTCGACATAGTTGAAAATCGTTTGTCTTTGCTCGTAAAGAACACACCCCATCTGTTTGATTAACTGATGCTAAATTCCTCATTCAGACATTAGTGATGGCCGCTATTCCTCTTTATGCATAGATAAGATATCTCTGCCATATTGAAAATCTGGGTTTCTGATCTCTATGTAAAACTGAGCAGCCAAGTTTTGAAGGAGTTGGGATGGCTGCTCATGCTGCTCTACTGGTAATATGAGTGTAATAAGGTTTAAGCTTGTGTGCAGAACGATATCATTTTTATATTGTAACGAGCACCTAGAGTCAGAAAGTGAGCAAGTAAAGAGAGGTTGAACTACTGCTAATATGTTTCGACAGTTTCAGGAAAAGGGTCCAACCAAATCCCGTTGCTTGATTAAGGATCATCTTAATGCAGTCATTATTTCGCTTTGCCTTCATTTTTAATATATTTTCATCATTTTACCTTATGATGCAGGCTTTAAATCGAGCTGGTGGAAAGTCAGGGAATAAAGGTGCTGAAGCAGCCCTGACAGCTGTAAGTTCTTTTTAAGTTGAACAGCATTACAACTGATAAATATTTTTTTCACTTTCCTTAGATTTTCTTCCAATAGAGACAACTGGCTACTATGTGCTAAAGATTCTTCAAGCATTAGGTAGTTTATCTGTTTCACAATCAACTGCCACAAGGAAGTAAACTTTGTGATACTTTTACTTTTTAACTAAAGAGAGAATCGTTTGAGGAGGATTCACAGTGCACCCTCAGAAATGTGCTCATTCCACGGGTTTTTTTAGCTTTGAGAATGACAATGACTGCTTCCAAAATCCTTCAGTAGTGATCAACTACTTCTAATTCCAGAAAATATACTGTGATTAATCTGACTTTCTGGTCCTTAGGATTCTTTATAAGCCTCTTAAGAATTGAAAATCATGCCATCTGACAGCTGGCAAAGACAAAGATGAATTGATCTGGCCCATTTTTACTTTGCTTGACGGAGTTCATAATCCCATATGAAACTGTATTTTTTTCACTGCTTCCTGTTCTTCACTGTTATTGCATGTGCAAATAATATTGAATTCCTAAGTCAGAGGTGGTTATCTTACAAAATGTGGTGATGGTATGCACTCCTGAATTCTTTTCTTTATGGCTTTAGCTTCTGTTGCTTAGACTGAAAACCATACTTTCTGAAGGTTGCATCTAGCCTGCCCTCCAAAGAAGCATTTGTATGTTTGGGGTAGTGATGAGTCAGTCATGTTCACCGGAAATGATTTGATGTGTATACTGCATTTAAAGAATAATGATAAGCCATCATGTGGTTGATTTTTTTTTTTTTTTTTTCACAATGGTTGCAGATTGAGATGGCATCCTTATTTGAGCACCATCTGAAGTTATAAGGAACAGCTTACCATAATGGAGGCCTGGACAGACTTTCTAGTGTCCGACACAATCTTTTAGTCTTCTACACTGGAGGAACTTGAGTTGCCAAGTTCATCCCCTTCGCAATCGTTTCACATGATGGTAAACAGGGATGGTGGGAAACTTGTTAACGTACTTGCTCCAATGTAGTATTTGGATATCCATATTCAAACACGGCATCAATTGCCTAAACCAGGCTTTTGTTTTACACTTTTTACTTAAAGTGGTTGGTAGCAATTGCCTTTTATTAGAAGCTTTTGTTATATTCTCTTCACTACTATAAACTAAATTGGAGCACGATTTTGTACCAATTACTAAGACCTCATTCCCATTGAATTGCCACATAATTATGGTAGCTCTGGCATTCTCCATTGTCATCAAACAGAATTATTCTCAGTGGTCTGTATCCAAATAAAAATGATGAAAGTATTTTATAAAGTACACCCCCAAGCAGCGACCTATATTTCCCCATCCTCAAACAGCTTCAGGTCCAGTTCTGAGTGCATGGTCTAGATCAGCAATCAAATCGTCGACATCTTCTATTCCCACAGAAAGACGGACAAGGTCCTCGGTCAAACCCCTTGCTTCACGAACTTGTGCAGGTATGCTAGCATGGGACATGAAGCATGGCAAGCTAATGAGGGATTTCACACTTCCTGTTCGATAGAATAGCAGAGGAATGTTAGTGTCAAAACTAGCTAGGCAGTGGCTGATATTCGACAACGGCTTAAGCAAAACCACTATGTAGAGACTACTTATACATCCTTTCTATAACGGCTGGAACATAACCAAACCGAAAAACTTGCGCTTGTTACGGCCAAAAGGAAAAACTTGCATTTGTTAAACAGAATTACTATTCTCACAGATTAACATTTGCCACTTGGTATACAAACTATCTCTCTCCAAACAATGCATTTTCCAAGATCCACCGCACAACTCCTAGTAACACAGTTCTAATTACCAATGTATGTTTCAAGCGCCTATCTAAGAGTTGTCATAAACCTGAGCCATCACCATTCTAGTAACGTGAAGAAGTTATGGACTAGGTAAAGAAACTTCACGTTCTCCATGAATGATGCAGTTGCAGCATTATTACTAATTTACCATAAACCATATAGATCAAAAGTTGACATATCTTACCAAAACTGACAGTAACACTGAAGTACTTTGTTGTCTCAGCTACATGCTTAGAGAGAGCTAGTGAGCCTGTCAAGAAACTGAGGACAGACCCTGCACCAGTCGCCTGTTGGCAGTGGAATATGGAAGGTTGTAACAGCAGGGAATGGAAGAAAAAATCAAGGGCATCATAGAGAGAACAACAATTCTATCCTAACCATACCTGAGAATAGTGTAAAGAGTACCCAGGATGTGCAGGAAGACCAGCATAGTTGACCTTCTTCACTCGTGGATGTGAGGAAAGAAACTCGGCTATTTTTTGAGCATTATCCTGCGACGCAAGCAATATATTCAGCTGAAAAATGAAAAAGCAAGCGCATAGGTGCAGTTGCGGCTACACTCAGATATTGTACAAAAAACGAAAGCAAATGCCGTAGGGAGGGGATAGTTACAAGAATCTTATTTTAAATAAACATAAAACAGAATTCCAGCATATATTATGTATGCACTCTCCCACTCCTTGCACCTTGTGCGGCTTAAGTTTCACATGAGGATGAGGGCAGACATGCAATGATATTTCTTAAGACTATCCATTTCACAACACTAATATAATTGTGAGAATACAACAGTGAAAGATTAAAATATACATTAGAGACGCAACTGTCTTGAAGGATGGGTTGCTTAGGTTATTCTATTACCCAATTTATCTTTTTCAAATTGAGTTTGTTTGTTTCAGCTTCATTAGAGTAAATCAATATTCTAATGTTCATTCATAATCAGAGCGCCCTCATTTTCATAAATGAGAAACTGCTACGCTCCTCAAACCCAAGCATGGACACAAAATGCTAAAGCTACCATAGTCACTAAAGTACTCGGCTTCCATAATTATCATGCTAGTTAAAAGATGTGCTTCATGTAATATGAAAACACAAACAGAAATATATAAGCACCTGTTGTTTCTTGACTCGCACTGCCATTGTCTTTATGCCTCTTAAACAGAGCCAGCAGTCAAATGGAGCCAGTCCTGCACCTTCTGCATTTTGTAGAAAGTACAAACTCCTTGCCAGGCTGGTTGAACATTCCAAATGCATACATTATTTTAAATCATCAATAAATAAATAAAAAAAATGGTAACATATCTGATAAAATATCAAAGACCACAAGTCATCGTTGAAAGCCTGCCTGAAAAGTAGCACATTTATGATTTGTCATGGTAAGAAGTGAACAAACTTTAAAAGCAAGGTTGGCATATTAAGCTCCAACGTTCCAACCTCTAAGCCAACTATGATCATAGATTATTACTTTGGAGGAAAAATTACCCTTCAACAGATATACATTAAGGGTTGTACTCTGAGAGCTGTACTACATTTTCAAATTGGAGCTGGAATCTCCTTTCTATGACACCAATAACTACCAAATATTGGTATGAACAACACTTTGTAGGAAGAAGAGCTGAAAATGTATAGCTTCAAATATACATGACCTTTGCAATGTCAAGAACGCTCAAACAATAAATCAAACCACTAATAATTTATAGAAGTCCATCTTCTGAAATAGAATTACACAATTAACAAACAATTTATTTGAAACAAAATTAGCAGTAATTAGCCCTCTCATGAAGTCAAGAAGTAAAAAAAAAAAAAGCATCATAATAGAATAAGTTACCTTTCTCCTTTAATAGCAAGTACACCAGCCATCACATCACTGTGGCCCGCAATAAATTTTGTTGCAGAATGCATCACAATATCTGAATAGTATAACAACATCAAGATCCCCCATTTAATGTGGTTTTCCATACTCAATAGTTCACGTCATTTAGTACCTGCCCCAAGTTGCAGGGGTTGAGATAAGACCGGGGACATAATGCTGTTGTCGACCAATAGAAGAGCCCCATGAGCATGGGCGATATCAGCTAGTTTCTGTCATGAAACCCATTGATTAATGAAAAATTCTTCCCTAATCAAAACTCAGTATAGAAAAAACTAAAGAAAATAATAGTTAAGATAATCCAAATTAACATACACGAATGTCAGATATCTGTTGACGAGGGTTGGTAGGACTCTCCACCCACACAAGCTTAGTCCTGGAGTTCATTGCAGAGGCAACCTCATCTAACTTAGTGGTATCAACACGCCTGCAAACCATAAGTAATTAATACAACTGCAGGTGGCTTGAATTTCCCACCCAAAGACATAAAGGTACTTACTTGACTACAATCTCTGACTTGGGAATTACTTGCGATAACAGCCGATCTGAGCCACCATACATGTCGTCTCCAGCAACAATCTCCTCACCTATAAAAGAATGGAACAAAGGAGGTAAACTTAACGAGTGATTGAATACATAGAAGTCACAGAATAACTGTTTCCTATGATTGCTTCAGACACTTAAAATGTCCCACAATGAACACAAGCAAAGAAAAAATCATTAGCCTAAATCAAAAGGGGATATTGGAGATCTACAAAACAAAAGAAAAAGGAAGAAGTAATATCCAAACCTAAATAGGAAAGAATGTACAGACAAAGTATGACCAGACCCACATAACAATGGACACACTATGCCATAAGAGCCACCAATTGCAAAAAGTTTCCTCTCTGTACGGAGATGATAGCTCAGGTCACATAATAATAGCTTTACTGCTGTGTGAGGTTCTTATCACACAGGAGACACTATACATGCCAGAGGAGAATCACATAAAGATTCTCAACATTCAAGGAACTACACTCAATTCAGCTCCAACAGACACCTGAGATAGACAAACTTGAATCCACAAAGCGATACAAATAAATTTAATTGATTGGCAGCAAACATATTCTCAATTCTCAAACATGATTACAAAGAGGAAAGAGAAAGTACCAGATCCAATAAGATGGGTAACAGCTGACAAAGCCGCCATTCCACTCGTAAAGCATAATGCTCGGTCTGCTTTATCAAGCTTAGCCAAGAGTCTGCGAACCCAAAATAGAGTAATGATATAAGAGGAGTTGTTTCATTAGATATTGCAAGCAATTCATTTCAGAAATGCCAGGCACCTTTCTAAAACATCTCTAGTAGGGTTACCGCTTCTTGTATAGTCGTAAGGGCCATATTCTGTTGCTGAGGGCTAGGAGCAGGACATGAATAAATTTGACTCAGTGTATTGATTATGAATTTCTGATGAATATTTGACATCAGGATTTTGTCAAAACATGCACCATCATCAAAGAAAACATTTTTTTTTTTTGAAATTTTATGCCTTAAAAGAAGATGGGGGAAAAGAATAATGAAGTGTTGAATGTCAAAAATTTTAAGCAAACCCTTAAAAGCCCTGCATTGACAAGCAAAGCATGATACAGCACAAATCAAGTCGTGGAGAAGGAAAGGGAAAATAGCATAAGATAGCCTATGCAATCGGACCATACAACCTTGTAAGCTAACTCAGCAAAACCTTTTGGGATGGAGGGAGAAGAAATTAATGATAGAACAATTTTACCCCAATAAACAGAAGGGAAAATTCACCCAAGAACCAAACAACTTTGTATTTGGCCTAGATAATTTAGTATTTCTTGTTATATTATAAAGTTCCGATCTATCAAATGGCAGAGAAAAATACCTGCTTGAAAGTTGATGTCTGGTACAGAGGAGTACTTAAAGCATCATAAGGATCAAATTCATTGGTGAAATTCATCAGAACCGTGGAGACACTAGGTTCCACGAGCATCCCACCTTCGACATTTACATCTATCATCAGTGAGAAACTTGCATCAGAATTTAGTTATAAGAGGGACAAATTTTATAATGAGCGCGAATTAGGTGAAAGAAACAGACCATTCAAACACTCCGCAATACCATCCATACCCTTGTCTTTTGTGCAACTTATTTCAAATCTCTTCCCACTCATTCTGAAAGTGTCCCTCCAAGGACCGAAACTATTGCATCTTAAACTCCCTGGGAAATTTCTCGTCAGAGACTAAAATCAATACAGTTTCATATTAGAGATCCCCCATTTCAGTGCAAAACGAATCGAAAAAATTTGAGTTCAGCAACATATTCATTGACAAAAAGAGTAATAGCAAAACAAAGAACAAAAGAGCAGCCTAAAGCTTGAAACAGGGGAATTTTAATATGTAAATGAATCCATCTTCCAAAAGACATACCCACCAAAAAAAAAAAAAGAAAAAGAAAAGAAGGATCAGAGTTTCGAGGTGCGCATTGTCCAGAAATGAGCCTAATTTAACATCTCATACAAAACCAAGTTCGTTTTTCTTCTATTTTCAATTTTCTTCCCCACTTTGTTTTCTGTTTGCCCAACTGTAATAAAGAACTCCACCAGCAAACAACAACATTTCCAGTGTGAGAAAAAGGTGACGGCTTTCAAAATTCTAGACGGAATTGATATTCATCCAAAAAACTTCTTCCCTTACTACAAATTATCTCCCCCAAAAAGCCAAAACAAAGAGAGGGTTCAAACCCAAACCACATTAACATGCAAAAAATGCAGTTGAACGCGCATCAACATCAAACACATTCAAAGAATAACCAAATCTTCTTCTTCTTCAAGAATACTATTCTAACTAGACATGGGCTAAATCCCATTTTTACAATTAGATTTTCTAATGCCTCAAAACAAATTTGCAGAGTGCGTGACTGTTGTAGCTACAGGAACAAAGAATAGTAAAAAGTAGAGAAACTGATGACTTACACGATCAATTGGGGCAGTGGGAAGAGGACCACAAAGGGATTTGAGAGACAGAGAAGTTCCAGAGGCCATTTTTTCACGTTGCAAATATTGGGAATGTAGTAGTTGCAAATTCCTTACAGAAGAAAGGTCGTCAAGCACCACTTGAAATCTTCCCAATCGTCCAGACTTCTGAGTATGTATTGTTAAAGGGATTATTGGAACGTTTAGCCTTAGCTAACCGATTCATCTCAAACTTTTAAAATTAATAAGTGATTATATCCCAAGTTTTTAAAATTGGGCGCAACCATCTCATGACCTGAAACAACACAAAATTGACCTGATACAACATGTGAAAATTGTTATTTTCTATTTCTCTCTCTCCCCCTCTCTTAATTTTTTAATACTTTTTTAATAAAATTTTTCCAAATCTAGTTATGACCTTATTATGGAAAAACAATTGATTTTTCATCCTTTTTTTATTTTTTAATATTAAAATAATGCATGGTGGATTTTGCCTGTTTCAAACATAAATTGAAACTCTTACCCATATTTGAATTTTTTTTTCAGTGTGTGTTTTTTAGATTTTTTTTGTTCGAGAGCGTAAAAATATGTGTTGAAAATGTTGAAATTAGACATTTATTAATAAACGATTATGAAAAAACATAAAAAAAAACTTCCAAACAGATTAAAAATCGAGTATTTTCTTCAATAACGGTAACGGTATTGAAGAGAGATGATACGATGAAATGACATAATTAACGAGATTAAAATAAAAAAAAATAAAAAAAAAGAAATAATTGGCAAAAAAAGTAAATACTAAACTAAGTAAAATGTATTTGTTACTCCAGGTTAACAACAGGTCATGGGATGATTACGCTCAATTTTACAAATCTTGAAATATAATCACTCAATTTTAAAAGTTTTGGGATCAATTCGCTAGCAGTGAGTAAAGTTAAGATTTATCCGCCTATATTCCCTATTTGGAAAACTTATGTGTGACAGTGGACTTGAGCATGCAACTGTTTATACTCTACCCCGTCCGCATTTTGCTTTCTCCCAGGAAATCTCTTATATTTCATTTATGGAGTTTTTCTGATTGAAAATAAAATTTTAAAGTTAACTGTGAAAACATAGTAAATGTGAAAATATATTTTTATGATTTTATTTTTAATTAAAAAAATAAGATAAATAAAATTTAGAAAAAATCAAAATAAATTATAATAAAGACCGGATAGAGTATTCATAAATAAGTTTATTTACATCTTAAAACAAAAAATAAAAAAATAAAAATTATTTTTCCCGATTTTGAACTTTCTTTGGGGCCAAAATCCGATTATATATAATAATCAGGTTCTCAAAAAATCCGTTGTTTTCTTCTTTTTTTTTTTTGCGTGAAAATATTTAATTTTTTTCCTACTAAAATATTGTCATTAGAATATTTAAAATTGGATATGTAATTAATTAATCTTACAAAACATTAATTAACCCTAATCAATAGTAAATCGGATTGTGGAAATCTGGTTTTGGCCTAAAATAGTTGAAACTCGTGAAAAAAGGCTCGTACGACAAATACAGTATCGTACAAGCAGCACAATTCAGTTTCGTAAGGCCATACTCCAGTTTCTGTAGTAATAATCCATACCAATCCTGGATCTCGGGTTAATTTACACCATTGATCTGAAGATCAGGGTAAAAGAATGTAGAGGATGAAATGGATTTGTGACATTTTTTAGTGAGCTTGGCACCAGTTTCAATTCCAAGCATCTGTATACAACTATAATGCTACGTAAGCAATCACTTAAATTTGGTAGTCCAAACCAGCTCCATATTTCCAAGCGTCAAGGCGTCGCTTCCATACGTATTTGGTCTTGGGAGGAAACTTTTGTATCAATGGCCTAGACAAAAACACGATCAATTCATCAAGGAGTGGATTCCCAGGATGAAGGAGAGTTCCCAAGAGCCGAAAAACGCTTAGAATCTCTATGTTTTTGAAAGGGCGAGAAATAAAATAGTTACCGAGTTGTGGTATCTAAGAAGGTCGAAAGCAACGTATAGTATCCCAGCATGAAAAAATGCCCCAACCAGTCAAGCAGCACCGGGATACCTACCTGTAAGAGGGTCATTTTTTAAGGACGGGGAAGCATACTAAAAGTAACAATGTAGAAAATGGACTCCAGAAGATTAACAAATTTGCCTTTCTTTCAAGGTTGATGTCACTAGTTTCCACACTTGAATTGTTACCCTAGTATTTTCAGTGCAAGCAAATCGACTTTCATGGAAAACTTGGCAACTAGCACTTCTTTTATTCTCCAGAGGAACATTCAGTAGCAACTAAAATACAAGAAAACTGAATGACTAAGAACAGTTACCTGTTTAAATATTGATGGAAGTATTTCCGGTTTGGTCAACATCACTTGGCCCAATGTCTTCACAAGAGGTCCAAACTGAATGACATCCTATTTCAGCACAGAAAAGTGTGGTATTACTCGTCCATTCTTTACCGGATGCATAGGCAGATAACAGAGAGCAGAAAACAATTTGGATTTACCTGAAGAAATGGTCTCAGCACCGGGTCCCCTAGTTTCTTTATGCGACATAACATAGGAAACAAAAAGAGGAAGGAAGAAGAAATGAGATTTTAATCAAGAGAAGCAGAGTTTTTGGGTTTAACAACAACCCCCTCCCCCAACCAAAAAAAAGTGGAAATGGTGTATGCTTAACTACCTGCATGCTCTGGAAATTGGCAAATAGAAGTTCATTGATGAAGTCTGGAGAAATATCTGATTCTTTTTTGGCAGACATTGCTCTTTGAAACAGCCAGGATGCACTTAAGTTTGGCTAAAAAACATCTTTTAGTTAGTAAAGTATCATAATCAATACCATGGACTTAATTAAAGCAGAAAATGTTACCAAGTATGGGTTCAACAAGGACAAGCTCTGGTAATCGAGAAAGTCCCCATCAACTGCTTCATAAATTCCTAAAATAGCAGCAAGGAAGTGACAAGATATAGTACAGAAACTTACAACGGCAGAAACACCAGATGAATAAGTTTGCCTAATGGCTGTACTGTAACTATGCAAGAAACCATGCTAATACAGAAAAGGCCTAAACGAAAACCAGGCAGTAGAGATTGTTTCATATTCAGTATATTGAAACCACAGATATCAATTTCTCGGTGTACAGAACCTTTGACATGTTGCAGCATTGTAAATTGCAAGATTCTTTATGCTCTTTTCAACAAGAAGTTTATCATAAAAGCATGGTCCTGTCCAGATTAGAAAATCCATCTCCATTGTTTAAGATCCTTAGCAGAATTTTCTAAATGACAGATACATGGATGCAATGCTCACTTGTTATAAATGAGCCTCATTTTTCTTTCCTTTCCCCAGAATTTGAAACATGGACCTCCAGGTCACAATCCCCATCCTTACATCTTACCAACCCCTCCCCACCAAATAAGCCCTCATTCTCTTTTTGACCATCTATTGTAGAAGTGTTGGAAGTGTCATGCCCACTACTAATGATCTTCCTTTCTACTATTAATTACTGTGAACACCCAAACACACATCCCCGCATTCCTTTCAATTGCAAGGCTTTAACTGTAATTTTAGGAGACATTCTTTATCTTAGTTTTTCATTTCAGAAATAACAAGACAATAGACCATTGCTTATATTCCAACAACCAGATGTGCAGTTACACATTATTTTAACAGAACCCTGACCGCCTTGCTTCTGAAATTACATTGTCAATGACTTCTAATCTATAACACATCCTTGGTGAGAATTTCACTTTTTTACATCCATTTATGACAGTGAATCAGAATACCCCTTTTTTCATTTGGAAATGTATACAAGGACACACCATGATGCTGTATAAAAAGGATCTAAGAGGTCAAGGCCAATTTTGTACCTGCTGTCAATCTACCTAGGTGTCTTGTCAAGCTGCCAAAACCACCAAAAGAAACCGGTGACTGTATACCACTGGCATCCCCAAACTGTACATAACACCCATGTTTAGCTTTCAATTGATATCTCTGATGTGCTGGCCCTAGCAGCGGCAACGGATCCCTCATCTGGACCTTAGCCAAATGCAAAGTGTAAGACAAAGCTGCTCTCAGCTCACAAAGACTACCCTTTGCACCTCATTGGTTTCATGTAGCACCCCATCATAAGTAACAATTAGGTATAAACAACACTTTCACTTCATGGCATCCTTGCATGCCCCCAGCAATCTTGCTTGTCACAGGGCTGCAGGTTGGAGGGTAAAGTACAGCACTAAAGATTCTCAGACTTCCTGATGGTATTTCTTCTGGGCAGCTGTTCAACATTAGAACTCTGCCTGCCAGACCTTCTATGTTAAAGCTGAAAATAACTCCCTTCCGAGCTAAATCGAGCGCCACCCTGACAGTGGCTATATGCTGCCATCGCAATATCTTTGTGCTCAAAGAACGGCCTAGGCAGGATCAAAATATTCCACCTCTGGTGCTTAACATGAACATTTCAGTAATGGATAACAAATCACCCATCACATTTGCTTAACACAAAGCCGTTCTTGTATCCTGAGTCAAATCACAGTCATGTGATATGCTAAAATTGGAGCATGCGGGGATGTCTACTAAAATTTCACTGTGGAGTGAGAGTTAACAGTGGGGGATCTGCATTGATAAATTGGAGCATGCAATAGCAGATTTGACCACCTCCGTGGAAAAAAACTATAATGCCCGACCCAGGATGCCCGACCCAGGATCCAGGCAGCTGCATATCTACCAGCGGTGGCATAGAGAGTACAACACTTGAATGGTGCCCAGGGTAGGTCTTCCCGAGTCCAGAGCAGTTAAGTCTTACACGTTGATTCGGAGAGGTAGATATGGGATTAGCTGCTGCTGCCAGAACCTATGGTTGCAGAGATGATGGAGTTTGGATCCAGAACTCAATTTGGTGTTAAAGACAAGACACCTGTAGAATACGATTGAAGGCTGCAGGCAATGGGCTGCCAATCAAATTCAGAGGAAGTTGAAAGAAACAGAGTTAAAAATGGCCAAGAAAGATTTGAAACAAAAAGCAGTTAGCTTCATATATCAGATTCACCAAAAAGCACTAAAAGAGACAAACTTGATATAGTGCCTTTACCTGTCACAATATGTAGGAAAGATGCCAAATATAACTCTCAAGATCTCCAAGTTGTCAAGAGATACTCCCTATCAAAAGAATGTGTCAGACATATCAAAGTAAAGATGAAACAGAAACATTTTTGTCTCTCTCTTTTCTTGTAAACAACAATAATGACAGTTCCTAACTTACTGGGAACAAGGACATAAAGATATGTCCATGATGCTAATGTCTTCTGAGAACAACTCAATTCCATGGCAATAGAGATCCTAGCTACGGTGGCTAAATAGTAACTGGAACCTTTCTAAAGTATTGGTGCACAGTGCTTCAGGAAATTTAAAGAGACTAACTTATCAATAACTACCTGATAATTTGGCATTAAGTTCCAGTAGTCTTCCAACAAATCTTCCAACTTTGGACATCCTGGTTGTGGATCAACGTAAGTGAACATATAAGTAGTTCGATCCGCTGGACCTGAGCCAGCTGGGAAGGCCTGAAAATAATGAATATAAAGTGATCACTAACTATTACCTTTGAATGTTTTTGAAGTAAATTCCTAAAGGAAGAACAATAATGGCTGATATTACCTCCCAGAAATATTGAGCTTTTGAATCTCCAACTTCCTTTACTGAGGCACTGCTATAGATAACATCACTCCTTGAATTCTCCTCAAATCCTCGGCAACATGAGCCAACCACAAGGCAAACACCATCGGGTTTCCTACCACGTCTGATCTGCAATATATCTGTAGGATAAGAAGCATTTAAAAGCAGGACTTTCCATTCCAATGAAAAGGCTCGGCAGAGCTAATACTAGGACGTACATGTTATTGGTTTAAAGAGGGAAGCCTGAAGAAAGGAGAAAAAACTTCCACCCACAGCAATCTATCAGTGCATGTTTGCTTGTAAATCAAAAAAATAACAGGAGGATGTCTTCCAAACATCAACTTCATTACCCTTTTCCTTTTATCATTGATTGATTTTTTTGAGTAAAATAAATCTTTATTTCTAATGAGCACAATCCCAAGTAGCTACTGGTTTTGCATGCTTTAGAAAATTCAAAAATTTCTGCCAGTCTATTCTTTATTATGATTATGATCATGAGAAAGATCCAGCCACTTCAGCTATGCCGTAATATCAAATCATAGGCAAGGTACTGTATGCAAATTTGCTGGGTATCACTATGACATACTGTAAGATTTTTATTCAAGAGATATCTTGGATAACTAGGTAAAAAGACAAACTACGAATGAATTTAAGCTAATGGTTTATGAGTTGAGTTTCACCTGCTTTACAATAGGAGAGAAGTTTCCCATTGCATCAATTATGAGACTTGATGATAAAATCTTCCCTTCTGAGAGCTCTATAACCTGCAAGAAGAACAATAAATTAAAAATCAACCAAAAAGTTCTCGGAATCATTTGCAAACAACAATCAGTAGATCAGTTTGCATAGGCGCCTTCTGTGACCCCACTGGCTTCAAGTTCGAGTCACCAACTCACCAAGGCTAGAAAAGAAAAGGAAACAAGCAGCAGTTGAATGAAACCATGCATAATCAAGTTTCTACTAATAAATTTCTTAACTACTCTTGCAATCATGTCACCCAGGTTTCCAGCAATCAATTTAACATCCATCGATAGGAATGGAAACAATTGATGCAAATTTTTCTGCTATTATTTCAGTAATAACAATTTCAGTATCAAAGAACATGTACTTACATATTTACATTTATTAGCAGGGCATGCAATGGTCCATATCAATTATGCACTGCCCTTTTGGTTATTTATATCGGCCCATTCAAATGTTGAGACACTGTCCCTTTTGGTTAATTGTTTGAAAATTGAGGAACCATACAGTCAATTCAATCTCCAATAAAATGAAAATAGAGCAAGTCCAGAAACTGGTGAATTGAGATTACAACAACAACAACAACAATATACCCAGTATCCAGTATCATCATATATACATATGAACTAAGATTAGTATGTAAGAATATAATCTATCAAAGCTGGGAACTTACTGCTGTATCATCATATATAGATATGCTACACACACTGCATCCCTCCAAAATGACACCACCAAGGGATTGAAAACGTTTTTTCACGATTTCAATAAGAGTAGCTGGGCTGCAATGAGGTAAAGAAAGTGCAGATGAGGTAAATTGTAGGAAACCCAAGGAAAAAAAAGATTCTAGGTGACCAACAGAAAAAAACAGCATTATCTTCCTCTGTCCACATTAATTTAGAAAAGCACCAATGCTAAAATAAACAAAATGGATGACAAACAACTATGGAGAAAGATCATCTGTGTTCAAATCACATCGAAGTGGATATAGAAGAAAAGGCTAAAATATTCCAAACAGATTCTAAAGAGATTGAATAATAGCCCGAAACTTAAGGAGCAAAACTAATTTTACATCAATAACGATCCACAAGAAACCGCCACTGACATTATTTTGCTATAAGAAAGAAGCTTGTCTAGAACTTTAATGATGACAGTTTCTAACAGAAAAGCTCTGAGACAAGAGGATATCTTCAAGGTAATAATTCAGTTTAACTTACGAAACACCAAGATTAAGAATATCTTCAACCCAAATCTCTCCCTTGCTTTCAAATCCACATCTATTCTGAAAATATTCATGAAATCACAATTACGACCTTTAAGCTAATTTTATGGGGGGAAAAAAAGAAAAAGAAAAAACAAAAAAGAAGACACAGAAAGGAGCGATTTCATATTCTTTTGGCTAGGTTATTGTAACAAGCAGGAACACTTACAGGGTTGAAAAATGATGTAATAGCCTGGTCAACTTCATCTTCCGTTAAGACACCAACTTCTACAAGTTCTAAGAGCTCTTTTCTGGAGATGTTCCATTCTTGTTCCCTCTGATCATCAAACAAAAGTCATTCAACTGTATACTGAGTATTTGATGTGTTCTTCAACTAACAACGCCAAAACCAACAGTCCCTACTGTCTTAAAACAGAATCATACCCCTTTTAGTACATTTCGTTCGACAATTCCAACTCTTAGACCTTTTGAACTCAATGCTGTAGCAATGAAGATACCCAGTGTACCTCCACAAACTAAGACATCAAACGCATCCACAGTTTTCCCAGCAAGTTCAGAGTTGCTAAACAAACCAGGAACGGTTGAAACTACTTTCGGAGGTTCCTGGACAACTGCAAGAAATGAATTTCAAAATTCAAACCCGAAAATGTTTCATATGATTTGAGAGACTAGATTCAACATTTAAAAGACTAGTGGGCAAAACTAGAATCATAATTTCATAAACCTGTTGAAGCAGAGCAAATGGTAGACCACAACTGGTCCAATCTTTTCAAAGCAGTGTATGAGTAAGCACCGCCTGCACCACCGACTTCCCCACTCACTGAAATGCTTTCCATTATTCTCTACACCAAAGATTAATTTGTTTTAACATAATTAGTTTCATAAACATCTCAGAAAACTCAAAACAATCAACCAAAAATTTATAAAAAAAAAATAAAAAAAAAAAAGCATACCTGGGTTCTGGAAGGAATGGCATTTGGTATTGGTAGCAGGGAAAGGTTCCTTTTCCTATGAACAGGGGAAGCTCCAAAGGGGCATTCGAAAACGCCATTTTTAAGTGATGATTGATGAAGCTGAAGCCCCAGCATCGGAATTCAAAAGCCAACTGAAAAGGGAAAAGAAAGAACAAATATGGGGTGACACTGTTTTATTGCCAGTTGCCACTCTCTTTCACCATAACTATATATCTCTTCAGTTCAGTGGACCAAGGAAACAAGAACATGATCCTATTCCAAAAAGGCAAAGAGACTACACAATACAAATTTTCCAAGTCACACATTTTTCAAATTTAGTCCCTAATTTCTACTCTCCATGGCACTTTGATCCTATATAGTTTCCCGTACAGGATTCTTTGTGCTATTATTTTTGTATTAAGCTCTATGTTATATAATTCAATACTAACTTTTATATAAATTCATCTCGAAAGAATCTCCTCCAACCCAAGTCAAATTACATAATTCAGTAACTTGATTTGAATTCATTCAGAAACAAGTTACTCTAACTCATGAAGACATAATTCAATAATTTTCTATAAATTCATCCGATCTTTAATCCAAGTCGAATTAGCATCGTGATATACTTTCACCGTAATTATGAAGTAATAATTCTTTTCTTCCGTGCAAAATGATTATATTTTCACTGTGATGATTAGAATGTGATTCTACCCCTTTGTTCAAAATAATCATTTTAGAACAGAGAGCAAAACCTTTTCTCCTTACTTTTTTCCTTGCTAGTGACCTTTCAGGTTTCAAAACCATGTTTGTCAGATTCAAGCGAAATAACCAAAACTGAGAGGATTGACATTTTCAAGTTATTCACTATGTGAAAACCGGATTAAGTGGATGACCTCAATTTGTAGAGATGATCTTTCGAATATTTACCAGAAAAGAGGTCTGGGTTAGTTTTAGCGTGATGTGTTCGCCCAAGTTCAACCATAAATGTAAAGAAAGAATTCTACTATACCATAATGAGTGAAGGGACGAACAACACAATAAATCAAGTTAATCTATTCCTCATTTGCAATGACCAAGTTTCATAGGCATTGCAAATTTCGAACAAAGATTCGCCACAAATTTCCCTCTGGTTGACACCAGATCTACTCATAAGAGACCGACAGTCTTTTGCATACAGACACAGAGAATTCAGTTCCTCCAGACAATTTTGCAAACGTCTAGCTTCTAGGAAGAACAGTCAATATCTTGTCTGCACTGTACAATTCCCACACAACACCTCACTCAGAGCTAATAATACCAAACAAATTGAGATGTCTCCCCATCAAACGATCATCTTTTTCTGCGTTTCGGTTCCACCTATTTGTTGAACACAAAAGCAAATCATCAGACATACAGCACTTGTATGATATTTAAACAGAAAGAAACATACCACACACTTAGAAAATAAAATCTCACACTGAAACAGAATGGAGGAGCTCATATATAGGATGATAAATCAGAAGCCCAAGCCTAGGCCATACTGATCTTTTTCTTGGCATTTCTTTTTTAATACTATTTCATTTAAGCTAATTCTAACAATCTGCAGTGGTGGATACTAGAAACAGCTTTGGACCTCAAATAGTTTTGGTCATCAGATCCATCAAAGAAGAGGTCACCTAGCTAGAGACACTGTAACCACGTGCCAGTGCTTTTGTTTGACAAGCAAACAAGTAAAGCAGCGAACGGATGTCATTGATCTATTTTGGCCCTAGATATTCATAAAATTACAATGCAAATGCCCTGTTGAGACCTAGGTATCATTGCAATGCCAGAACCGTCATTCATCAGGATATACAAGGATATACATAGCAATATCATAGCTGTTTTGCAATCAGTCTTGTCCTTGTCCTCCAACAGAAAGGAATTTTTTTTTTTCTTTTTTTGGCAATAAAACAGAAAGAAGTTTTAAAAAAAAAAAAAAAAAACCTTTAGAAAGGGCACAATCAATTTTACCTTCTCAAGAGATGATGAAACAGGGAAATTGTTCAAAGACCTTTTTGCATCATCATCAGAAGAACAATCTGAACACAAAAAATGCTCCAATTTCTTTGCTTCTTCAATTGTCATGCCCATACAAGAAGGATGAAACCTGCAACAAGAATAGACACTTACAATTGGCCTTCTCTTTTACCCCAGTTCAGAAAGATACGTGGAACATAACATACAGATATTTAAAGAGGCATGTCACTTAAGCAAGAAAATGGCAACTGCTGTGATCCTCTTGCACATCATCGGGTCTTAATCCTTACTAATATAGCTGAAGCGTTGTTTATCGAGGTAACCAACAAAAGAAGGAATTTGCAAAGGGTTACTTTTCCAACACATCTTGGTGTAGCAATATTTTACAGGTAAGCTCAATCGCAATTACCATAATTTAGAACCCGCAAAGAAAATCCACTTCCATCAATCGTGATCCAAACAGATAACTCACTGCCATTAAGGAAAGAAGTCCCAAGCAATCGAGCACATTCAAACTAAAACAAGATGATTCATTTAGGAATAAAGTTGAGTACTAAACCTTTGAAGCTATGAGGCTTTTTACAAAATGATTACCAATTGTCAATTCAAAGGCAGGGAAAATCACTAGACTTTTTTTTTTTTGGTCGAAAAAATCACTAGACTTTTAAGATTGAACATGCAGCAAATTTGTTCCTTTCTGGTTTACACATCCAGATGGTTACAATATCCCCAGAAAGAATATAACCTACCTTGGAATTCAAAATGGAACCTACAGCACAACAATATGAGTTACTATATTCATCAAACATGAGCACTAGATGCTTAGCAACTTCCATTCTGTTACACAGGTCGCCTAAAAGGTAGCGATTCACAGAATTGAGAAAATATGCTGAATGTTTCAAGTTCCAGTTATTGAATGGTGGGTGATGCAAGATGAAAGTATTATTCATGGCAACTCAGCAACAAGAAGGTGGGCTAAAAGGATCAAGGGATCACATGGAAATCCTTTTCAAGGATTATCAGCTAGGGACTCATTCGCACACAATTACAGCATTTCAAATATAGAAACAAAGTTACTTTCACATAAGTTAATTCCCATCATTCACCAAAACCATCTCATGCCTGAATCAAGCAATCAATAAAGTGTTTATAAATGACTTTCACTGGGCAGACTAGGAACCAATTTAATACGGCGAACATGAGAGCAATATTTACGTAAAACTGAGTGAATAATTGAAACTTAATAAAGAAGGGGACTTTTCCTTTTCCTCTTTGTTTCCTTGTTTTTGCTTATAGGCCATTTCCTTTTTCTAACTTCTAACTAAACCTAGGTAATCTTCCTCCAACTAAAGTATAATCCCTTCAAGCTTTTTAACCGTATTAAAGCATTCAAATCTTACTTTTCTCCTACCCTAATTATTATGACCCAAAAACTGAAACTTTCACTTTCTTTTATTCCCAAATGAGCTCGTAAGCTAATTATCCAGGGTAGATATCCACAAACCAACCATCTGCAAGAATACAGGGCAAGAGGTATATCAATTTAATAACTAAAAGAATATTCGACACAAAACAAACATAGACCTCTCTTCTTACAATGCCTTTAGGAAGAATCAGAATGACACCTGATAAAGGTGAAAAGGCCAAAGAATAATACAAAGTCACCTTATAAGCTTCACTTAAAGATTGAAAAGTTACTGCAAACCCCACATAATTTATAGACTTGAGTTAAAACTATATTATCAGAGAAGACAGACCAATTGAAAAAAAAAAGAGAAATGTAGAAGTGCAGAAGAAAGATTATACCAGTCTTTGCATCCTTCACACTGCACCATGAGGTCATCTGGATTGTAAGGCATCTCACACTTACAATACCTATTAGTAAAATAGAAGAAAGCAGGAAAATACCCATAATAAGAGAGTAACTCATACAAAAATGGAAACTATAGAGAGAGACCTCAAAACTCACACAGCAACACGATCAGGAGTGAATCCTCCAGTAGCTGCTTTGTATTCAAACCTACAAAAGTAATCTTCAGCGCCAACATTCTCGAGCTTGGTATAATTCTTGAAGGTGTGCACGATGCACTTGCCTTCAATGGTGTGTGCACTCTGCACATCAAAGTGGTCTGACAGGAAGAGTTCCTTGGCTCCATGGAACTGCCTACGACCCCCAATTGACTCCTCAGGGCGGTAATACCACCTCACTCGTACTTTGACATTATTTCGATGGTCTGCCTCAATCTTCTCAACTCGTGCCACATAAGGGGGTTTATCCGAGTCTGACGGCCGCATCAAGACACAATCTCCAGCTGCGAAAAAAAGCAACTTTTACTGAATAGAAGACAAACTTTTGAAAATTGCATTAACTACAAACAAATTTTCAGGGGTCAACCGAAAACAGTTCAAATCTTACAAATAAGTAGATGTCTTAAAGACTCCATTTCCACACGTCTATGTGAAAGCAAAACTGAATACGCTAACTAAGACAAGATGACTCAGAGCGTGACAATGTCAGAGCCCAACAGAGCTTCAAAATGCAATCTTTACAGAAAGCAAACATTTCAATTACATCAACAATTATGAATCTGTTTCAGCCTCAGACACAAAAAGACATATCCTCCCCAAATCCAACCCACATGAAACCAAAGCCCAATGCAGCTCAAATACAGTTCCTAGCACACACACACACACACACACACACACACACACGACGGGCGCGCTCAAGAAACAAGAACAACTTCAAAAATCCTTGTTCGTTAGAGCACCATAACCCCTTTTTACACTTCAATCACCAAGTTGAATACAAATACAAACAGGCATTGCATTAACGACATAAAAATCAGAAACAAAATGAAAAAAATTAGAAAAAAAAAGAAGAAGAGGATTACGTCTGACAATCTTGTTGGTCCCCTTGATGCTGTAAGAATCAAGGTCCTTCTTCCCAGGTTTAGTCTTCGCCATACGTTGAAAAAATTTCTTCTTGCCAAAACCAAAAAGCCCACAGAAACAGAGTTACTAAAAATCCCTAAATATGGAACCTTTAGAACGTTGGAATTAAAGAAGGGAGTTTTAAAGAGAGCAGGTTTTTAATAAGGAAAACTGAATTACAACTATGGAATGCGAATGAATGAAGGGGATTGAGGAAATAGAGCAGAGGGGAGGAGCTAAAACCCTAGCTGCCGGAAAATAGGGAGACGGAGTGTGTGAAAAAAAGGGTGCTTTGGTGTGTGTGAGAGAGAGAGAGAAGGAGTGAGGCGGAAGAGAGGGGTCGGGATGGAGAGGATGCTCTCGCGTCCTTTTTCTTGTTTCAATATAGGGAGTCTACTAGAATGACGTTTATTTTCAGTCTTTTATTTATTTATTATTTTTGGACTATAGTAACAAAGTTATTTTCACTAATGTTTTCTTCTTCTTCTGTTTTTTTTTTTTTTTGGTTTTTTTGTTTAGAGCAAAAATAATTCAAAGAAATGTGTGGTAGATAATTGTTAATAAAGTATATAAACCCTAACCCAGCCCCAGGTATAGATACCATCATATGACATGAAACATACTGCATCATTTTATTTAACAACGGTGATAAAAAACAGTGAATTAATGTAGTGAAAACGGAAAATATAATTTTAGGAAGAAAGATAAAATTTTTACCAAAAATGTCAACATAAAAGAAGTAAAAGTGTGATTTTAAGAAGGAATATAACATTTATGCCAAAACACATTGACAGTATAGGAATCATAGTATTAATTGAACTAAAAAAAAGATGTACCTTGTTCAGTATTTTGGTCACTATGAATATTATTTTTCTTTATTTAACTGGATATAACTGTTTATCTTAATCTATTTTCATATCAGTTAATTAAATTTCTATTTTTTCTAAACTTTTTTCCCTCCAAACTCAAAAGGTAGCTTTTCTTTTTTTTTTCTTATAATCGCACAATTGTGTATTGTTATACATATATAAAAACATTGAATTTATTGCATGAATATGGAGATAGGGACATGACAAACTAGAAAATCGTGTGTGCTTTAGTCAAACTTTTGGAAGAAGAGCTTGTCAAGCGACTCAATCTCAATCCTCCCATACCTTTTTTCCTCTCCGAGCAACACCTTTTTTTTTTCGGTTAATGGGCAGCTACAAATTTAGGAGAAATTTAGGAGAAATTATTTTTGAGCTGCTGTACCACGTAAGATTATGTAGTTAGACATAATAATAGGGATAAAATAGTAATTTTAGGGGGAAAATAATTTCTATCGAAGTTATATCACCAAAATAGAAAAATATTAGTACTTGCTATACTAAAAACCAGGATACAGCAGCTGTACCCAATAATTATTCCAAATTTAGATTAGAAAAACAGGCAAATATTTTAACAACTTAATCCTCTCAACAACATTATAGTGGGTGCTTGCTTTATCTTTGACGGTAGCTCAAATCCATCTGGTTTTCAAAACTAAGGCTTCTTTTTGTTTCAACAGTTATTGTATCAGGTCATAGTATGCATTTGTTTAATTTTGAGAACCTTGAAATGTAACTATCCAATTTAAAAAATTTGGACATGATCACTGTGAAACATTTACCGATATTCCCACTCAACTAAGGCGGTAAACGAATTGAGTTGCTCGCGAATTACTTGCGAGTTAACTCGGTCAAAGCTCAGCTTGAATTCGAGGTTGACCGAGCTCGAGCTGATTTTTTAAGAATACGAGCCGAGTTCAAATTTAAACAATACTCGCTCATTGGCTCGTCGAGCTAAACGAGCCAGTCTTTTTTTTTAAAAAAAAATAATATATTATATATATAAATTTATAATATTATATATAAAATAAAAAATAATATATATTTATTTCGAGTTACGAGTCAAGTTCGAGTTTCTTGTTAAGAGATCGAGCCGAGCTCGAGCTCAAAAAATTTAGGCTTGTTCGAGTTCGAGCGGAGCTCGAATTAGGTTAAAAATTGCTTGAGCTGAGCTTGAGCATGGTAAAATCGGGCTCAACTCGGCTCCTACACCCTACGCTCAACCATATTCATAAGACTTTGAAAGAAAATACGCTCATAGGGAAAGAAAAAATTCATAGTCTAAGGACAGATATAGACTGATAGAATAGAAGGCAATATGTTGAGAAAGTTGCGGATAATATAAAATGGTGCCAAGTGCCAATACCGAGCTCTTGAATTATCAACACAGATATCAAACAAATAGAGATTTGGCTGGCTCTTATCCTATATTATATGGAAAAATGCGTCTACGATAATTTAAATCCTACTAGCAAAGTTTCTGGATCACAACTGAGTTGGCCAGGCCAGCTTGTACAATCGTCTGGTCCAAATCAGTGAGGGGTTTTGGTGGAAATCCCACTGTTTGAAGTTGATAAGTGCCTGATCCGCCTGGTCTTGATGCATCAATAAAACCTCGGATGTCACGTACTGTGTGGTGATAGTTGAAGCGGGAGATCATCCTTGTACCATCAGCCAGCCTCAGCTGAATAGAGGTAGAAGGTTGTCCTTGATCAACTACTAGGCCTATATTTGGAGTTGGAGCACTGGTCATTGGCACAGCAACTGCAGCTGGCTCTCGCGCTGGGGTATCCGTCTGGCTACCTAAAGTCCTTCCGACACCTTGAAATGAGCGTTGTGGTCTCTCTTTCACCTGGACAATTTGTCAAGTTAAAATATCATACTCAAGCAAAGAAAGGGAAAGGAAATATACACTTAAGAGGGTAAATTTTAGACATACAACGTAGTTTTCATCCCTTCTCACAAGATTGACATGGACCTGAGTGGACCTCGAAGTTGGCTGAAGCTCCACTGGACACTCACTCCTTTTGATGCTCTGCATTAAGAAAATGACTAATTAGCCAGCTACCTAAATAGCCAAAACTTGTCCAAAACCACGAGACTCTAAACATGTAATAGGAATACACAGTAGATTGAATAAAAGCCAGCTGATCATGATAATTATTGCAGAATTATGAAACCAACAACCCCCGCCCCCCAAGAAAAACAAAAAAGGAAAAAACCCCGCATATCAAACCAATGTAACTGATGACAAGTTACATCGAGGATGACAAGAAACGTCGAGGATGACAAACAAAATTGACATGTAAGCAGTTCTAATGCATTCGGTCAAGGGGTTTTGGCAGATAGTTAAACTAAGCTCAGCATACACCCTCAAATTACCAATGCCATAATAACAATAATAAAGTGATAAAAATTTCCCGTTAAATTTCTGACAATAAGGTACCTCTAAAAATGCTGCGTTTTCGGGATCATCTAATCTCCTCAGGGGACCATCATTGACCGTGAAACCATTCCTCCAGAAAGTGATAGTATGGGTTACTACAGCAGGCTGCGAGCTAGGTTGCGACACCGTATCTCCTGAGAGTAACCTTGCAGTTCCCGTAAACCTTTGTGAGCTTGAAGATGGCTGATGCGAGTCAGGAGGCCTTTCAACACCTCCAGCGCGCCTAGCGTGATCAAATATGGCATCCACATTATTGCCTTTTGAAGGATCTTGGACTAGCATTCCACTGAATACATAAAGACGTAAAAGCATATCAATTATATGTCAGCAAATTTTCCAGACACTACAGAATCAGACTTCCATAAAGAGATTCCCGAATTTCTGAAACACAAAGACTGATAATAAAACAATCACCTCCAATCTTCAAATAAAAGGATCATATGTAATATGAACACCAAATAAACCAAGAAGCACATAAGGTTCAAACCATTGTAATAAATTCTTAAATCAAATTGAGAAGTACGATATCATAAATATGGAAGTAGTAAGCAAGTATCATCTTATTAACATCATTGCATCTACTGAAAAGTACTATTTGCTACTGAAAAGTACAAATTTGCTGAAAAGACAAACAAACTACTCATGAACTTAGCAAATTAAGACCCAAAATATTCCTTATCAACCAATCTCACAGCACACTGACCTAACTTGGGAGTGGATTGGAAATTCAAGATAAACCTACCACGATATCTGGTTCTTCACTTCACTAACTAGATTGAAATAGAGTAGCAATAGTAGGTCTTCAAGATAACATACAAAAACAACAACAACAACAACAAGCCTTTTTCCCACTAGGTGGGGTCGGCTATATGGATCATATGTCGCCATCGTGCTCGATCATTACATAAATTTAGTCCATCGTGCTCGTCTTCAAGATAACATGACACTACAAATTTATTCCTGCTTGTTTTTTATAGCAATGCCCGTCTTTCAGCCTTTTCCTTTCAATAAGAATATTTTCCTAATCCAGTCAACACCTAATTTGAGAATAATGTTGTATACTGTGCACAAGAATTTCTTTTCACAAAGTTCCAAAGACAGGACAATATTTGCTCTACCAGTGGACAAAATCTCCCACAAAGTAGAAACTAGGGGCTGCAAAAACTAGATATTTGGCAAAATTTACCAAAACCAAATTGGAGTCTGAGCTAAAAAAACTAAAACAAATGTTGATCATCCAGTGTGAAACTAAAGCACAAAAACCCTTGTAAAAAAACAAAATAAACACAAAAAAGAACATTAAAAACCAATTAGTGGACAAAGGAACCAAGTTATTAAATTACCTTTTCTGGCCACCAGCGTAGTACTCCTCAGGGTCATCGGAATCACTGTCGTCGCTTGGCTGCCGATTCAAATCAGCAAGAGTCCGAATCCCACTTGCACCTCTTCGGCTACTACCCCCGGTGGCAGCGGCGGTGGAAGAGGGCTTGGAACCAGAGGACGAGCGCAGATTATACTGAGAACGTCGAGCAGCAGGCGGAGAAGGGGATCGCGACCGAGGAGGAGTAGACGACTGCGATTGGGACTGGGATTGGGATTGGGATTGAGAGGGAGAATACGATTCAGACTGAACCGGGGATTCACGTACGGGGTTGCTTTGGTTACCAACGGGGCCGACATCGGCGGTAGCGGTGGCGGTATCGGTGGCGGTGAGATTGGTGGTTTCGTAGAAAGTAGAGAGGGCGGAGTCGAGATCGTAATTGTGAGATTCTAAGTAAAAGGCGGCTTCGGATGGAGAAGCTGAAGTGATTTCACAGAAGGTGTTGATCAGGGAAGCGTCTCCGGCATCGTTGCCGGAAGAGAGCGGCGCCGCTGATTGTTGATTCTCCATAATCGTGTTTTTCGGATGCGTTACTTCCGTTCAAGGACTTCTTGGGTTCGAATATTGAAGGTAGTCTCGAGTCGTTTGACTTCAGTTCGTTTATATAGAGCTCGTAAAACTTCCGGCCCAACCGGTACCCTTGTTTGGACAACCTTCCATTTTACATTTTCACTCATTTTACCTCTTAAACACAAAATTCAATGGAAAAGAAAACATCATCCAAACAACTTTTTAATTTACATTTTAAATTTCAACTTGAAACACTTTTTGTTAGTGTAATGACCATTTTAGAACTACAAATAGTTTAGTGACAAATTTGGCAGAATTCCGTTGTTGAGTGATTGTTTTTGGAAAAGTTCTTTTTTGCAGTGACTATAATTGACAGTATTTAATTATTTAGTGATGACTTGTACTTGATATTTGAAAATGTAGTTCAAAATACTTTTTTTCAAAACCAATATCCAAACAACATTTTTATTTCCCATTTAATTTTCAATTTGAAACACTTTTCACTTTTAAGTTGTAAAATGAAATGTAAGTTGATGTCCAAACAATTATTTATTGGACAAATGTCCGATTTGGTCCCTAATGTAATAGGGGTAGCCCAACCCAGTCAACACAAACTTTTAGTCTCTGATTTTAGTCCCTTAATATTTTTTTCTGCCTGATTTTAGTCTTTTTAAAAGATTTTTGCAGCAATTGACGAAAATTTTAACTCCTCCGTTAATATCTGAATTTTTCATTCGTTTCCTGCAAGAGGTGGGTCCCACATGTGCTGACCGTAAAAAAATTTCAGCCTTTCTTCGATTCTTCCTTTTCTCTTTGTACTTTAAAACTCTCGCTTCCCTGTCCAATTCAACTCCTTGATTACTACTTCCAGATGACACTCCACCACCCAAATTAACGCTGCTGCTCAAACTTTGCCCAAATGGGTACGAAATTTTGGACATCGAACTCCGATCTAGAAAAACACATCCAACGACTATGATGGAATGTGGAAAACAAATTTTTTTAGCCTTTTCTTAATGAAAGTTGGTCTCACGATATTTGGCCCAAAATGAAAAAATTTTTTAAAGAAAAAATACAGAGGAAAAAAAAGTAAAGCCTATTCTCCAGAAAGCTCCACCACCACCGTCGGCATTGTTAGCATCGATCAATCATATTAGAATTGGAATTAGATCCCCCAAGTTTCTCGATGTCCAAGTGCGTAGAGAAGAGATCATCTTCGAATCTATCTCGTCAAAACTAGTCCCGACAGGCACATCAAAGGGGTTAGACAGTAGATCTAAATCCTCCGGCAGCCTGAAGTTGACCGTGGAATGAGCTCTCTGACAATTGGTAGGCCGGATTGGAAATGACCAAAAGAAATCGACAGAACAAACACTTCGTCGTTATTCAACTACAATTGCCAAAAATTAAAAATTTAAAAAATTGTCACATCAAAAGCTGGCTTGACAGTTACAACCTCCTCAAGAACTCATATCCACTAACTCCCTACTCTTTCTAAAGTTAATTATGAGTAAAATCCTGCCGGTGAAGATGGTTGAAATATTGGGGTATTGATCACTTTGAAACTATCCCCATACACAAAATTGACGAGAACACAGTACTCATCACTTCGAAACTAACAATTAAACATTAGAAAATAGAAAAATTTTCAGCAATGGATTAACGATCACAGGGATGGGTAGAAAGATTGGCATCGGCGGTGAAGTGTTGAAGGCTTGAAGCCAAAGGGGGTTGAAGAGAGAGAAAAAAAATTGCCGTGGAAAGAGTATGAAAAAGGAAATGAAAAAAAACGAAAAGAAAATGTCCAATTTTTTTTTTGGGCCAAATGTTGTGGGACCCACTTCCAGTAGGAAATGAATAAAATAATAAGAATTTAACGGATGTCTGAAATTTCCGTCAATTGCTGCAAAAATCTTTTAAAAAGACCAAAATTGGGCAGAAAAAAATATTAAGGGACTAAAATCAGAGATTAAATATTTGTAGTGACAGGGTTGGGCTATCCCAAATACATTAGGGACCAAAACAAGCATTTGTCCTTATTTATTGATCAAATTAATCCTTGTAGATTTTTGATGAAGTTACGAAAAGTTCATTGGTAGTTTAACATTTACCAAAATTTACCCGTTATTTCCTTAGTTCGCAGTTTAGCAAAATTGGTAAATTAATTTTTATACTTGTTAAATCCTTCATTTAGTTTTTTTTTTTTTTTTTTTTGGTGTACTCTAACAAAAACATTCCAATTTTAAACTTTTTCTTTTACTACGGAGTACTACTATTATTTTACTTTCTACTTCTCAAATACCAAAAGAAAACATAAAAAAAAAAATTAAAAATTTAATCCTAATTTCAGTATTTTCTAAACTAGTTTAATTTTCACAATATTTATTTTATTTTATTTTCCTTCCTTCCCCCTTCTTTGGTATGGTAAACTTTGAACTTTCTCATACTTTTAAACATAGTAGCTTTTTCTTTTTTCTTTTTCTTTTTTTGTTTCAAAGTTCAAACTAGTGTTCACCCGCATGCTAAACTTAAAGAGGCGTTCTTTTATACGTAAAGAGAATTGGGAAAATGGAATTTCATACCTGATGGAAACGTCTATTCATTAAAAGAATCTTTGATTACTTTTGACATGTTTCAAATATGCATATTGGAATAGTAATTATTTGACGATTATTAAATCTTTTTTTTCAAAGGTACGAGGATGGAATTATAAATATTGAATAATTTAAGAAAAACATTGAACAATAATTTTTAATAAATTAATTTTCATTACCATATCAAGTTGCAACTTGGTTAAAGAAACTGAAATAATGATTTTTTACCTTTTATTTTTCTTGAAACGCAGAAATAGATGGAGACTGAAACTAATCACCATTACCTTCAATTCCTTTCCTGATGAAATAATTAAAATTACAAAGAGAATCGATAGTTGGAATCTATTATTCTAATCCCAGCAATTGTGGATGTTTGAGATAGGATCAACATGAGGTGCTTTGTCATTAGACCACTAACCTTGAACTGAAATACATCATCCTATTTGCAACAATACTGTCTCTACAAGTCAATTGTCCTTATGTATATGAGTGCGTGTATACGAGAGAGAGAGAGAGAGAGAGAGAGAGAGAGAGAGAGAGAGAGAGAGAGAGAGAGAGAGAGAGAGAGAGAGAGAGAGAATGTGATAGCAATTCGAAAACAAAACCAATGCATGTAAAAGTATCAACTTTGAATATACGAAAAGACCAAAGTATGCAGTGGAAATTTGACAAACTCGAACACTTACTTGAATACCAGAGACACAGATAGGATGATATTTGACCTCAAGTGGATTAATTCACGAGTTCTAAGAATCAAACAACCCAACTCAATCAATGGAATTATACTATCGAATTTCAGCAATGCCCCTCTTAAGATCTCACAAGAATAGCCAATAGTTATAACCCTCGATGAGCAAAACCAAAATGCAACGTTGCTATAAACGTCACTTTCTAGCGAACCACACAATAAAGATAAGTCTAACAATTATCACAATAACTCGAAGTAACAACTAAAACAATTTGCTTTACGCAAGAATAAAAACTCAAAAGGTAAAAACCTCACAAATTTTGATCCATTCAATCGCATGGAACGCAGAGGGATTCAACCTCCTTTTATAGAGGAAGTTGGCCGACTTTCCAAGCTACCTTAAGAAGTAGGATTCTTCTCTAATTCTACGAATTCAAAATCAAATTGGACTATTCGACTCCTAGTTTTCTTTATGACCAAGAAAATGAACCTAAACTCTTTCATACACCTAATATATTGGGCCTAAGTGTGAAATAAAAAGTAAAACTCCTACGGAGGCATTCTTGAAAAAAAGCTTCTCCACGCATCTACATGTCTTGATGATGAAATAATCTTCTTTCTTGATTACCACTCAACCAATATCTTCCTTGTAGAGAACAATTTTGTCAAAAAATCGATAATTAAATAAAGGAGAGGCTGAAACCCTACCATATAATATAGGAATAGAAAGGATTTCGACTTCCTTAACCCTCAAGTTAGGGTTTCTCACAAATCCCAAGGACTTGTGCGCGCACAAGGCCGGATCTAGGCTCCTCCATGGGCTTGATTTGAGCCTTCTTTTAGTTCATAAGACCATTAGGTAGCACTAGCAACACCTTAACAATTTTAGGCTTATATCATTCACATTTAACACATTCCTTAGCTCATGCATAGATAACTAGATTGTTAAGAACAGTTTTCATAGTTTTGAATCTCGAACAAGTGACTGGGCCAGCTGTATTAGTGGGTCCCTAATATTAGGATTTTTCAGAATTGGTTAATTAGTTACATTCATGACCTTCATGAACTCGTCTTTTTTAGGTTGGATGTCCTCTTGTTGACTTGCAGCTCGATGGTCTCCATCAGAACGACTACAGTCCAATCGACTAGATGATTTAACCGTTGGATGTAAGAGATCACTAGAACCGTAGGACTGAAGATAATGCAACTCCTTAAATGGTGAGTTTTACCACATCCTATATTTTGGCTGCAATTGAACGTTTTTATCTTTTACTTTTGCTTTTTATGTTTTTGCTTTTAATTTAAAAACTCAATGCTTCTTTTTCAATTGAAACATTCTGTTTTTTGTTTCCCTAAGCAAAATCCTCCATTAGATCCAATTTCATCTTTAATCATCTATAAAATTATTACCCAACAAGGATATTTTAAAACAAGTTTTACAGACAGGATGATTGTGCAATTATAATTCTCCAAACTACATATGTATAATTTCAATATTACTACGCGGCGAATTACCACTTCACAGAACACAATTTTTAAATGTTGCGTATCTTGTTATGATAATGAATAAGATTTAATGTCAATTGCTCTTGCAAGTGGTCTGTCTTTACAATGTTTAAAAATTTTACATGCAATTTTCCGTGCTACTTATAGAATAAAATATTTGTTTGGTATCGTGCAATCGGTAGACTATTGATTGTAAAACAATGGTATAATATGCACGCTCGTATCATTTCATCTTTGCAATATTCAGTAATTAACTTTGGTATAAATGACGTGGATATACTTATAATTACGAAAAATAATGAGATTAGAAAATACAGAAAACCATCAGATAATACTATTGTATATAGTATTTCTTTAAGACGGCCATATAAACCTCTTAACGAGAGTGTTATAGTATTTAAACTATCAAGCTAAATTATTACGGAATATATATGTGTAAGTAATATGGGTGGATTTGTTATTGCGTTGTTTATTCTTTACATATGGTCATTATGTTACGCTTTTTACGATGAAGTTTAAAAGTCCTCATATCCAATAAAGAAGGAGAATTCTTTAGTTACAAGACTAACATTATTTATAAGGAAGTGCTTCTAGTTAAACATACGAATCTAAAATAATAATCATATTTTTATCAGTTAATACACAGTGTTTGGTACATTTCTCTAATTAAAATATTAAGTACTACGATTATTGTACTTATGCTTGAATTTTCATGTAAAATTATATTTTCAATAATATCTATGTACCGTTTATATTAAAACCTTTCATGGAAATTAGATATCATTTAAATTTTAACATAATAATACCTAAAATTCCTCGGGATAGTAAAAATGCCAGTTAAGTTTAAGTACAGGTCAGGTCTTGCAGGTGAGTCTGTTCTTGAGACGCCCAGTTTTATGCATGGACAGCTTTATGCGCGCTTTCTAGGGCGAAATCCACAAAAACGTCTTAAAGTCTTGATATGTAATAGGTAAGGAGAATTTATCCACCGCACCATTAATGTTGTCTACTAGAAAGAGCTCCAGAATATATGATTATCTTTTCTTTCATTTTATTTCAGTCAAGGCAATCAGCTATGCACATTTTTTCTTCTTATACAGCTCTATGTCCGTATTATTCCGTTATTCGTTGGATCTACTTGGAAATTTATCTCACGAATAAATGTATCTTCAATAATAGCATTTGACTTTTATATTGAGATTACATTATGTAGATTATTGTCATTTAAATTTTAACGCGGGCACGTACTAGTAAAGGTGTTAAATGGATGAAATTGATACGACTAAAATGTAGAAACAGTAAATAGTATACTCTGACTTCAAAATAAATAAATAAATACACAAAAAAATTTCATACTCATACAGGAGAGGCTAACTTTTAGTTAGCATATCTCACAGGCATTTTCCCTTGTACCCTACTTCAATATGAATCCACCTAGCAAGTGTATATACTTACAGATCACATGTAAGATCTCCGAATTCATGGAAATGCTCTATTCCCACCAACATATGTAGCTTCAACAGAAACAGATCCTTCTGTGGTGAAATCTTCCCATGAATCAGCAGTGACTACGACGAAATCTGCCAACTTTCCAGGAGATAAGGATCCAATATCCTTGTCTAGAAAGCATGAATAAGCTGCCCATATAGTGTGCCTGGGGAGGAAGAGGATATTAGAATTGACATAAATATTAGCCAAGACAAAAAGTTTTACTATTCAATTCACTGTAAAACTTTGTTTTGGGTACCTTGTACAATAAATAATATTCTCCCTTATAACTGAAACGAAATTCTATTCATCACATAAATTTGTAAAGTAACTTGTTTTATTCACTTGAAACTTCATAAGCCAGTCTTGTTTCGAGAAGATTAAGCTTAGAACCGTACATCAAAAACTTAATTGGTCATTAGGATTGTGACACTATTTATTTATTTATTTTTTTTGGTAAATATTCTAACACTTCTATGATCATATCAAATGGCGTAGCTAACAGTGATTTTGTATAATTGGTCCAGATAGCAATTTTAGCGATGCATTTAGCTCAGCACTCCACAGTGACATGATATTTAACTATGAATTGGAACCACCACACAACAATGGTGCTCAGAGATATTTGCATCTAAAGCTTCATGCACTGGAACAGTAAAGTGTACTGGATGACATCATATGCTTCTGAAATGCTGCAATAGTGAAAAAGATAAATACTGCAAGAAAAGATCACGGTATTAAGAACAAACGATATCTTACGCTTTTAATGCGTCATCCAGATTCATACACTCTGATGGAGCCCAAGGGTGTTCCCACCCAGGAGGGGTTCGTTTGATTGCTGTCCGCATGCTTCTCAAAGGGTTGATATCTGCAACCTGAAACCGCAATTCATCATGCATGTCAGATTGCACTGACAAGTCCATCCAATTCTACAGATTTCAATGAAAGGTGATGATCTAAGAGTCCTGCGGCTTAACATAAAATTGATAACTCTCACCGGCCAATCAGAGCCAAAAGCAAGAGTTGCACCACCAGCCAGAAGTGATTGGAATAGATAAGAGCCTTTTTCTGCTCTCTCAAAACCAATTTTTTTAATTGCAGAATCAGCATCATCCAACATGTGATCAGGCTGCAAAGATAAAACTTCAACTAATTAATCTTTCCTTTTCCCACAATGTGGTTGATGTGGAAACATCTGGCACCTGAGCTTCAATAAAGTGAATAACAAAAGAGAAGTACAAAAGCAGAGAATCAAGGTTCTCAGATCTCCAAGAAGCTGAATGAAAAGGGTAACAGAGGTTCGAGGATGCTGGAGGAACTTAGAATCAGTGTAACAGAGGTTAAGGAATGAGAGATGGCAACCAAGGATAGACCGATAGAGTGAAGAGCCACATGTAATAGCAGAGGAAGTGGACAGAGATGAAAGCCGCTGGAGGAATCATGTCAGTATGATCTTGTGAGGAAGAGAATGTCAATAAACTGAATGGCTGAAGACGAAAGGAAGCTGAGCTATGATATCTAAGAATAATAATTACAAAAAAGCACACAAGTCATCTAAAGACTTATAAAGGATGTAACACATACCTGAACTGAAGCAACAACGGCTTGTTCACCAAATCGAGATGCTGTCCCAGGTGCCAAATGCTGAGCATGTTCAATCTACAAGAAGAATTTGAGATGAAGCTTACCAGATAAGAGAGATTGTGTAAATATGTGCCAAAAGTAATCCCACAGTAAATATTTTACCAAAGTCTGCAATCAGAAAAGGAGCATTGCACTCGGTTGACAGTTGATTTAAAATTTTTATAGATTTTATGATATGGGTTATGTAAGAAATTCATAAAAAAAGTGATGACAAGATCTCATCCATACATCAATATGACACTGAGATAAAGGCCTATTCCTAAAGTAATTCAAGTAACTACCTTTTTTTTCTACAGACTTTATCTTTTTGTCAAGCAAGAGCCTTTGGCCAACTTGTACATTCATAAACAACAACACCACCACCCAGTATATTACCGTACTTCTTAATTGAATTGTCTCAATCAAATTCCGGTGCTTTCAGTGAAGGCGTAGAAATCAATACGTCAAATGCACCAATGCATCTTGGGTCATACTTAAACAGCCTCTCTGTATTGAAATAACAGGGGTAATGCTGCGTACATCTTGACTTTGTATATGCATAATGATTGAAAAAAAAAAAGCTCAACTTGCATAAGAAAAATGCATGGCAGCTAATTTGGATTTCAGGTTAGTCACAGGCTTGAGTTGTAGGATTAGTTAACCCTAATGTCTTCCTGACTCACCCTAAACCTTCTGTCCCTGATTCCATTCCGAGAAACCACTGATGCATACATGTCCAGAAGTAAGGAATTTGCCTTGTCACCTATTGCATGAACAGTTACCTGAGAGGAAGCAGGAGTATCTCCTCATTTGTCGTAATATTTCCAGAAAAAAAAAGGAAAAGAAAAAGGAAGATAATGGATTTATGAAGCATAATAAGCACCTGAAGCCCAGCTTTATCTGCCGAAACAATCATGCTATGCAGACCCTTCATATCTGCAACTTCTAGACCAAAATTATCAGGTTCACCAACATAAGGCTGCGAAATAGCAAACAAGAAAAGCATGTGTGAACTTTAGCCAAACAAATGTATATGATAATCATGTAGGATTGTACCTTCCTACACATAATTAAAATAAGGTTCACTTATTTTGAGAGTAATTTCAATAAATACAAAATTATATACCTCGTGGAAAAGTGCACTATTTGATCCCAATGATCCATCAGCAAAAGCCTTCAAACCCCCAAAGTAAATCTTTTCACTTATATTAGGGCCTGCCTCATTCAAATGTTCCTGAAGAAAATATCATTCTCTGGAATGAATATGCTAGGTTAATAAAACAGAGCATGATACTAGGGAAACTTTGTTATTCTAGATCAATGCCATAGCTTGAGGGTCACAGTTTTTTCACATAACTAGGTCATTCAGAGAATTTTTCACCAGGAAAGTATTAATCTTTATTGATGCAGGGATTGAGAAGAATTCCATGTCTAATGGAGAGCAGAGACAAATTCAGAAAAACACACTGAACATTTGATAGAGCTCTTGAACAGGAGACCAATGCCCTTTGTCAAATTTCAGTGCCCTTTGAGAGATGAATGATAAAGATGGTGGGACAATATCTCAAGCAACAGGGAAAGAGTGTTTCAAAAAATCAAATTGATATTATACTAGCAACAGCAGGATAGGAAAACTGAAAATCAGAAACACAAAAATACACAACAATCACATGCAAAATGCAGCTTCAAAACCAAAATTACAAATCAAGTTTCCATATAAAGGACCATTTTCTTAATTCCAGTACAATTATTATTAAAAGTTTGTAAACCTAATGAATTAATGAATTCACAAACAACATGGATGAAAAGGAAAAGTAAATACGAAAGGAGAAACAGAAAAGATGAAAAGAGAGTAAGGAAGAAAATGGCAAAAGTGGAGAGCATGAAATCGTGGGAAAAAAATAAAAAATAAAAATAAGATTGATAAAACAGTAGTAAAATATGGTTCAGTGCCTAAGCCTTGATTCCAATGTTTGGTGAAGCAATACATGTCTTCATTATTAGGAAATTATGAGAACGCTCTGAGGAGGCTCTCAATCCCATCTAATGTCATCATGTTAAAAGTTCCAGACCTATACACATCTCACATCTTTAGGGAAAAATAAAGTAATTACACTACCAGGGAGATGCGGCCATATACATCTTTTTTCTAATCCAACTGAAGCATACAAAAATGGATAGAGTTGTCAGCATGCTATTTAAATGAAATCTCACATGTAAGCGTGCCCACGTTTCCATTGGAAAGAATAAGCAAACCCTAATCAACATCTTTCCAAATGAATCAGCCCATGTATACACATCTGCAATTGTTAAACTCCAGGCTCAGGACAGAAATTAAGATCCTAATAAGATGCAAGATTTCCTCATAGGTGTTCGATAGAAGCAAACAGTGGGTTTTGTTGCATCAAATATTCAAAAACTTCAAAATGAACTAGAAAATGATAGAAATCTGACTGATTTCTAATTGAATTATTTAGAGTAAATACCTGTTTTGTTTTCACGTGCTTTACCGAGTAGAATTAGCAAAAGATGTAATTCTCAAAAGCAATTTAAGATGTAAGACAACTCCATGTAGAAGTTTGACATAAGCAACCACAAAATTCCAACTTACAAGCAAATTGTAAAAACCTTAGTAACTTTCTGATAAATTATTTAGACAAGACTTAGTCTTAATGCTACTTCAAGTCTTTTAGCTCATACTACTAATTTCCACTGAGTTTGGAAAAACAATATATGACAAAAAAAGCAAGAAAAGATTCAAACTTAGAACCTGAGTAATCTTCCCACGAGGTTTCAGCTGCTAAACCAGGAAAGTATCTCCCCATATCAACTACTGTGGTTACACCCCTCATTAAAGCAAGATTGCTAGCTCGCAGAAGAGCTTCCCTTCTTTCTTCTACAGAGACTTCTGGTATGCAGGATAAGATGAGCTTCATTGCAGAGTCAATTAATAATCCTGTAGGTTCTGCATTTGATCACAACATGACACAAGTAAGAGGTTACTTCCAATTCTGTAACCCTAATTCCAGGTATTTGTGCAGTGGCTTAGTTCGTTTTACTGGATGACAATCAGCCCTTCTCTTAAAATTAGAATTTGTAAAATTTTGGTAAGAGGTCTTTTTCTAAATGAAGCATTTATCTGCAGCAAAAGTATCATACAAATATACAATTGTACATGTATAACATTCCTCGCCTATCCTATTTTATACATTAGCAAATATGCTAATAATGATTTAATAAGAAAGTACATGGTTTTGAATTTACCATTATCGTTACTTTTGACAATAACCCCACCCTCTGGCTCATTTGTGTAGTTAAATATTCCAGCAACTTTTAGAGCATAAGTGTTAGCCAATCCCATGTGACCATCCATCCTTGAAAGCCAGACCTGCATACAAGTAGATAAGGAAAAAACAGAAATATCTTGCAGTACTCATTGTGGACGGAGTTCACACTTACAGGATTATGGGGTGTAATATCATCAATCCAAGATGCCATAGGTAGTTCTCCTCCCCAGAAGTCGTTGTTCCATCCACCACCCAGCAACCAAGAACCTTGTTTCATATCTTGTGATGTTTGTACATGAAAAGATTAGAAAGATACTCAGAACAAAAATGTTTGATTGGTCCTATTTGCTAGAAGAAAGTAAAGGAAATATCTTTAGGTAAGACATCAAAAGAAAAAGGTTTCACAAACTCATGGAACTCTAGATAGAACAAGCATTAACTCCTGGTTTTGTTTAAGTTACAAGAGTTCAGGGAAGTACTGATTGACATGGATGCAACTTTAAAACTTAAACAATACGGAAGGACAAAACTGTATATACTATGTTCAACCAGCCATCATTCTGTAAAATCAGAACAAAGTAAACTAACATTCAAGCAACCATAACATCCTCGGTGGACAAAAATCAACAAATTTATTTTCATTTTCAAGCATGTCCTGTTTACACAAGCACAACTTCTTAGGTACAAAGAATTAATCATTTAGAAAGGGATGCCACCAATTTCATTTAGATATTACACTGGTTCCGTTCCTTTTTCCATGTTTTCCATCAAGATGTGAAAATGACAATACACCAGTTAAAGCATAAGGGGCAATGGTAGAAGGAGAATGTTATGTGTCTCTTTTTTCTGTTCACAACACCAGCGATCTACAATGCAGGATCAAATATGGTATTTCAGTTTATGTTTCCAACCAGTAAGTTAGGTATTTAGAAAAAGAAAATGAAGGAAATAGGAACAAGCATCTCTCAAAAATCTGGCCAAATGCCTACAGCAACGAAATAAGAAAAAATTTGCAGGAGAAATCCATCCTATTTCAAGAGTTATGTAAATACATTAGCAGTATGAGAATTCTTTTTCTGTTTTAGCATCCTTCAAGAACTTAATGGTCATTCATTAAGAGAAAACGAGTACCAATCAGGTCTTTTATCAGCAAGAAAACAAGCTTTGTTTGTGGAACAACATGGTCACACAAGGTAAAAGTGACTGGTAACAATCTCTCTTCAACTTCATAAAAGAGCAAGTTGCAAAGAGGCTGAATACTCATGACTATCTCAATCAACTGACACCTTACTAAAGGTAATGTACTAGCTGGAAGCAGGCAACCTTTTAACCCCATCCAGAGGAGCATGTTCCATTTTTGCATAAGAAGGGAAATTAAATAAATGAAAATAAAGTTCAAGATTCCATTTTATGCAGTCTAACTGAATGAATTTTTTAGAAAAAGTCAGAACTTCTAATTTCACGCAAGTACGTGTAGTTAGCGATTGGAACGTACTCTTAACAGCTTCCTTCACCTTGTTCACAAACTGATCCTTAGTTTTGACTTCACGAAGTTCAACACGTGCCATCTGTTTCCAGAACCAGGATCAGACTCAATGTTATTCAACCACTACTTTAATGAAACATCCTTCCATAACTGCTAAGCACAATAGGAGACTCTTGATCTAACAGTAAATCTCATCCACAGAGTTCTATGTTTTGTTACAGAGACAAAAGCTTCTCAGGTTACAGACAACAGCAACTCAAAGTCCAATCCAAACGTTTATTCTGCTTCAAAGATAGTACATCAACACCCATTCTGCAATTAAGTATATCTTTCCCCTTGAACACAGGAGTGGGCACCATATCTCAGAAAAATAACATTCACACCATGAATCTCTAAATAATAACTCAAAGTAATAATTTGATCCTATTGATGTTAACTTTGCAATCTACAGACAGCTGTAGATAAAGAAATAGATCACTCAGAAACCCTGATGCAGGAATATACATGCAGTAAGACAGAAAGCTGATAACGTGAGAAATGAACCTGTAATCCTCCGAAAATCAGATGCACATGGGAATCGATGAATCCAGGAACTACTATCTTCCCCTTTAAATTCAATTCCCTGCACCCTGGTCCTGCCAAATCCTGCATGAACATGTACTCTATGTCAGATACAATTAAGATTACAACTTTTATAACAGTTTACCTAAGACATATATAGTTTGTTCTGAGTGAGGTAACCAGCAGCTTGCTGTTTCAGATTATCTGTCATTAGAGCAAAATCAGCCAATATTCATATACACCTACACTGCAAACCATTTATTTGTTTATTTTCTGTGAAAAGAGCACGCTTGAGTTGTGAAACTACAAACAAATTAAAGAAATCCCATATGTGAAATATAAAAAGCAGATCAGATTGATCGAGGTTCCAAAAAGAAAGATCAAGTAGATTTAGCTCGAAATCATAAGGCATCAAAATTCAAGACATAACCAGCCTCGTTATATACTGGTATCTCAAACTGAACATGAAAACACACAATAGACTTTTCCATTTCCTTATAGCTCAAATGGAGAAGACATCAATAAAATTATTAGCCTTCAATATAAGAAATTTACACAAGATGAAAAAAACTTCAGATTTAAAATTCCTCCAACCTTTTATGCATGGATAGGTAATCTGTCAATAAAACTCTACATCAAGTTATTCTTATTTCCATCTCATTTTTTTAAAACCATTTCCTTGTTGCGAGCTTCGATGGTTAAATTTACAAATACTAGTGAAACCTATTGTGGAGAACAGTAACCATGTTCACAGTGACAGTAAGGCATTTAACATTCACTTGCAGCAGAAGTATATGCTTCAACACATTGCGAAATTGCAAGAGATCACAAGCAACATTGGGGATTTGCACAACTAAAGCAGCAATATCAAAGGTGACCCAAAACCAATACTTTGTATGGGGCAAAAAGGAATATAACCACAGAATTGGATTTTAAAAAACAGGACAAGAAGAGAAGAGAACCTTGATGGAAGAGTAATTTCCAACTCGAATGATTCGGCCATAGCGAATGGCCATGGATTCAGCGTACAGCAAAGAATCATCACTGGTGTAAATTGTCCCATTATAAACTATCAAGTCAGCGCCTAACTTATCAATTGAGAACGCATTGAAGAAACCTAGCATGAACACGAGAGAAAAAAACAGAAAGAGAATAAGCGAAACCCAAAAATAAAAAAGGAAAAGAGAACCCAGAAAGATTGGCAACTTGGAAATGAGAAATTTGAAGTATTTACCGGTGAGATTGTTGTTAAGAAGAGGAACTGAGGCAAAGGAGAGAAGAAGGGCGAGGGAAGCAGAGATAATCAGCCACAATTTACTCATACTTTGTTCAGTTGAGTTCACCTCAGTTTGAGGAATCTTTCAATTTTTCGGAATCACATAGGAATCTTTCGTGAAGTTGACGATGAAACTCCCTCCCTATCTCAATTCTGGGTACGGTCTCCGGTTACTACTTGAACTCCTCCTTACGGATGTAGCAACCGGGAAATTTTCCTAACCGGTAAGTCATACACACACACGTGGTTTCTTTGTTCTAGTTCCACCGTGTGTCTATTTCGCTCAATTTCGCAACTTTTGTGATCCTCTGATTTTCGAAGTTTTCGACTTTGAAGGAAAAAAGTGGGGGAAAGAAAAAGGTAAGAGAAGGAATCGATGTGTTTTAAGTAACATTTGGTGTCTTGGTTTGCATATCGAATGGCTGCTGGGAAATTTTTTTGACATTGCTACAAATTTTGCTCACGAATAATGTGTCGTGTTTTTGGTTGCATGTTAGGTGTTCGATTTCCGGATTAGGTGAATTTTTTTTTTTTTTTTTTTGGGCGAAGTTTTCCAATCGGATTTGGAATCATCTTATTCACTCAAGCATCTATGACAAGAATAGGACTGTAATCTGTTGATTAACTTGGCTTAGAATACCCAAGAATGTGCCAGGAAATGTACACTAATTTGCAGTAGTGAACACATTTATTCCGTGAGACTTTTTTGCATTATGTCTGTCTTGTGCAAATTGCATGTCTCATTTACTATTTCGGGTCAAATTTACTACTTTCCACAATATTCAGACAATAAATAAAGTTCAATGGATAAAAAGACTCAAATTTTCTGTTGAAGATTAATTTTGAGGGCTAGGAGAGGATCAATCTGTTTCTCATTGTTCTTTGTTAGTAACCTTGAGAAAAAAATCTCCTAAATATTACTACCTCCGTCCCAGAAAAATAATCCATATCGAGTTTTTAAATTTTTACTAAAACTAATACAAATCTCAAAACTCAATGTGGACAATTTGTTTGGGACTGAGGTAGTAGTATTATTGTAAACATTTTAATTAGTTACAACATGGATACTAAAGTAGCAGTTATATCTCAGTATGTCCTTATTCCTCACCAGTCTCCTGTCTATTTTTAACAGGAGCACTTAATCTATTAGGCCATAGTACTTCACAGTAACTTCGGATATTGTTGAAAATTCTCCGCTCCTGTTAATGATATTTTAATTCTCGTGTTTGTATTTGCAGGGATAAGGTTTTTTGAACGACTGAAGATTTTGTATTCTTGTATTTACCTTCGATTTTTAATCCTCATTAGCATATCTTTTTAAGCTGAAATGGCGCATTTGCTTACTCGAAAAAATGTAGCTCCAATCGTAAGAAGAATGTAGAAATCTGGAGAAGTATAATGTTAAAAGGCTGGTCAATCTTGGTTTTGAAGTTTACATGCAAGATGATGAGTATGCCTTCTACACCTTATAATTGATTAGGTACTTGAATTTGTTTGTTCTGGTAATCAGGGCAATTGTCTAATGATCATTGCGCTTAATAAGTAACCTTAAATGGTTTCGTAAATTGTAAGATTACCTTTCAATGCTCACGAGCGACCACTTTTTGCAAATAAACTGTCTACTTTTCTACGTGCAGGCCTGATACAAGGCAGGATTTCATGTCGAATTTACCTGGTCTGAGGCTTTGACTTATATTGTAGCAAAGTAGGAAAGTTTGTCTGGTAACTCAGCTACTTTGTTGAGAAAAAAAGATGATTGTCACACTGTAACCTAGGCCTAACCATTGTAATGTTAAAAGATTAGTTTCAGAGATACACTGAAGTAATCAAACTAAGATAGTCTCTCTTTTTTCTTTCCCTACATTTTTTGGTGCATCAATTGATTATGTGAATTTTAGTTTTTTTTTCTAGAAATAAAAGACAGTATATATAAAACTTGAAAAGGAAAAGGAGAAAACAAATATTAGCAGATTAGCGTCCTCCCACTCATGGACTCGCCTTAAAATGTACGAAGGGATGACCCCAACCTACCAATACAAACGCCACCAAACACACTCATGTCCCTATCTATTACAACCTTTTGGTAGAAGCAAACCCCTCAATCTCGTAAGTAAGCCTCAAAACTCACAAGAACACGACTTTATTTCATAGAAAAACAAACATAGCCTACTACATCACAATTATGTGAAATGATAATTGGTATCTACCGGGTTACACTTCCTTACGGTAATCAGACCAATGAGTAAAATCACTAATACCTAATTTTCTAAGAGACAAGACTATGAAACGAAATGAAAAAAAATACAGAAAAAGCGCAAAAATACAAATGGCAAATTACACTTCTGCAGTAGTTTTCCATCCTCACGAACATGAGTCTTGCTTCCAGCAGCATCCCAAACATCTTGTGTGCCTCCTGAATACTCCCCGACTAGTGATTAAGAACGGTACTCCAATATTCTTTTCATTATCGCCAGATCTGGGGATAATTTCAAGAATCAACAAACACCACATCCTAACACAAAAATTCAAAAAAAAGAACAAAAATTTAAAATTTAAAAAACTTGTCCTCTCCCATCCACCAATCCACCAATGATGGATGGGGGAGATGGTAGTGTTATTTTAGGGGGATGTTCCGATGAGAATGGTTTGGGTGGAAGGGAGTTGAGGGGAAGGTGAGGGGGCGGCGGATCTGGGGGCCTTGGTGGTGGTGACCGGTCTTTTGGTGGGAGTGTTAGAGAGGAGGAGAAGAAGGGGAGGAGAAAGAAAGGTTTTTTTTTTTTTTTACAATTTGAAGTATGAAACCCGTCATTGTGAATTTTAGGCTTTGTTTGTTATGTTTTTTTATGGTATTTTTAAAATATTTAAATAATAATTGTCTCATTACAACATAACTTTTTACATTTTTAATACATTTTTTTACATTCCCAATACAAAAAATATCTAAAAATACATACTAAAAAAACGAAATAAACATACCCTTAGCTATTTATCTCAAATTTGTGACTCATTCTTCTCCCTTTTGTTTGTTTGCCCCATCGAAATTTGTCAAAAAGATGCACAATGATAAGATGCAAACCTAAAGATACTTGGCATTATTTTTGGTTAAACTATGCATTGAACACAATTAATCCTTGAAAAGAAAAAAATATTTTTTATATACTCTTAGAATGTCTCAATCTTAAAATGTTTGTCCTATTTGTTGTAACTACAAAGATAGTATTTGGAAATATGCTCATCATCTAACTTAGAAGATGGTTATTATATTTGGATTATTACTGATGAGACTAATTTTTGTCCTTTACTTATTTTCGGAGGGAGTACTAGTTTTTTTATTTACTGTTATTCTTTTTTCACTCTACTATAGTACTCTTTTGGTGTTTATTTTAAGATATTTTAACTTTTTTTAGGTTTCATCTAATACACATTTTTAATTGACGAAAAAAACCTTAAAAATATATTTTTACATTCATTGTGTTTTTTTGATGTCAGAATATATCTTTAAGATTTTTTTGGTCTATTAAAAATGTGCACTAGGTTAAATCTAAGATAAATAAAAATGTCTTATATTAAGAACCCGGAGTGAGTAAATCCATCATACCATTACTGATAAATCAGGTTCAGTTCGATTTCAACCCGATTTGATTTCGATATAATCCGATTACCGCTTTGAATGGAGAAGGAAGAAGAAGGCTAAAATTTTTCCCAATATTTTTTGACAACCCGCCGATCCGGCACCTTAAACACTCTTTAAAACCCACATCCATTTTCAAGCTGCAGAAACTGCACAAAAGAAATGCTGCTGAGGAGAAGACTAAGTTCACTGTTATCGACCTCAATCTGCAACCTCCCAATAAAAAGCAGGAATCCCGTTTCCCGTATTTCCCCAAAACAAATCCCTTCCCTTGAATTCTTGAGGAATTATACCAGCCGCAATCATTTCTGTAATGGGGTTCTTGGGTCCCAATTACTTGGAATGAATATGGGTTTGGGCCGGAGGAGCTATTCGAGTCTGTTGGCCTTGAATGATTTGAGTGATAAAAAGGGATCCACGACACAGAAGACCCGGAAAGGACGTGGTATTGGGTCGGGCAAAGGGAAGACTGCAGGGAGGGGTCATAAAGGGCAGAAGGCTAGAGGGACTATGAAGTTTGGGTTCGAAGGTGGCCAAACCCCCCTTCGCCGTCGTGTTCCTAAACGTGGGTTTAAGAACCCGTTTAGCCTTACATTCCAGGTTGGTTCGTGTCTTTAGTGTATATTTCTTAGTGGATGGTTTTATGACTTTGTTCTCTGAGAGTTTTGTATTTTCAATAGAATTCAAGTAATATGTGATAGACGTTCGAAAAGTGTTTTGTCTTGGATTAGTTGTGAGTTGTTTTAGGTTATCTGTTTTTGGTCTAGTTTTGTGTTTACTGGAATTTCAATGCTTTTTTTTAGTATTGATGGTACTTGTATTCGTACTTTTTAATCAGGTTTGTATAATTTGAGCTTTGGTTTTTAGGATGAGGGATTGTTACAACTTACAACCTTAGGTGTTTGTGGAAAGGTATTTATCATGTTATCCTTTATATCTAGGAGTTGCTGTTGCCTCAATTTTAGGGATTCTGAAGTAGAAATAGTTGAATTTGCAAATGTGGCATTTGAATTTGTTTGATATAGTTATGTAGATGTAGATGCAGATATTAACTGTATTGAAGTGTGGTCTGCTAAGACAGATCATATGGTGACTAATGGGAATCTTGGTCTCCATAAAAATTAAAAACTTCCGCAGACTGCAAATTTGGGATAACTGGGTTTATTCTGTTGATTTGGTTTACATATATTTTTTTTTCAACATTACTACTCTTTATGGAAGAAAAAGATTTAACTTTCAAGACTACATATTACGCACTTCAGACCTGACTACCTTCTGTTTCGTGCATTTTATATGTCTGCACTTTGTGGCATTTTGAATTCCTTTGAAAAGTGTTAGGGTGCAAATCAGGAATGTAGAGGATGATCCTTGCCCAGTTCATTCATAGCTGAATCAACATGAAAGAAAAATATTAACCGATATACTACAAAATAAAACTAATAGAGAAAAGAAATATTTTGCTTAGCCATAGATGATTCTCTCTTGATTATATCAGTTTTTCATCTTGTTCAGGCTTGTGATCATTCAGCTGAAATGCTAGCTTGTGATCATTTAGCTGAGAATGCTAGCTTGTTGGCTACCTGCGGGACTGTTGAAGTTGATAGTCTTGGGTTAAAACCCCTTGGAAAATCTATTTTGCTTTGAAGCAGAAGTATGGGAGATTAAGTTTAATTTTAGGCTACAGAGATCTTCAATTTTGCTGAGTACTGGGAGCTGAATATATAAGTGTTGGGGCTCTAAGTCTATCCAAGGGAAAAAATTATGAGGAAGGTTTTTCAAATTATATTTTGTAGCCCACTTGAAGACTTTGATTGGAGAATAGAGTTAATTTTACTCTTTTGTCACTGCTAGGCACTCAATATGATGTTGATTTGCTGATTGTCATAGACGATATTGATACTAAATTGTTTGGAGTTTTATTGAGGAAATATGTAACTAAAAGAGACATGCTGGAACCAGCTTTTACTGAGGTGAAGGCTCATTATCGTCTAATTCTTACCTAGATTGAAACTTATATGAATAACAATGGATGTGGAAAGGGTAGGAAATTTCCATAAATCTCTGCCATAAGGCCCCCAACTGTAAGAAGACCCTCATGGATATCAACTAATGAAACAGAAATGAATCAAGTGTGCTTTAGCTCCATCCATCTCTCTAAATATTTTAATCAACCAAGAAGTATGAAGCTGTAAGGATAATTCATCTGAATTGTGTTTTTACTGTATAATGAACACAGACATTCTAGGCACACTTTTACCGAGAATTCAGGTAGTTGCCATCTTGTGGCTGCAGAGCGAAACTATATGTACTTTTCTGGCGTTGGAAGCTTGAACGGGCATTTTACTGCTCCCCTATGACTGAAGTTTTTTGGCATTTTGAATCTCTAAATGGGATTCGTATAAAAAGCTCACCATTTTAGAGGCTGACTCCAATAAAGTTATCACTTTTTATAAGTTAATTTCTATACTAAAGCAAGCATAAGCCAGTGCATGATGAAACTAAAACTTCAGGTATTTGTCTTCTTGTAGATCGTGTGTTTTCCTCTGTAACTTAAAAAATTGGTCCTGATTTTCTCCTGGTGACTTGTGTTTCTGGATTGCATCATGCTTCTCTAAGACCGTAGCTTATTCAGAAAGGCTGATTTTATTTTGTTCACTGCGCTACTTTATGAAAATGACAGCCAGTTGGTTTGGGTAAGATTGCCCAGTTAATCAATGCTGGCAAGATAGACTCATCAGAGTTGATCACCATGAAAACTCTCAAGGTAACTACTATAGCATATATTAAATGTTTACTGTTCAAATTAGCTTCTTATGACTTCTGCGCTTTACGCACTAGGATGCTGGAGCAGTTGGGAAGCAGATAGAAGATGGAGTTAGGCTGATGGGACGTGGTGCAGAACTTATTGAGTGGCCTATTCATCTAGAGGCAAGTTCGAAATCACTTGGAGTTACCATTCAAAGCTGCAGTTATTATCAAAGCTACTTGCAACCTTTACTCTTTTCCTTTAGCTCTGTAGAATAACAATGATTGTAACACATTGCAACAACAGGTTTCAAGGGTTACCGTTCGGGCAAAAGCGGCTGTCGAAGCTGCTGGTGGATCTGTGAGGAGAGTTCATTACAACAAATTAGGCTTCAGGGCTCTACTCAAGCCTGAGTGGTTTGAAAAGAAGGGCAGGTTGCTTCCTAAAGCGGCACGGCCTCCACCAAAACTACAAGACAAGGTGGATAGCATAGGACGTCTTCCCGCCCCAATCAAACCAATTCCTTTTACGTCTGAAGAAAAAGAATCAATGGCCTGCTGAACCAAACTAATTTTTATTATTCAGTGATTTTCCTTTATCTTTTTCCAGTGAAGTTCTGTAATTCTTTAATGTCAAGTTACACATGGTACGATGAGTAAGCTCTTGGTTGGTCTTTCACATATGACCAAAAAAAAAAAAAAAGAAAATTTAAAAACAAAATAAGTCATATTTTGATTATTTTTATTTCAATTTGTCCTCTTTTTGATAGTCAGTTTTTGTAGTAATTTCAATTAATTACTCATATTGATAACATTTCTTAATGTTTAATATTTCTTTATTATGAGTTGTTTAAATTTTGGAGTATCTGATAATCAATAAGTTGGTTTCTTAATGAATTAAGGTGTGAGTATTTGATAATCAATTAGCTGGTTTCTTTATTAACACTTTATTCTAAAATTGTTGAATTAATTAAGTATTCATAAAAGAAAAAGGAAAAAAGGAACCCGGCATTTAAAACAAATTAGTAGCCAATATCATCATAGTTAAGTCAATTTCATCCTTCCGTCATCCAATTAGCAAATTCCGGCCATTAACTTGGCCAAAAATTGCAAAAAATTATACTCTCTCCGTCCCACAAAAATAATCCATATTGAGTTTTGAGTTTTGTACTGTTTTTAGTACAAATTTGAAAACTTAATGTAGACTATTTTTTTAGAATGGAGGTAGTATTTTATAATTTTTGAACTTCATGACTAAAATGGCACTTATTAATCAACTTAATATTTTTACTAGTTTAATTAACCATACCATTCAAATTTTAATTTTTTACAAGCTTAAACAATTAAATTAATTAATTTAATTTTTTATTTATCTTAAAATGATATCCAAATGACAAATTTCTTGTTTATTAATAAAATTAGGTGTAAAACCACACGTTGGATACGAATGCCTTTAGCACAATGGCTTTCCATGACCAAAATCACAATGTATAGAAAAAATTTAGATAAACAAGATATTTCTGTGGATAATTGTATGTGCTTCTTCATACAATTAACTTGGCTGATTGTATGAAGTTTATGTGAAATTTGAAACCAGGTATGCAACAGAAGAAGTACATAGATAAAGACACAACGTATTTTTACAGCTACAAGGTATGATAAAACTCTAAGCAAATAACCATGAAATTTGTTATTTGGATCTTATTTTAAGTAAAGTTAATTAAGTAAGTAAAAATTAAATTAATTAAGTTAATTATTTAAGCTCATAGAAAATTAAGATTTTTGAACCGTATGATTAATTCAGGTAGTTGGAAAATATGTTAATAAATTAAATGTAATGAATTGGGGTTGCTGAATGTTGCTATACAAACAGATAACAAGCTCCTTGCAGATATGCTACTTAATCAAGCTAATTTTCTTTGGAGGTATTTCTCAGAGTTACGTGAAATAATGGGGATCATGAAGAGAAGGGGATACAATATCTCCCATATCTTTCATGAGACTAATTCGGTTGCAGATGGATTGTCTAAAGTTGCTTCTTCCGGTGTAAATGTTATTTACAATACTTTAGAAGAGTTGCCACTTAAGGAAAAAAGTCTTTTGATTCTTGATCAAAGGTCTTTTTTCTTATATTCGAATTAAGTAATTTTATCTGCAAGTCATCTATAATAGTATAGCCTTAGGATCATTTTATATCTCTTTATGTATAAGGTTATGAATATACTCTGCCCTTTCTGATTTAGTTTTTTAATGGAATGGAAAAGTATGGAGGGATGAGACTAGGGAACTGGATAGTATATATATCCATTCCTTGGGTAGACCCTTTGGGTGCATTATACTATCTGATACTAGCTAGTTCAAAAATTTATCTCTTGGGTACATCCCTTGAGTTTTTTTGAGCTAGTTGAAACTTGAATATGTCATATCCTTTCTATTTTGCCAAAAAAATGTTAATAAATTAAATTAGAAAAAGTTAAATTAATTAATCGAGTGCATTTTAATCTTGAAGTTTAAAACTAGTAAAATATATTTTCCAGCGATATTTGATAAGTCAATAGCCAAAATTTGCTAATTGGATGACAGAAGAATGAAATTGACCGAATAATATGATACATATTTGACATTTATTTTGTAAATCATCAAATGTACCATGTACAGTCACTATAAGAAAAACTCCCATTCAGTGGCCATATTAACCTGTAAGTGTAGTAGTACATAGAACTTAATCAATTATTTATACTATGTCGGATGCTTTATAAAAAATAATAGTCCGATTACCTGAATCCTACATCCTTTTCCTTCTCCATTAGTTTTTTCTTTTTATTAACCTACATGTATTAATAACAGTTCCAACATGCATTCGACCAACAACATCATATTCGTCATCGATTTTTTTCTAAGAAATATGACATTAATTAGAGTCTGTTGATCAATTCCATCATAGTTGGGTTGTTGGATATTAGAAGACTCCTAGTAAATCAATTGTTGTAGTGATAACAACTAAATAGACGATATACTAGAAGACTCCTAGTAAATCAATTGTTGTAGTTATAACAGATTGGATCATATAAAAATTCTCACTTGGAGGGAATGTAGCTAATGTTTCCCGGACAAATCTTTCGATGGTTAGGCGATATACTAGAAGAATTTTTTTAATCTTTTCCCGTAAAAGATCAAAGACAAATTATTACTTGTTGTATTTTAAGTAGTTTATATCTTTAAAACACTTTTACTAGATCACTTTGTTTTGGAGGGAACATAATAACTACATTATTTCCCGCACAATTTTTAGGAGGTTAAATAAGATTTATCTTTTCCTGCAAAAAAGGAAAAATGGCGGACAGATTCTCTAAAGAAACAGTTATAAATAGAATCATTGCATCAACACCAAATCTCCCATGTACTGCTATTTCCATTTATCACTGGTGAGTGGAATTTTTTTTATAGGGTAATTTGCTTTTCTCAGATAAAATTTTGTTTTGTTCAAGGAAGTTCTCCCACTAGAATATTTCTTTTATGATTAGATTTCTAATGATATTTGTGATTGTTTCTGAAATCACACATTTGCATCCAGCCTTTCCCATTCAATAAAAGGTACAATTTTATTTTTTTATAGCAAGAGAACACATTTGCAATCAATTTTTTTTTTTTTTGGTTGAAAATCTCTTCAAATATATATATATATATATATGCATATTGAATGGAAATTTGTGTTGTTGGATTTACTATGATTAAATTATGGGTTTAATTCACATAAATTTCAAATTAACTTGCGTGTGAAATTACTGCAAATCTGAGTAATTATGTTTTTATCCTACAATAGTGACTTAGCGTTAGGTTCACATGTATACTTGATCTTCCTTTTCCCTTGTCGTTAATCAAGTATGGACAACTATTTTTTAAAAGGTTTCTTTGTATTCATAATGTTTTTATGCTGGCATATATGGAGGAAGTTGGACCCCCAGAGTTTGTGTCCTTTTCTTCCTAGCTTTTAATGAAACTTTAGCGTTTCTGTTTAGTTTTTGAATAAGTATTCATTTGTGAGATTCTGAAGAAGTTTGGTCATAGTTTATAATTGCCATAATTCAAATCTGTAGATGGTTATAACTTATAAATCTCCGTTTTTTTCTTTTGTTATAAATTGTAGATGGTTGGACCGGGAATGAAGAATATAGGGAAAAATCCCATCATCCAAACTGAAAACAGGCAATGCTTCTCCAGAGGAAAACGAGTCCAGGCCATCTCTACGCCAAGTATCCAAGAGTTTAATTTGCGAGATGAAGAACTAAATGATGATGTAGATGCATCATCAACCGTAATTGTTCCACGAGTTGGAACTAAGCGTCCACTGGTGTTACCAGAGAATTCCATGGCGAAAGATGCTCAAAACACAAGAGACTTGACTCCTACTAGGAATGAGGAGCAAATTGTTCAAGCTCCTGCTAAGGCTACCTGCATAACTAAAGGTGCATAAATCTCAGGAAAAAATATGGTTATTTTGTTTTTTTTTTTCTTCTGCACCATTTGGTTTATTTTAAAAACAATAATGCTTTATCTTTCTCTTACAATGAACACTAAATGCTAGCCTCTTCGGCAAAGAGAGGAATTACAAGAAATACCCGACTAGCTAACAAAAGGAATGCAAATGAACCTGTTGTGGTGGAATTTGATGAATCCTTCAAGCGTATAGTTGGTCCAAGATCACAAGACTTCATTCAAGAATTAGGTTGTGTTGTCCGTAAAATGGCGGATTTCACTTTGAAGAATTTCCAGTCACAAAAAGAGACTTTGATCGATGACATCATCAAGAATGCATCGGTATGTATTAACATTTGGTTGAATATAGATTTTGCAAAAAACTTCTTTTCATGGTTGTAATTAAAGTTTTATTTTTTAAAACGCGCAGGATGGCGTTCGATATGAGGATGGACATTTAGCAAGAGAATGTACTTTTAAGCAATTGGTGAGCCAATTCAAGACTCACAAGTTTAAATTGCATAAGATATACAAAACATATGAAACAAATGATCTTGCAAAGATGACTGTTCCGGAAGGAATGGATGCTAGGGATTGGGCAGTTCTTTAAGTCTTGTAATAAAAATGTGTTGATCAATGACATACATGATAAAGTTACAGATATATTCCTTTGTTATTTTGATACCAAAACAAAAATCTTAATTATATGAAAATAAATTTTAATGTGAAAAAATAAGAACTTTTTCATCAAACATAAAATCCAAAGTTGTTAGTTCAGTTTAGTTTAGTTTAATATAAGTTTTTCTTTTTTTGGTAAGTGAAAAAACATATAGGGATGACTTTTCATGGTCATTACAGTTAAATTAGGTTAGTGACGGCAAATAACGTCACATTACATTTCAATTAAGGCTTTTGTAGTGACGATGACAAAAAGTCGTCAAAAAAATGGTAACTAAGGTTGGTCATCTAGCCGTGAATGCTTTCCGCCCCACAATTTGTTACGACTTCTTGGCCACTATATAGGTTTCGCCACTAAAGCCAATGACTGTGACCAAAATTTGTGACTCCTATTGACCCTGTTACTAAACAGTGCCTTTAATGACCAATATCACCTAGTCATTATATAATATGCCACTAAATGGGGGTTTTTTCTTGTAGTGTGTTATGATCTTTTGCTTGAGTTCATAAGGTATATGAATTCTTTTTAACGGTCTAGTTTATTTGTAAAAATTCCGCACTCTTTTAGAGTTTCACTTTTAAACATATTTTTAAGATCTTTCTTGTTGATGGTTCCATTAATGAAATTTGGTTCGTCTACGAGATTGCCATCATATTTTGGTATCAGAGCAAAGGTTAAGAAGATATCCGATTCTCTCTTGAGAATATGGTTCGAAACCCTAGCAATGTGCTAGAAATTGATGTCTATATCTTTTATTTGGACTAAGGTTCTTTTGTTTTCAAAAGAGTTTTGAGAAAAAATGAAACAAACTAAGAGAAAATACAATTTCTTAAGGTTTCCTTTATTGAATATTTAGAGCAAAAACTAGATATTGATTTAAGATGAATTTTTGAGTGTTTTGGTTTTGAGAAATTAGTGAGTCTTGTTGAAGTTGTGTAAACAATTGATTCAAGGTGGGCTTCACTCGAGATTTCCTTTGAAGTTGAGATTGGAGATTGGTTTCTTCATGATCAAGTGATTTGGAACTTATGTGTATCATGATTAATTGATTTAGGGTTTGATGCCAAAAGCGAAAGCACATAGCCTTACCTTTTTGAGAGAGATTATGTATACATGAGCGTGTGCGTGTGTATAGTTCCAGGTTCTTTGAATTTATGATCTATGAATTTTAAAGGTGGAATATTCATGAAAGTATACTACTTAGTGTATGGAAGTGTTGATCTTTCCTTCTTGACTTTAGTTCTTTATGAATTGAGGAAGAGTAAAATCTAGGGTTTGTAGTGTTTCAATCAATGAGACGTCCATAATCGCTATTAGGTTTTATTAGATTGAGTCTTGTATCGAATTATTGTAATTTCTACCTAATGTGCTATGTGAAGTGTCTTCGTCGACTTTCTTGTCGAGTTGCGCGTCGACTTGTGTGTGTTTCCGTTGACTTCCTTGTCGGGTTGTTCGTCGACTTTGTGTGGTTTGATTTTGAAGCTTTTAAAGTTTTGAATACAATATGCATGCAAGGTGTCTTAAAGAGATCAATGCGTTCTTCGAACTTTTGGGTTAGTGATTAATTGTTTGAAGTCTTTTTCAAGAATAACGAGACATTTCTTGTGGAGATTAGATTTTCATTGGTTTGGAATTTATCTTTTCGAGAGTTTATGTTTTATGTGACTGTGATTTAATTCTTGTTGAGTCATATGAATGAGATATGAGTTTTAGAGTTTATACTCTAAAGTTTACACGTATAAGAGTTTCCATGACGTACTTTGGAGATTACTTGTGTCAAAAGTATGTAATTTGTATTGTTTTAAGTGTTTTAAACAAAATATTTTCAAAAAATAAAATAAAATTAGGAATTAGATTTTTCGAGTCTATATGACTATGTGATTTTCGTTTGTTGAGTTTCTTGAACTTCATAGATGAAATAAATTTGCTTGATTGCATGATTAATATTTTTGACTTTCAATTACATGATTGAAAGAGGGTTTTTAGTATTTAACTAAAAGTTTTTGTCCTTGATTTTAATTGAATAATTTCGAGAGTTATTTAATTGTGTGTGTGCCGAGATTTTTATTCCTATTTCGTGTGGGAAAAGAAATTTTTGCATGTGTGAATGTGCGTGTGTGCCGTGTTTTCTTTTTGGAAATACCAAAAGAAAATTGGTTTTATTTGTCAATTACCTATATAATAGGAAGGGAATTAAAAGAATTTCCTAAAAGTTATTAAGGTATGTTACTTGATCTTATTTGTTTATTTTCGGCCAAAATATATTTAAAAGGGTATGTTTCTTAAAATTATTTTTCTTACGTATTAAGTATTATTTTAAAATTAAATTTTCTGTTTTTGAAAAGATTTGGCCGAATATGTGTCATTATTTTCGGGTGAAAATTGGGAAAATAATTAGGGTTTTATTAATTGGGAAATTTTGAATTATTAAAATAGGAGAATTGCCTAAAAGCTAAACCTATATTTTAATTGGAAAGTCCTTGTAGGAAAAGCCATCTCATGTTTATATAAAGGGGGTGTCTTAGCTGAAATTTTCATACATCCCAACCTCCAAATTTCTTTTTGATCTTTGAGCTAAAGTTTGCATAAGGTCTTAAGGTTGAAGGAATAACTAAACCATCTCTTTTCTTCTTCTTTTCAAGATATCACCTCTTAAAAGGTGAAGAGAGTTTTTGCTAGTTAGTTTTGGGGAGTGTCAATTGTCGAATCTTCCTTTGATTCGAAGGGGAAGGGTTTCTCGGATTTATCATTAAAATCTAAGGGAGTTTTTCTAGTTGAAGGTGATTATTTGCTCATCATCATGAGTGAAGAGATTGCTAAGACGTAGGTGTGTTGTCCATGTCGTGTCATTGAGGCGCGAGTGCAAGAATTGGAAGCTTTGTTGAAGGGCTTTGAAGTAGGTGACATTGGAGTTCATGATGAGGTTGTCAACAAGCAATTGGTGAACTTTAGTGACAAGGTGCTTCGTGTGGAACAAGAGCTTTATAACCTTAAGCAAGAGCATGAAGGTATGAAGGGAGGCATCTTCAAGGAGATCGAGTCTATGCAACGAGATTTGATCCAACATTTTATTGAGGTAAATTATCGAATGGATGCAATGAAGGATTATGCGTGTGTTGGTTAGTTAAAATTTGAAATTCCAAATTTCTATGGTGGGATTTGTGAAGGGGTGGAATCTTGGGTTAATTCTATTGAGAATTTGTTTGAATTGCTTAATGTGACTAGGGATAGAGCTAAGATTGATATTGCTATCCAAGGGTTGTGAAACGTAGCTTTAAATTGGAGTGTGCTATACTTGCGTAATATAGATGAAAGTGAGCATAGTTGGTATGATTTTAGGGAAGCAATATACAATAGGTTAAAGTAGTGATATTGTTCATGAAACACAACATGAATTCTATGAACTTGTTCATGGTGACATGGATGTTGAGTCTTATATTGCTAAATTTGAGGAGTTGTGCTTGAATGGTGGTAATAATGACTCGAATGAAGTGTTAGTTGTGAGATTCTTGAATGTCTTGAATTCTTGTCAGAAAGATAATGCGTTTTTTATGGGAGATAGAGAATTATATCGAGCATATCATAGAGTTTTGTTGTTGGAATTGCGAAAGAATAGAAATATTTGGAAGAAGTGTAATGATTCTTGGAAAGAACAAGGTGTTGCTTTGAGATATACTCCTCATTGTGTTGAGTCAAACGTGGATCATGTCTTTTGTACTATAGGTGCGATAGATCGGGTTGATAATTTGATTGTGGCTATCGATGGGGGTAGTAGCATCAATTGGATAAGTGAGGAGTTTGTTAGAGTTTTGGAAGTGAAGGACTTAAGTGAACATTACAAATTACGGTTGTTGCATGGTGGAATGGAATTGAGCGTTACTCAAAGTGTTAAGGTGGATCTTCGCATTGGGGATCTTGTTTCGAGTGAGTTGCTTGATATAGTACCTATGACGGCGTGTGATGTTGTTTTGGGTCTTCTTTTCATTAAGAAGTTGGGAATGGTCTTTGTTGGTTCATTGAATGTGTTCTCATATCGAGATCATGAACATAGATTGGTGGAATTGAGATCATTATCACCGTGGGAGAGTGAGCATATCATGTTCAAGAGACGTGAGCTTGTTAGAGCATTGTGCAAAGTGACGGATGTACAACAAAATAAGAAGGAAGGTACATTAGAGGAGGGTGAATCGAGTGGTGTTGTAGGAGGAACACTCAACGCTAACCAAAATTTATCTTTGTTTCATTTTGTAGGTAAAGATATAAGTCTTGATTCGAGGACGAATCCTTTTCAAAATGGGAGGATGATGAGAATCATGTAGCTTCACATCGAAGTCAACATCAAATGAAGGAGCAAAAGGTGTTCTTGTCAGTTGGTGGTCCAAGGTTGTTTCCGTTTAAGAATAGAAGAAAGTTTACTATGAGAACTTGGGCTTCTTTGAAGGACTATTCACCAATGCCTTCTAATGGGAACAATGAGGTTGAAGAAGAATCGCTTAATCATAATCAAGTGTCTGAGGAGTCAAGTGGTGATTTCCCTAGCAAGTGGAGTGATTCAAGTGATGAAGATTCAAGTGATGTCTAAGAGATTGATGCAAGTGAGTTTGTTCCAAAGAGTAAGCGTCTTGAAGCGATTGAAGATGCACATTCAAGTGTGTAGAAGACATCATTGGAGCTTGGAGTTTTGAATGGAGCCGCGCGCGCCCATCAAAAGGAGGGAAACGCGCGGGAAATATTTAATTTAAGTTATTTAAATTAAAGTTTACTGTGAGAATAGAAGGTTGTTTCCGTTTAAGAATAGAAGAAAGTTTACTGTGAGAACTTGGCCTTCTTTGAAGGACTATTCACCAATGCCTTCTAATGGGAACAATGAGGTTGAAGAAGAATCGCTTAATCATAATCAAGTGTCTGAGGAGTCAAGTGGTGATTTCCCTAGCAAGTGGACTGATTCAAGTGATGAAGATTCAAGTGATGTCTAAGAGATTGATGCAAGTGAGTTTGTTCCAAAGAGTAAGCGTCTTGAAGAGATTGAAGATGCACATTCAAGTGTGTAGAAGACATCATTGGAGCTTGGAGTTTTGAATGGAGCCGCGCGTGCCCATCAAAAGGAGGGAAACGTGCGGGAAATATTTAATTTAAGTTATTTAAATTATTTTTGAGTCCATAAATAGATAATAAGTTTAGTTACCTAGAGTTAAAATAAAAAATTTACCATAAAGGTAAATTCATTAGGGCGGCCGAGAGGGAGTCCTAGGGTTTTATTAAATTATGGTTTAAAGGTTAATGTATAGCCGGCCCTAGAGAGTATTTCATTAAGGGTAGATTCGCCTTTTATCATTAAAAGATGTAAAGTTAATTACTTTGCTTGATGGTCAAGTTTAGTTAGAGTTTGAATAAAAAATGACTACGTCATTCCTTTCTGTGAATTGGATCGAGTAGTACAAGGAAAGTAGAGTTTCTGTGGCCTAAAGTAAAGGCTAAATAGTAGGATTTTGTCTTGGAGAGCAAGGGAGCTTGCATATATAAGGTGGCCAAATCCTCTCACAATAAGTGTGTTGAATAATATGAGTTATTGAATCAAATAAATTGATTTTGAACCCTTTTTGTTTTTTCTTAAACAATGAGTGTTTCTTGTTGTTTTCAAGGAGAAGAATGGTTAGTTCTTTATTTCTTTCTTAGAGCCTAACGTGTGACTTGGTTCTTTGAGTTAAACCGTTTTATCATGTTGAGCACATTGCATGATTTAGCTGTTTTAAAACTAATGTTCTTATCATCTTTTGATATGAAGGTCGATAGGTTGAGTATGTTAGATAGCTTGGTTTGTTCGAATTCTTTGTGTCCTAGGGTTGTAAGATACCTTGTTAGTTTATCTATTTTATAGATGAGTTTGCATGGAAATAGCATGATGAATAATATGTTTTGTTTTGCTTATTACCTTGGTTATGAATGTATATGGTCCAATATAGAGATATATTTGATGGTTTGTTTGTAATTGAGTGAGTGATTTCCTCTTTACATGTGTCGTCAATTATATGGGTGATTATTCGATTTTATTGAAGGGTTTCATCTTTTTAAGATTAAGTTGTTCGATCCGAATGGTTATTTAGATTTTGTGTTTTGATTTTTTGCTTGAGTTCATAAGGTATAGGAATTATTTTTAACGGTCTAGTTTATTTGTGAAAATTCCGCGCTCTGTTAGAGTTTCACTTTTAAACATATTTTTAAGATCTTTCTTGTTGATGGTTCCATTAATGAAATTTGGTTCGTCTACTAGATTGCCATCAACAATTCTCCAAACGCTTTGTTACTCCAAAACAGAATAAAATCATTCAAAAAAATACAGGAAAATCATTGAAATCGATGCCAATGTCAATTCAGCTCAATATTTCGAAGTTCAAATAGCGACCGTGCAGCCGCTTTCTTCCGTTGGGTCATAAACCTACTAGGCGGCCAGCCCCCTGAATATGGAAGGCTAGTTCCACCACTGAGTGTGGCACCAATTAGATGCCTTTTCGCTATGCTTCCTATACTTTCTCCCATGTAGCTGCTGCTTTCTGGAGAAAGAGTCGATTTTGTGATAATTTATTAACAACTTAAAATATCCAAACAAAATCGTCCCGTTGGCCATTTTTACATAATCGTCCCATTTTTTCTTCAACCAACCAATATTGAGGCTATAAGATATAATTATGGGGTGAGTAACATTCTAAAATATCCGAAACTAATTGAGAAAATGGTCAATTTTGCCCAAAACTTCAAGTGTCTGGCCAATTTGAGCCAAAACATTTTTGGGAAGCCAAATTCATCATATAAGCATCAATTTCTGGCCAGTTTAATCCAATTGATGAGAATTTCATTAGATTTAACGTCTCCACTGACATTTCGTTACTTTTTACTTTTTTACTGAAAAAAGACCTTTATTGACCCAAAATTTTAACATTTATCCCTACTGTTTTGTTATTCAATAATATATGCTTATCTTACCATTTAATTATTATAATCGTTCCCACTACATTATATATCTCCTAACCCAATTGATTGCTCCCACCCTAAGCCCCTTCTTTTTCTTCCTACCCCTTCCTCCTTTACTTGTTTTCCGCCTCCGCACCACCACCGCCCTATTACTCTTCTCCCCAAAAAATCCACCATCGCCACTTCCTAAATCTGCGAGGATTTCAAACCATCACCAAATACATAAAAATTTACCTCCACCAACAATACACATTCCTCCCTCCATCACTACCAGCATTATCGAAGCCGCCACTTTTCTTCAATTCCACAAAAATTACAAAATACTTTATTTATTTTTCCTATTTTCTTCCTTCTTTCTGAAAGAAGTAATGGCCATCGATCCCTCTGCCTGCACCATTTGTCCCTTGCCTACTTCTTCTCCATGGTAGCCGACAAAGAAATCATTGTGGAGATTTGCTTCTCTTTTTTAGCAGGTTGTCATTAAATTTTCTTTTGATCGTTCCATTCTTCAAAATTCTTTATGCCCAGAAAATACCTTTTTTACATTTCGTGGGTGTTGATTTAGAGGGTAGTCTAATTTCACTTATTGAAGACATTTTCCATCCATTAAACTCAAGGGCTATCATTTAAATTGATGTACTATGCAGAAGAAGGAAAATCAATGCGCCTACATGGTCGTTAAGGCGGCCAAAGGTGATGATAGTCGTGTTGGCGGCTGGAAGTGATGGTAGATACCCACTTTTCTTTTAAGTTTTTTTTTTTAAAAAAGAAAATAACAAAATAATGAAGATAATGAACAAATAAAATTGATGCTGGATAATAGAATCTCTCAAAATTAATAGAATCTTTGGAGTTAATGACGACATTTTCTGAGTCATTTTGTTGAGTAAAATAATTTTTAATGGCATTAAATTTTTTATAGTCACTTGAAATAAATTTCATCATACATTAAATATGGTGTCTAATTTTTGACATTAATTCTAAGTTAAAAATAAAAGAAGGTTAGCCTTTTGGAATACAATTTTGAAATAAAAAGATGTACATTAATCCAATATAAAAAGAATTTAAGATACATAAATGTAATGCATAATATAATATAAAGAGTATAAATGAAAAAGGAAAGAAAAAACTTTTATGGATATATTTTAGAACAACTAAACTCATCGGGGTTAAAATGTCAAAATTATTGGGTCCACAACATTTTTTTTCTAATAAAAAACTGTACAAAGTTACGGAATATCAGCGGAGATGTTATATCTAATGAAATTTTCTTCAATTGGATTAAATTGGCCAGAAATTGAAACTTAGATGATGAAGTTGGCTTCCTAATAATCTTTTGGGTCAAATTGGCCAGACACTTGAAACTTTGGGCAAAATTGACCATTTTGTCTAATTTTTTCTGTTTAATCAGGTGGTTTAGGTATATTTACTTATGATATACCCTTGTTTTAATTCTATGGTTGTTAATTAACCTAATTAATCCTACAGTTATCATCCTAAAACGGAACCGTCACGTAGCGGGACTCTAGCCACTCCTTATATATATATATATATATATATATATATATATATATATATATATATATTACTTCTCTTTATATAATTGATGATTGATCAGGAGTACCTTCCGAATCTGAATCCAATCCGGAGAGATTCTAGTTCTGATCCAAATCTTATTTGAGTTCCACTTTATCTCAGACTACATATAATAAAAATAATAATCTATAACCTAAAAAGAAACACCTCATCCAATTCATCCCAACCTTGCAATTTAGTCTACAACTCAGTTACAGAAAAAAAGAAGGGCTAGTAGATAGATAGACCATTAATCCTAACACTCACAACACAATATCAGTAAGATGATGGGTTTAACAAGAGTAAAAATGTAGAATTAAAGTGAGAGTTTTAAAATCTATTGTGACCTCGGTTCCCTTGAACAGGTGAATCACAATGAGAGACATGTTTCTGCGCCATGGAAGGAAAGCCAGACAAAACATATCAAATGTCCTAATCCCCTTGATTAGCACGATCTGGTCTGCTGTTAGGTCTACAGCCATAGGACGTCTGCTCCTTTCATCTTCAAAGACATAGGTAACCTGCAGGAGTTGCAACAACCCAAGCTTATCTTCTCTATCATAAAGATAACGCGCATCAAACATCCCTCTCCCATCGCTCAGTGATTTGTTTAAGACGTTATATGTTTATTGAACGCATCTCGAAATATTTTGTAAAACTCCTCAGGCAAGCGTGATATTATTAAGCAATTGGGATTATTATCTCATCAATTATCTCGTCCGTATAATCAACCCACAAATAAAATATTCAGTTTTATAACATTTAGTTTATACTGAACTTTAAAATATAACACTTAAAGAATGATGTTTACATGTATACTCGACCTAATTTTTGTTTAAAAAATAAAACATCTCAAATCTTTAAAAATTATGTTGAATATATTACATTAGATCGTTACAAACAAAATTGAATATGGTGATAGTAAAATAAAATTAGTGGAACCTTTGACTTAGTTTTATCATGTTTTAAATAAATAAAATCGTAAGTCAAAAGTAGAAAAAGTCCAACACTTGAATTCCTCAATTTTTGGCTATTAACGTTAAATCTTATCAAAGTGGGAGATTTGGCTTCTGATTCTATGGAGCAGCAACGTGCTAATTTTGCACTATAAATAGATGGACAAATTGAGGAGGAAAGGTGCACCATTTCGAAAGCTATCTCTCTTTTCTTCCTTTGCTTCATTCGGCTATTTTAGCCATTTGTTCCATTAACTATCAAATCTTTTCTTTTCTTCATTTATTTTTCGTTTGTTGGTTTAATAATCTAAAAGAGTTAGCCATCAGTTGTTTTGTTTTTATTTGTTTTGTTGGCTCAACTCAAACAAATAATTTTGCAACAAAAATCATTGTGTTTTCTATACTATTGCTGGATTATATTTTAGCTGTTCTTGTTCCCTCTATCAATTGGAGGAAGGCTTGTTTAATCTCGGGGAGAAATTTCAATACCATTGAAATAGTTTCTTAAGGACAGTACTTTTTAGCTCGACTCAAGTATTATTTTATTTTATTTATTTATAGTATCAACGTTGATTATGCCATCAACATTGATAGCATTAGCATGGCAAGAAGTCATAGTTTCTTAAGATTGTTATGACAAAAAACAATGTGTTTGTGGGGAAAGTCTATTGTAATCAAGGACTTTTTGTACTTAACATTTCCAGTATCATCAATGAAAGTGTACCGAATTCTGCTTATATTATTGATTCTATTTCTTAATGGCATGCTAGATTAGGACACACTAATATTGGTTACATAAAGAAAATGCAATCACTTGGTTTAATTTCTGGTATTAATTTTACTGATACGGATAAATGTGAAATATGTGCTGAAACTAAAATCACTAAGAAAACTTGTAGAAGTGTTACTCGAGAAACTGAATTATTAAGTCTAATTTATACAGACTTAGGGGATTTAAAACAAACTATGACTAGAGGAGGTAAAAGATATTATGTCACTTTTATAGATGACTATTCTAGGTATACTAGACTTTATTACTTCGAAATAAAGATGGTGCTTATAATGCATTTACACTTTATAAAACTGAAGTAGAAAATCAGCTTAATAGAAAAATAAAAAGAGTTAGGTCTGATAGAGGAGGTGAATATTTTGCCTTAAATGAACTTTGTGAAAAAGAAGGTATAATTCATGAAATAACGCCTCCTTATTCACCTGAATCAAATGGAGTAGCTGAAAGGAAAAATAGAACACTAAAAGAAATGATAAACTCTATGTTAGTAAGCTCTCAAGCGCCTGATAATTTATGGGGTGAGGCTATACTATCTGAATGTCACTTACAAAATAGAGTTCCTCATAAAAAGACTGACAAAATATCTTATGAATTATGGAAAGGTTTTAAACCTAATTTGAAATATTTAAAAGTGTGAGGGTGCCTTGCTAAAGTATTACTGCCAGGCCCTAAGAAAAGGAAAATTGGTAGTAGAACTTCTGATTGTATGCTTGTTGGATATGCTGAACATAGTGCTGCATATAGATTTCTTGTTTTGAAAAGGGATGCTTGATTGTAATACTATTATTGAAACAAAGAATGCTAAGTTCTTTGAACATATTTATCCACTGTCAAATAAAAATTCTCATGCCCCTGTTGAATGTGATAGAGAAATTCCCGTTGAGGATGAATTAAGAAGGAGCAGAAGGCAAAGAAAACTTTTTTCTTTTTGAAATGATTTTCAAACTTTTCTAGTTGATAATGAACCTTCAAATTACAATGAAGCAATAAACTCTTCTGCTGCAAAGTTATGGAAATAAGCTATTCAAAGTGAGATTGATTCCATTGTGAAAAATAAAACTTGGATTTTGGTAGAACTACCACCTGGTGCAAAACCAATCGGTTGCAAATGGATTTTTAAAAGAAAATTTAATCTCGATGGAGCTATTGATAAATATAGAGTTCGTTTAGTTCCAAAAGGTTTTTCACAAAAACAAAATATTGATTATTTTGATATATTTGCACCTGTGACTAGAATTTCTTCTATTCGAGAACTATTTGCTTTAGCTTCTATCATAAACTTCTTATACATCAAATGGATGTAAAAACAACATTTTTAAATGGCGATTTATAAGAAGAAATTTATATGGTTCAACCTGAAGGATGTGCTGTTTCTGGAAAAGAAAACAAAGTTTGTAAATTAGTTAAATCTCTTTAAGGCCTTAAACAAGCTCCAAAACAATGGCATGAGAAATTTGATCAAGTGTTAAAAGGAGATGGATTTTCTTCTGTTGAAGTGGACAAATGTGTTTATACTAAAAGTATTAATGGTGAATATGTGATTGTATGTTTATATGTAGATGATATGCTTATATTTGGTACTAGTTTATATGTAATAGATAGTACTAAATACTTTCTATCATCTAATTTTGATTTGAAAGATTTGGGTGAAGCAAAAATGATATTGGGTGTTAAAGTTATACAGAGAACTGATGGTATAATGTTGTCACAAGAGCATTATGTGGAGAGACTTCTTAAGAAGTTTGAAAACTTTGATGTGACACCGGTGAGCACTCCTTATGATGCTAACACTCAATTGAAAAAACATCGTGGTGACCCAGTTGCTCAATCTAAATATGCTCAGATTATTGGGAGTCTGGTGCATTTGATGAGTTTTACACAACCTGATATTGCATATGCTGTGTGTAGACTGAGTAGATATACTCATAATCCCAATCATGAGCATTGGTCTGCAATTGTTAGACTAATGAAATATTTGAGAGGAACCAAGAACTAATGTATCCTATATAGTGGATTTCCCACTGTATTAGAAGGATACAGTGATGTTAACTGGATCTCTGATTCAGACGAGACAAAATCCACTAGTGGCTATGTGTTTACCCTAGGAGGTGGTGCTATAGTATAGAAATCATCGAGACAGATGATTTATGCTAAATCAACTATGGAATCGGAGTTTGTAGCTCTTATGCTAGCTGGTTTCGGCTGATTGGCTGAGAAATCTCTTAGCGGATATTCCTTTATATAAGGATACGATGTCTTCTGTCTTTATGCATTGTGATTGTGAAGCGGCAATTAATATTGCCAAAAAGAAATCATTTCATAGTAGAAATCTACACATGAAATGGAGATATGATGTCGTAAAACAGCTGTTGAAGGATAGAATTATTTCCATTGATTATGTGAAGTCAGAAATGAATTTGGCCGATCCTCTGACTAAACCTTTGGGAAGAAAATTAATTCTTCAAACCTCAAAGGAAATGGGACTTAGACCAACTGATTGTCAACGGAGATGGTAACCCAACCTATGTGATTGGAGATTCCATGAAGTAGGTTCATATGGGTAATAACAACTCAATATTGATACTGAAGTACTTTGAGTTAAAACTCTATTGTGATGGGTGCTTAAACTGATATCTATTGTGAGGTTGAGTTAAACTCTTAATGAATTCATATCTCTTACGAGTAGTGTATCTAAAGCAGCGTACACTTGATGAATTCACGTATATGAGAGTGGATTGGGGCCGCTCCTATAAGATCTTATGGTCTGATCTTTAGAGCTCTCATGAATAACCAGGCGCGTGCATGGCCTATTGGCGCAAAACCGTATGAACAACAAAATATGGGTTTGCATGGTGGTTAGTAAAACCTCTTTCTTACAAATAGAATACTTGGTTCATAAAAATTTTACTTTCACCAATTATTCTGTGAGTCATGTTTTATTAATCTAAGTTTGGTTCATAGTCCAAAAGACAACAGACTGATTGCACTGCACCCAAACATATCCAACAACTTTTTCTTTTTGTTATTTTTTAAAATCTTTGAAATATGTGGGGGATTGTTGTATAAATTAAAGCATTTCAAATAGATTTTAATGAATAAAGATATTTTTAATTTTTTACTATGAGTAAATAAAATTAGTGGAACCTTTGACTTAGTTTTATCATGTTTTAAATAAATAAAATTACTAAGTCAAAAGTAGAAAAAGTCCAATACTTGAATTCCTCAATTTTTGGTCATTAACATTAAATCTTATCAAAGTGGGAGATTTGGCTTCTGATTTTATGGAGCAGTAACATGCTAATTTTGCACTATAAATAGATGGACAAATTGAGGAGGAAAAGTGCACTATTTCGAAAGCTCTCTTTCTTTTCTTCCTTTACTTCATTCGGCTATTTAGGCCATTTGCTCCACTAACTATCAAATCTTTTCTTTTCTTCATTTATTTGTCCTTTGTTGGTTTAGTAATCTAAAAGAGTTAGCCATCCGTTGTTTTTTTTTTATTTGTTTTGTTGGCTCAACTCAAACAAATAATTTTGTAACAAAAATCATTGTGTTTTCTATACTATTGCTGGATTATATTTTAGTTGTTCTTGTTCCCTCTATCAATTGGAAGAAGGTTTGTTTAATTCTAGGGAGACATTTCAACACCGTTGGAATAGTTTCTTAAGGACAATACTTTTTAGCGCAACTCAAGGATTATTTTATTTATTTATTTATTTTATTAGCATTGGCCTACATTTTTTCTTACAGAAAGTTCACAATTATTTGAAAAATCATTTCATCAAAATTTTACGCATGGATTCTGTATAATGATGTTGATAGTATAAAATGTTTAACTTATTTATATTATATATTGGAACAAATCAAACTCTACAAATATTATCTCGTATATATTGTTAATTTATATATATAAATATAGTGTCTGGATATAATAGCTCTGATGTTAATAAAGAAATTGCAATTCTAAGAAGTTCTGTTTCAGTCACTCAAATAAAATCATATTCAACGTAACTTAGAGGTAAAAATATCGATGTTACTGATGAAGCAATTGAAGAATCAAATGCTAGACGTGAAAAATAGATTATGGAAGAACAAGTCATACTTGCGAAAGTTTGGCTAACTATATCAACATGTACAAAAGTAGGTACCTCCCAAAAACAAAATCAATTTTGGGAACAAGTCATTAATTGCTACAATGAGAATAAAAAGGGTAAACCTAATAGAATCAAAGCAAAAGTCAAAGCACGATTGTAAATCGATAAACATACAAATTAATATTTTTAACCATCACTATAAACAAGATTGTTGGAGACCATCCTAGTGAGTGGAATGACGAACAATACAAACTGCGTGCTCGATCACTTTATTATCAAACTGAGAAGAATCATTTCACACTTAAGCATGTGTAGGTGGTGTTAAAAGATAATCTAAAGTGGAAAACAACCATTCCGATAGAGAGACCTTCTAAGAAAACAAGGACCAATAAAAGTGGAAAATATAATACTTCATCCGGTTATGATTCAGGATTCCACCTAAACGAAAAAAATATACCAAAAGTGATCCACATTTTTTACCACATTTCAGTAATTAGGGAAGAAATCCCTTTTACATAAAACTATCAGAGAGGCTGAGCTGGAGAGATCAGGAACCACATTTTATATCGGTGCATTGAAGATGATCTAACGTGTAAATAATGTAGACAGAATACGTGGCTGCCACATCAAATGCAATCCAAAATGCTCTGCACGGCTTCAGTCAAAACAGAGGCTAAACTCTCATCATTAGCGATGATAATGGTATGTGCTGATGTGAGTTGTAGCAAAGCTTTCTTAGGCTCCACCACATGCACAAAAGAAGTACTTTCAGAACCATGCAGGCTCATTACTTCTTCAACTCTAGTATTCATTCCCAATTTCTGCAAGCTAGTCACAAGACTCTGTAAGTCGACGCAGCCCATGCATATCAATGGCGTAGTCCGAGAGCGAAGAATCTGTTCATGTCCAATACCCAATTGAATTTTGCCTTGTATCACTGAGAAATCCCCGTTTGCTGTAGCAATGTTAATATCTTCTTGTCCCATTTTCGTTGAACAAAGCTGAAAATCCAAATATATCTTGCAGTCTACATCTGTACCGCTCTTCACTCTTGGTATGTGCAATGTTTCACTTTCATGGTAGTAGATTAATGAATATGAGTGGTTTGACCATCGAATGTCCTGCTTCAATTTCTCAGGCATCTGAATCACAATATCAGCATTACAGTTACAGCCATTAAGAAAAAAAGGCAGCAATCTACAGAGAAGGTTAAACAGAGGCCAAAGGATTACCAGCACATATTTGGGGTTAAGAAATTGAAGAAAATATTCAGCTTCCCGTAACCTGAAAGGCAAAAGGAAAATGCAAGATGTTACAATTTAGCCAGAAGTAGCCTACCCCAAAAACCGTGAAAATAAGAAGAAATTAGAAATACCATTTTAACTAGTAATCCTGAAAAAACAAAAACTGTCCCATAAGAGTTGAGAAAACTCACAGAACATACAGAGAACAAAAATCATTTCAATCTTTTGGAACAGAGAATACACTACATAAAATTTTTTGAACTATAGGAAAATATTATATACATGAAAATTATTCCTTTCTCAAGTAAGCCTAGTAATAATCATGCTCCAGAAAACAACAGAATTTCTTTTATATTCACCTTTTGTCTGAAAACCAATTCAAAAAATATTGATGTGGAAAAAAAAGCTTAAAAAAGTATAAGTTTTTTGCGCCTTACTTCATTCCAGAAGGAAATGAACAATGAAGGACTTTCATTGCCATAGGTTGAAAAGGTAAACATGCCAAATTTGCATCTACTCCTTCCTGCACACAATAAGTGAAAGGAAATTGGAAGCAGTAAATATGGAATCATATTGACAAATTCAGCAAGAATGTATAAAAGGCGACAAAACAATTTAGAGCTTGAATTTGCACCTCTATTATGAGCAACGAATCAGTCTCCCCACACCAACGTTGTAGCAAATGAACAGAAGGCCCTATCCGTAAACTCCAATGAGGAGAAAACACTATACATGGCTCCTCCCAAATTGCTCTGCATACAATAAATCATTGATCAAATGTCAGCACTAAAAAGAACTTAATAGACATTTATGACAAATAGAACTCCAAGCTGAATCAAGTAAATAAAGGAAACCCGAATTCGCAAGAAAAAAAAAAATTGTAGGAAGAGAATTAACATCTTACAGTAACTCGGAGGAATAAATTTCTGGAAACAAAAAGAGCCTCTTCTGCTCTATAAGATCCATGAAAGAGAAATAACCCTGATCTGAATGAAACTGCAAAGAAGATTGAAGGACCGAAGAACCCAATCAGTTGACTGATGATTAGCCATCACTGATAAAATATGAAAGAGCCTTAACAAACATTATCAGCAGAAATACCTTCTCCTGGCGCTGCTTGCATAACCATTCAGGCATAACCTTTAAGAATGCATGCAACTCTTCAGCAACAGAAGAGATAATATAAATAGGAACCTGAAATAAACAAAGTGGATTAAGTTACTAACTTCAGCTGACAACAAAAACTCCATAAAAAATATTCAAATATAAAACAATCTCAATAAGAGACTTATCCTAAATTTATGCTTCTTATTGACATAGAAACCCAAGTGAACTATAGTTTTCTCTCAAACAACAGCAAGGTGGAGCAGAAAAGCATTAATAGATAAGTCACTTAGAAGTAAATCATTATTATCATACTCATAATCAAGCATCCTTTGGTCCTGATATAAAAACACCCCAGTATATGCAAATAACATCCAAGCTGCACCAACCCCTGCTGGGTTAACCAACAGCCAAAGATTCAGATGTATATAGAAACCAGAAAGCTAACATAACGAAGACAGGATTAAGTTAATACTGACTCTGGAACGATGTTACAATTCTGTTATCAAGCTGTGTGCTTCTAAGAGGCATCAACAACAAATGCATCAAAAGCACTTGAGTGATAACAACGACGAGTTTTACATTCTAATATGAACATACTGACATCTGAAAACGTTTTACTTTTTCTTTTCTTTTTTTCTTTATGGAAAGTTTCATACTCATTAGCATAACGGCAAACATTACAGGGAGTTCCCTAGGTGGAGGCACAGTTTTGCAAGTCTATGCGAGCCTTCTACTATGTCCCTACTAACTTTGATAATATTTAGTCTCCAATGACATCTGAAAATCTATGAGTTTTACATACATCCTTTCTGATATGACAATACTGACATCTGAAAATCAGCAACAGCTCCAGAAAAGATTACAATTAATCTTAGATTTATTAAAAAAAGGGGGAAGAAAAAAGAAAAGAAACAATTATCTGAATTTCACAGTTAAGAGAAATGTTTGAAGCAACTAATAAAAGTAGTGATATACTATCATGTCAGTATTATAAAACAAGTTTATTTCATAACTGCAAGAACCTCAGAAAGAAAGTACCTTCAAGGCTTGAGACTGCAGAGAAAATGTGAGATGCTCCAAAAGCTGTAATACCAAACCAAGTCGTGAGATGGGAATCAGAACTGAGCCTCCAGCATTTGTAGATTTGAGAGCCCATGAACACAGAAAAGTCAATTTCTTTGACTCGTCAGCAAATTCATCATGATTCAGCAAGAATTCTGAAATTCTTTCACCAGCATCAGGTTCTTCACTGCATGATGCAATATATGTAAGTATGTATATATCCATGTGACCACTAAAATCCATGCTTTAAGAACTTTCAAGAAGATCCTTCTAATGAAACAACAAAGACAAAGAGCTCAGTTACCTGAGATTTGACGGAAGTTCAGCTGCTGCACCGGGGCTAGTGAAATCGACCTCATCCTTGTGAATAAGATCAGCTGCTATACAATCTGAGAAGAAGATCACATCACTTCCCCAGAGTGCATGATAGTCAAATTTTGTTGATATTTCTGATGCAAAAACGGAGCCTGAAATGTAGGCAACATTCTGCTTGGGACTAGTGATACTCCAGTTACAAGTTCCTATGTCTAAACCAGAGCTGAATGCCTTCAGCAATAAAATGCCATTATAACAGGCTTCTTCAGCATATTTAAGTGATTGAACTCTTTGCATGCATTTACTTACATCAGCAGCACTGAAAAGCATTCATAATTACAACTTTATAAACCACACTTCGACTAATAAACTTCAACTCAGTAAGAGGAAACACTAACTTTTGTAAAACTAGTGTGAACTAGATGGACAGAAATATCCAGAAAGGCTTGTACACTTGAATATAAATGTAATTGATGAAATTTCATAACTTCAGTCCGCTACATCATAAACTCTTCCCCCATAGGAAAAGTTACTCCCACTGGGGCAGTTTGTGGACATGGAGCAATTAAACCTCCGACATTATGGAAAAACAAATGATATAATCATGTGAACTACAGAGGCCACCTCATATCCAATGTATCTAATCCACAAGCCACTTCAGAGAAAGGACTCTTTACTCTAATATAATAATCAAATTTAACCATATAAATATTGCCATGGAAACAACTGCTACTTTGCTAGATGAGAAATATCGAGGGGTTTTAGAATGCAAAAGAACCACTCATTGTTTCATCGTTACAACCAAAATTCATACTTCAGTTCAGGAAAACTAATAAGATAACATTCTAATGACTAGTATACTTCAAAATTAAGTCTTCAGAATTCCTAAGTAACATAGAACTATCAGTTTCAGTAAAGTTAAGTGTTGTTAGAAAACAAATATTTGAATTATGCCGAAAACATCATCACCTGGAAAATTAATTTAACTTTTTTTCAATTTCCTTTGCTCAGACAGTTGGGTAATAACACAAAGCTGAAAAGCGAGTAGACGATCACAGGTGTATCATTTAAAAAATTACGACCAAATAAAGCTCTATGTTAAAGTATCAGTACCTGTACAATGGCATCCAACCACCAAGGTCTCCTCCATCTCTGCCTATAAGTATTTCTTTTAGTGCAGTGGGAAGCAATTCAATCGCATCCCATTTCAGCCATTCAGGGGAAGGCCCTTCAGGTCCATAAAATAGCCTTGTTTCCTTGTGCATTGCAACAAGGTCCTCCATCATAAGCCGTCCAATCCTTGCAGCAGCTTCTGTTGCATATATCTGACCCAATCATGAAACTAAACGGTTTACACAGTAATTCTCACCACCGAAATGAGAGATTAACACACAAAGAAAAAGCATATCACTCTTACCCTAGCCGAAAAATCTGTGTCTCTAGTCAAGAATGGTAATCCAAGCATGCCCATTGGACTACAAATCAGTACAACGTCAATTGAAGAAACATCCCATAACTTCAAGCTTTTCACAGTTTTGTACCAAGGTTCAGCACTTATTAAACTGCCCACATCAAGGTCATCCCCAATTTTTCTCTTCTGGCCGGAGCCACACTCCGAACACGAAGAAGCATCACATGGGCAGGCATGATAACATTCCTCGAGCTGAGCATACAGATTAACGGACAGAGGAGAGAAAGGTAACAGGGCAGAAAGGTCCAGCGGGCAATCAAACAAAATCTGAAACCCCTGTACTTGAAGTATGTTGCAGGGCGGGAAGTGGAAACCCTTGCCCTCGCTCAAATATGTCTGCAACGAGAGAAATCATTATGGTTATAATACAAGATTGAATCAATATCAGAAATCATTTATAGCAAAAGAAAAGAAAGTATTGGGGGAAACACTCACAAACTTCATCAACTTAGACTTCAACCAAAATTGGAAGGTAGTATTTCAATTTCTTGGTACTTCTGGACTGATTTGAAATGGCCAACCTACGTTTTCTAAGTTCTAATATGCATCTTTTGTTCAACTTCTCGATTAAGTACAACGGGGAAACGGGAGTAGGGGTTAGAGCTGGCACGGCGGAGGGGATGGGGAGGAGTTGTGGTGGCGCTGGGAGGGATATGGTGGCTGGCGGGAGTTGTGACAGGAAGAAGTGAAATCAGAATGCTAGAATTTGAATTGGAAAATCTTTTATGTACACAATTTTAAATTTTTAGTTCAATGTGTTCGGAAAATAGAAGAAAAAAATTGTAATATTTTTTTTTGAGAATGGAAAATGGAGAGGGTCAATCCTGACCGGCTCAAAGGGAGCGAATATTTGGGCCTTAATAAGGGCCCTATTTGGGCCTTAATAAGGGCCCAAGCAGTTCGTCTGGCCTTTATAAGGATTAAGTTCCTTTTATACGGTGGATATTTACTATTAATTACGGTTTTGCCCCCGAACAGCAGGGCCTACAGGTATTGTCCCATTGAGAACTCAATTTCACTCTCTCTAGCACTAAATTAAATCTTCGAAGTGTTAATCCTTGCATTGCAGGTCCACGTTCAGGTTTGACCGTTGACTCCACGCCTCCGGCATTTACTCTCGACAAGTGGTGCCGACTGTGGGGACCCTTTTCTTACTTGGCCGAGGATGAGCCCAAGTGCTCTACGTGGTTTCTACTCGAACGAGGCCTGATGAGGAGACCAGTTGTAGGCCATGACTTAGGTCGCAAGTAGTTGGAGCTGATTCCTGCGCCTCCCCCAAACAACAGGAGGAGCGGTAGGAGGGTAGAGACACAGGTGCAGCCTCTAAGACCAGCGACCAACAGAGCCGGTCCAGGAGGCGCAATGATCATCATAAGGAGCGTGGTCGAGATTCGGCCGAGAGCAAAAGGAGTCGGTCCCGTCGGACCGGCAAAGAGACTGAAAGGAGTAAGGACCATCCTCGGCGGATGTCTCGACGACGCCCGTCCTACTAGTCTGAGCAGGGTCCTCACGATCACCGTTTCTGGAAATTCTTTGCTGGGAGGTTCCCCGGATTTGAGGAGCAATTCTGCAAATTCGAAGATATGTACTATGACGGAAAAGGCGAGGGCCCCGATGATAGCCTCTTGTTCATGGGCGAAAGGAGGGCACCCCAGAGCCATGAACAACGTAGGGGCAGGGTCGCCGATGTTCCCAGGGGACGGGATCCGGATCCGCTGCCGAGGCTGGAGCCGTGAGTGGACCGCGAGGTGGTGTCAGATCCCCGACTCGAGGCCATTCTTGGTGGTAGAGAGTCGCACAGAAGTCCCTTTGCTGAGCATATCAGGATCTGACCGCGGAGGTGATACCTGCCAAGTTAGCTTCCTAGCCGACTACACGGCGACGATGGATTTGCGGGACTCTCCCCGAGGGTTCTCTGCTAAGGCCATGCCTACCTTTCTAACGGGAGCTGCCAAGATATTGTTTGACAGCCTCCCCCCGGGCAGCATGACTTTTTACGCTAATCTAGGGGAGAAGCTTCATGTTCGTTTCTTCTCCAGCAAGAAGGCCAGGCGCACCATCCACGACCTGTCATCTGTCAGGTAGCGCCGGAACGAGACTCTGGGGCAGTATTATGAGCGGTTTACGAAAGAACTCATGATGATAGACTAAGTAGACGACCTTGTGGTGAGGGTAGAGTTCGTGAATGGGCTGTCACCTTTTGGTACGGGAGCAGCCCTCAGGGGCAAGCTGACTGCCAAGCCTCCCGCCAACAGTCATAAGTTGTGGGAGACGGTAGAAAAGGAGATCAGGGCGGACGAATCCATGAAGGGAGCCAGGGCAGCCTTTGGCGAAGCTGAGAAGAAAGGAGGAAAACCGGAGGGGAAAAAGCTGAATATTGGCTCCCCTAAGTTTGATCCGAAGGCTCCCCTTCTTACCAAGACAAGGAAGGAGATCCTGCAGATCCATAAGAGCGAGTTTAAGCTTCCTCCTCCGGGCAAGTTCCCGGACGAGTCCTCTTCTGAGTGGTGTGACTTCCATCGGAACAAAGGCCATGATACAGAGGACTGCTTCCGGTTGAAAAAGGAGATCGAGGAGGGGGTTAAGGCCGGGAAGTTCCAAGAGTATGTCCAAAGGGCTCGGGGGAGAAATCAGGCAATCATCCCAAGAATCGATGGTGGAAGAAGAACAAGGGCAAAGTTAGCAACCAGGCCCCGGCCACCGACGAGCCCAAGGCTAGAGAAGGGGTCGACGAAGCACAGGCGCGGCAGATCTTGGCCGCCCCTATTGGCGCGATATGCGGAGCTCCCCTGGGGGTCCAGAGTATCTCGGCCCTCCGGAGGAGTGCGCGCCCTCGTTCTCCCGGAGAATCTGAGGCGAAGCATCTTCGGCTGGAGAACTTGATTACTTTCTCAGAACAAGACCTGGTGGGTGGTTATGAGAACTATTCGGACGCCTTGGTTATCACGGCCATCATTGTCAACCGAGAGGTGGGTGTATGTGGACAATGGCAGCGCTGTGGATGTCATGTACCTTGACTGCTTTCAGAAACTGGGCCTTGACAAGGCGCAACTACGACTGCTACCATGCCCCTAGTGGCGTTCTCTAATCATGTGATAATGCCCTTAGGCGTGATCAGCCTTGCATTGACCGTACGGAATTATCCCAAGGATTGGGTGGTCATAGTCGACTTCGCAGTGATAGACATGGTTGCCCCTTTCAATGTCATTTTGGGACGACCATGGATGAGTCAGACCAAAGCCATTTATTCTCCTTACCACCTAGTCATGAAATTTCCCAACTGAGGCAGGGGTTGCAGAAGTCTGCGGCGATCAACAGTTGGCCCAGCAGTGTCTGATGATTGCTACCCGAAAAGGGCGAAAATTCCTCCTCAAGAGTGCACCTGTTGGCGTCATCAAGAAGGCACAAGTCTCTAAGGTCGGCGAGAAGCCAAAGGACAAAGGCCCTGATCTCTTGGAAGAGGAGGAGGTCGCGGATCTGGCTCTAAATCCTTTTGTTGAAGGAAGGGTCGTCCGGTTGGGGGCCGTCCTTCCCCCCAGCCTTTGGGCTTAGGTGATTGAGCTGCTGAGGCAGTTCGAGGACATTTTTGCTTGGAGCCCGAGTGATATGACGAGGATACCTCCCGAACTGGGTGTACATAGACTGAATATAGATCTCGGCGCGCGGCCTATCCAACAAAAGAGGCGGAAGATGGCACCAGAACGTAATATGGCCGTGGACGTCGAAGTCGCAAAGCTCCTTGCCGCGGCGATCATCAAGGATATCTTCTACCCCACGTGGCTGGCAAACCCTGTTATGGCTAAGAAGCCTGATACCTCCTGGCGTATGTGCGTGGGTTATAAGGATCTCAATAAATACTGCCGTAAGGATTGCTACCTTCTCCCAGCGATCGAGCAGAATGTAGACACCATCTCAGGGTACCCCGTGCTCAGCTTCTTGGATGCCTACAAAGGGTATCACCAAATCCTTATGGATAAGTACGATACGGAGAAAACCGCCTTCATCACTGAAAAAGGCGTGTTCTGCTATGTGAAAATGCCCTTCAGACTGAAGAATGCGGGCGCGACCTATCAGCGGGTGGCAAACCGCGTCTTCGGCCCGCAGTGGGGCAGGAATGTGGAGGTCTATGTGGACGATATGGTGGTAAAGAGCATTAGGGTCAACGCAATAGTCGACGACCTCCGAGAAACTTTTGAAACCCTTCGGTCTACAAAAATGAAGTTGAACCCAAAGAAGTGTGTGTTTTGCATGGGGTTAGGAAAGTTCTTCGTCTATCAAATATCTCGGAGGGGTATCAACGTCGACCCTTCCAAGGTGCGGGCCATCCTTGACATGTAAGGCCCCCTCCCCCCCCCCCAAGTCGGTAAAGGAAGTGCAAAGGCTCACGGGATCAATCGCGGCCCTCGGACAGTTCTTGTCAAAGGCCGCGAAGCGAGGCCTTCCGTTCTTCAAAGTCCTCAAGAAGTCGAATACTTTCAACTGCAACGAGGCCTGCCAAAAGGCCTTCTTGGAGTTGAAGGACCACCTAAAGGTTCTCCCAACTTTGAATAAGCCTGACCCGGGGGAGATTCTGATCCTTTATCTGACAGTGGGTGATGCGACCATGAGTGCCGTTCATGTCCGGGATTAAGACGGGAAATAGATCGCGGTCTACTATATCAGCAAGGTCCTTCCTACCGAGTCTAGATACACTCCGACGAAGAAGTTGGTGCTCTGTCTCGTGACCGTGGCCAGGAAGCTTCGCCCTTATTTCTAGGCTCATCCCATAGTGGTTCTAACCGATCAGCCTCTGCAACAGATTCTTCGAAGGCCCGATATGTGGGGTAGGATGACTAAATGGGCAGTGGAACTCGGAGAGCATGAAATAGAATTTTGACCGCAAACCTCAATCAAAGGTCAAGCCTTGGTAGACTTCTTTGTTGAGGTCCCCAGAGGAGCCGAGACGAAAGAGGAGGGAGAGGAGCGACTCCGCGTGTGAACAGATCCTGCCGGCCCGCGGATGTGGACCCTATTGTTGACGGGTCTTCCTCCGAAGAAGGTTTTGGTGCTGGGTTGGTGCTAGCTGTTCCGGATGGAGCATAAGTCACTTACGCCCTCCGATTGGACTTTCCGACCACCAACAATGAAGCCGAGTATGAATCTTTAATTGCGGGGTTATCGGTTGCCCGCGCCCTGGGAGCCCAAGAAGTGTCTGTGTTCAGTGACTCCCTGGTGGTCGTTAACCATGTTCTGAAGCTGTACGAGGCCCGAGAGATAGTGCTCCAGAAGTACCTACAAGAGGTTAGGGAGTTGGAATGTGGCTTTCAAAATTTTTGCATCCAATCATCCCAAGGTCCCAGAACAAGAGAGCAGACGCCCTAAGCAAGCTAGCATCTTCTCAGGCCGTGCACCTCAACCAACGAATTCACATGGAGACATTGACGTGCCCTAACATCCAGGTTCACGAAGTCATGCCGGTGGCGGCCGAGGAGGATTCATGGATGGCGCCTTTCGTCCGATCCTGCAAGACTGCACATTGCCTTCGGATAAAAGGGAGGCTAGGCGGGTCCGCCTTAGGGCTCCCAACTATGTGCTATGAGTTGGGGTCCTTTACAAGCGGGGGTTTCTCACTCCCCTGCTACAATGTGTTGGGTCGCGGGAAGCAGAGCTGTTAATCCGAAGCATGCACGAGGGCGCCTATGGAGCTCGTTTGGGGTCTCGCAACTTGGCTAAGAAACTCATCTGCATCGGATATTATTGGCCGACCTTGTCCCAGGACTGCTATAACCTTGACCTCCGCTGCTTGCAATGCCAAAAGCACGCACCCATTCCTCGACTCCCCAGCACGAGTTGGTCCCTATCGAGAGTCTGTGGCCCTTCTACAAGTGGGGGACAGATATTATTGGCCCTTTCGAGACGGCCCCGGGAAGCTCAAATATGTGATTGTTGCCATCGGTTACTTCTCTAAGTGGGTCGAGGCCGAGCCTTTGACTTCTACCACTGGTTTGAAGGTGGTAAGGTTCTTCTGGAAGAACATCATCCTTCGGTTTGGAATTCCTAAGGTACTGATCTCTGATAATGGAATGCAGTTCGAGTCCGGGCTCTTCAAATCTTGGTGTGAGCAGTTCGGCATCGAAAGACGATTCTCCTCTGTTGCACATCCCCAAGCCAATGGCTTGGCTGAAAATATAAACAAGGCAATCTTACAAGGCATGAAGACGCAGTTGAAAGGCGCGGGTGGCCTCTGGCCTGAGGAGCTCACCCACGTCCTTTGGGCAATTCACACCACCATGCGGACCGCAACAAGGGCCACATCTTTCAGCCTCATTTATGGCATGGAAGCCGTCCTCCCTGGTGAGATCAAAATTCCCAGTCCCTGGGTGGCCAACTTCGCGAACGAGATGAGCGAAGACCAAATCCGTCTCTGCCTAGACTTCCTGGACGAGAAAAGGGACCGAGCCACGGCCCGCGAAGCCAAGTACAAGCAATTGATGGCCAAATACTACAACTCCAAGGTTCGGGCCCGGGAACTGGAAGTCAGAGACCTTGTCCTTAGGAGGAACGATGCCAGCCATGCTGGGCCTTCGGGAAAGTTGTCTCCCGATTGGGAAGGACCCTACAAGGTTGTGGAACTGTTGCCCTCAGGGAGTTATCGCTTTTGAACGTGTGAAGATGAGCCTCGCAACATTCCCTGATGGTGGAACATCTAGAATTTTAAGAAGTTTCACGTTTGAGGGTCGTCCCCACCTTTTGTAATAGTTATGTCCCCCGTTTTGGCTGTTTCGGGGACAAGGATGTACCTACTTTTGCTGTCAATATATGGATTCCTCCTATGTACTTGAGCCTTTTTTACAAGTCCGTCTCGACCCCCGTGGCTGACGGCACTGTATGGCCCCCGCGGCCTACGGAACTCCTACAGCCCCCATGGCTTTGGAGCCCTTTTTTACAAGTCCGTCTCGACCCCCGTAGCCGACGGCACCGTATGGCTCCCGCGGCTTACGGAACTCTCACGGCCCCCGTGGCCTTGGAGCTTTTTTTACAAGTCCGTCTCGACCCCCGTAGCCAACGGCACCGTATGACCCTCGCGGCCTACGGAACTCCTACGGCCCCCGTGGCCTTGGAGCCTTTTTACAAGTCCGTCTCGACCCTCGTGGCTAACGGCAGCGTATGGCCCCCGCAGCCTACGGAACTCCTACGGCCCTCATGGCCTTGGAGCCTTTTTTACGAGTCCGTCTCGACCCCCGTGGCCGACGGCACTGTATGGCCCTCGCGGCCTACGGAACTCCTACGGCCCCCGTGGCCTTTGAGCCTTTTTTACAAATCCGTCTCGATCCCCGTGGCCAATGGCACCGTATGGCCCCCGCGGCCTACGAAACTCCTACGGCCCCCGTGGCCTTGGAGTCTTTTTTACATGTCCATCTCGACTCCCATAGCTGACGGCACCGTATGGCCCCCGCGGCCTAGGAACTCCTACGGCCCCTGTGGCCTTGGTCTTTTTCCTCACAATTGGTCGACGGCGCTCGTGGCCTTATGAATAGGTACCCCAACGGTCACCTTTCACGGACAAGAGGTACGCTTCCTACTAGCAATCAAAACCCCATTTGTTAAAGTACTACGGTTCAAAATATAAAATTCGGGGGAAGATAACACACCACCCCCAGGTAGCCTGGTCGTCCTCTAATAGCTTGGTGAATTTTATACACAACTGTAAAACAAGTAATAAAATAATATACGATAAAGGAAATAGATGAATAAAGGATAGAAATGGGGTCGGTTTTTGCAAAAATATGCAATTCTATTTCGTATCTTTGAGGGTATGAGCCTCGGATATGTACAGTTACAAAAGTATCTCAAAAAGCCCTAACCAAGAATACGCCTAGTGCGACCCCTGCCCCAACTCGTGAAAGAGGGCGTTGTTCTCATATATCAAACGCTCAGCTTCACAAGTAGGGGAAGTGGGGTCGTCTTTCATAGCGGGGCAGGATTCAGGCCATAACTCTGCGAAATCATAATCTTTTCCCGTTTCCACAATGAATAATACTGCGCCCTCGAGAGTCGCCTGAAGCTGACCGGCATAGAGATTCTATCTTATCAGAGGCGCGATCCCACTGCACTGCAACCAAAGCGTAGGCTTTTCAAAGGTGAACCAATACGCTTACATAATAGTTATGGGGTATGAAGTCTTCAGGGCCGGGCTCCGGTAAACCGTCGTCTTTCTTCTTTTTCCTAATCTTGGCCTCGAATGTCCGAAGACGCTCATTGGCTAACATCTCTAACTGTATTGAGTTCTTCATATGATCCTACCAATATGCTTCTGAGTCCCTCCACAGCCTGTCTAGACGGTCGTTTTCGGCTTTCAACTTCACAACTGCCCCACGAGCCTCGTCCAGCTCTGAAGCCCGGAACGTAGCCAAGGCCTCTTTCCACCGATCCTCCAATCCAGACAATCTTCCCTGGTTCCGGTCAGAAGGGGGCTCGCTAAGGCTCCAGCAATGGCTGCGTAAAGGGGAAATGCCTTCGGATCAACGTAGGGGTCGGGCAATTGCATGTCCACCCGGGGGATTCCCGATATTTCCCACATCCCAGGTGTTGGTGGCACATCCCAGGAAGTCCCCTCGAGAGGATCAGGCATGATCGAAGCCGTGCTCTTTCCCTAAACACGTATGTAGCGCGTATATGTTGGGGGAGGGTTAAGAGACACGGGCGTTATAAGCTTTAAATAAAAACAAAAAGAAAAAGGGGGATTGCAAGACAAGACTTAAATTAAAAAGGCCCTGTTCGAGCGCGAGTGCCGTTGCATTCATATAGATTCGACTTACATTACAAGGTGAATGACACAATTACCAACAGAAAACCTAACCCTATGCATTATTCACCTTGTCCCCATTGCTGGAGTTGGAGTCAGTGGAGGTTCCACCTTCGCTTTGGCCCTCAGAGTTGCATCCACCCGGGGGTTTCCTGGCCTCCTTCTCCGAAGGGATTACCTCATCCGGTCCCGGTGGTGTACTTGGGGGGGGGGGTAAGGATCCCCTTCGGCATCTTGAAGACGACGGAAGGCTCCCCGGGTATCCAGGATATCCTCCGGTGAAGTGACGATCGGGCAGAGTCGAGACATCTCCTGAATCATGAGAAGAAGACCAAAGTTCATCTCCCGAAAGTGTTTGCAAGCTTTGCACCTCAACCGTGCATCCGATGTTCGACACTTCATGTCCCTATTTGCGTATTTGTCCAGCACGGACTGGATATCCTCTTCTTTCTTCCTGGCCACCTCGACTTCCAGCACCGCATCCCAGGCCCCCTTCTCCATCGCCGGATCCATGACATCATTTATGCCGAGGGCAAACTCGTTGGATCCCAAGTATCTCCTAATCCTCGTGATGATGTATTGATCCAGCTCGGACTTGGGATGGTGGCGGACCTCAGACTTCTTTGTTGGGGACCTCAACAAGGATCGGCAAATACCATGAACAACATCATTCACTTAATATAGAGGAAAAAATCAAAGGGAAATGATGGAAAGTAAACAGAAAAAGAGTCACAACCCCCTTCCCTCTCTTGGGCCCAGTAGGGACACCAAGAAAACAAATAAAACTAACTTGAGGCCCGTGCAGTAAATAAAACACCAAGTTGGAATTCATCACATAGGCTTCCTACAGTATATAAAACTAACTTGAGGCCCGTGCCATTACCATCAAAAAAGTGTCCCCCCGGGAATCACTAAAGCTTTACGATAATGCAGTCCAACTTCTATGCCTTTCTTCTCCTCTTTTTCTTGCAAAATTTAAATAAGGTATCAAAATTCCCAAATTACTTCCACAGAAGATTAGCAACCCTATCAAACAACGAAACCAGCTTTTTGGAGTTGTCCAACTTGGATTTTAGCTTTTTAGCCTCCAAATCGGATTTCAATCTTTCAGCTTTCAACTCTTCAGCCTCCAACTCGGCTTTCAATTTTTCTGCCACCAACTCAGCCTCTAATTCGCCCCATAATTTTTCCGAAAGAGCCACGAGCCCCATAATCTCACCTTGCATCCAAGATGACCTGCATTCGAGTTGCTGCTTTTCACCTTCCATTTGGCTTATTTGAATGCTTAGTTTCTCCAAATGGGCCTTCAGTATCTTAATCGTATCTTGCAACAAAGACAAACGATGTTCGACTTCCTGCTTGTCAGCTTTGATATGGTTTATTTGAATACATGCTTCCAGGATCTTGTTTATATCTTCTATATGGTTTGGAGGCATGCCTTCGGATACCCATTGCTTCACTTTATGCTCCACCAAAAATTCAGGATCAGTCTCTACTGTTTCCTTATCCTCTCGAGGCACCCCTTCGAACTCCACTAGGGTTTTTGGAGCCTCTATTATGGCTTTGATTACAGATTCATTTTCCTCCAAAGCTAGGGTTTGAGTTTCCAAATTCTCCACTTTGTCCTCCACTCGGGTTTCACGAGCTAGGGTTTTAGGAGTGTCTCTTATGTCTTCAATGGCTTCGATTATAGTTTCGGTATCCTCCGGAGAAACGCCTTGGGTTTCCAAACTCTTTACTTTCTCCTCCACTCCCTCAGGACTGTCGCTTTTGGCTTTGATCATGGTTTCGTTATCCACTAGACTCTCATGAGGCGATTCTTCCTAGCCCTTACTGAGTGCTTCTTCTAAAAGGTTTCAAAGGCTTTCTTGCTGGATTTGACAATGTGAGTCATGGATCTGATCTTGATTCCGGTGGGAACCTTTCCTATGGCGGCTTGGGAGAAGTTAAGGCCGGATTGGGAGCTTGGGAAAAGTACAGTGTGGATTTGGGAGCTGACCTAACCAGCCCACAACATGGGGGACAAACGTAAGCGACCGCCATAGCCATGACTTCTTAGATGCAAGAAGGGTTCCGTCGGCGGTGTTTTGCTGTGAGAAGAGATGACAAGTAGTAAAGAGGGATGAAAGTCACTCGCCAAGGGTTTAGGGTTTATAGTGGACATATATGTACGTAGATAAATATAGGGAACTAACCCTTTGCCATTGATTATTGCACACAGAGTGTTTTTTTTAAAATAAATTTATTATTTTTTTAACATTATTAAAGTTTTTATTGTACTGTAACTCGAGAACCATATATTGCATATTATATTTTTCCTTCAAAAATAGTAATAATTTATTGAACTCTGAAATTTATTGAACTTTTTGATTGAAAAATTCCCCTTCATGTCCATAACACTTTGAGATTATTAATTTTTGGTTTACGGTTTTCTCATATCTATTGGGAAGAAAATTTGGTTCTTGGAGGGTAATTACTAAAAAAAAATTTCACTATGAAATTACTAAAATATTTAGAATATTTTAATTTTTTTTGTAATCACTAAAAGTTACTGAGCTACGAACTTGCGTTAGCAAAGAGGTTAACTTTGAAAACATTGTCGGCACTACCGCAAGAATTAGCCGACAAGAGACAAAGAACCCTAATCCTTATAGTAGTGGGCTTTTTTATTATATATATACCTCCTCAATCGCGTACTTTGACGATATATAGTTTTCTCCTTGTTATTATTCTTGTATTATTTTCTCTAAATTGCACTCCACAGCCGTAATTTGTTTCTCTGTCTTTTATCATCCTACTACCAAAATCCTAGGTTGTATACATAAGGATACAACATCTTCTTCTTCTTCTTGACGTAATTCAGTCAAGCAACGTATACAACTGCTCGTGATTATCTTCGGTAAGTGTTGTTAGATTATTCTCTTGATAATCTAATTCGAATTAGATCAACCTTTTTTCCATATTCTTTGTCAGAGCTTTACGATGACGATGATCAGGGACTTGAATGTGGATCTTGAGATATTCAAGTGGGATCCCAAGTTAGTTAAGCCGGTGGAGGAATCAGATAGCATCTTGGGCGGTTTGTTTATGTTCAAAGTTAATTGTTACTGAAGCACCGGTGGTAGCGAGCTTTGCGATGAAAATAACCTAGTTTTGTTGCTATCTAAGTTCCATCTACCACGGTTAAACTCTCCTAACACCACAGCATGTTTAGTTCTTTACGCCCTAAAACAGTTGCATGTTCTTCGTCCTTGTAAGAACCTTAACAAGTTAGCCTTGGCAGCCGAAGACCTGTGTTGGAAGTTTCGTTTCAGTCCTGAAATCGAGTCCGCTAATCAGTGTCACAAGCCTCTTATTTGTTTCAGTTTCGATGTTCTTCTTGCAGAAGAATCCGTACCCTCAAATACTAAGCCTTCGGAGTCATCTGAATCGTCCAATGATCATGATATGATTGATGATGATGTTGATAATGAGGGTCAGTTTTCTGATAAGTTAGTTAACCTGGGGAGGTTTTCGTCCGAGGAAGAATTCCTTGCTAACTTGAAACTTCATACGCGATTATAGTGGAAGGAGGATTGGCCACAGCTGATGTTGAGCCAAAGTTGAATTATGTGCTTAGCGATGATAAGGATTCACTTGAGAATTGCTCAATTTTCTTTGATAAGTTATGTGAGGATAGCGGTTACCCGATTGTTCAGACTGAATGCTCTCACCAGTTTCATAAGGATTGCATGTACAAGTGGTTGCAGAGATCTGATTCTTGCCCTTTGTGTAGATCATCTTGCATTGTTTGGGTTTGATAAGTGCTTTCTGAGTTTGAATCATGGAACCGTGTCCATCTTGCATTGTCGATTCCGATGGTTGCATATGGAAACCTGCGCTTCAACGGTAAGAAAGGAGCCATGTGCTTTCGGCAATTAATAGAATGATACTTCCGGAGGGCATGGATGTGGAAATAGGAAACATACTCGGAAGTATCGTACTCGGGTTTTGCTTGAATCAATGTGGAAGCATCATTCTTTTGATTACCGTGATCGATGCAAGTTCCTCATGTGCAATTATACAGACGATGTTATTATGAGACGGGGAGAGGATGTCTTTGCATATATCTGGAATCATATGGCGGTTTCGATGCAATCATATGCGGAAGTATCATTCTATGTATTGTTCTCACAGTTCTCATATGCAACCATGGGGTGGGTTGGTTGGGGACCCTGGGGTGCGCTTGAATTTGTTTAATATGATGCATCATGATAAGGATTAATATTTAATAATTAAAATGATGTAACTACATTAGGATAGCTGACTAGGCATTCATAAATCACACTATGATCATAGTTTAACTTCAGTTTGCTATAGTTTAAGGTTTTAAATCATGTTTAACATTTAGCATTGGGCAGAAACCCGCTATTGCAGGGTGGGTTGGGGGTGGGTTTAACGGGATTGTTGTACGCGATGCATGATGGACAAGGTTTTATGATTCAACTTTGGATCTCTCAAATACATGTTTCTGCAACCATGGAGAAGACTTAGGTGCATCGCTCTTGTGGCTACGTGATGGTTCAAGGTCTCACTTTTCTAGATTTGTTGTTTGTTTTTGTATTTTGTTATACTCCAATCCGAAATTTTGAAATTTTATTATTAGTATAAATTGAAATAAAAGTGAAAATCTAAATTGGACAGTAATTTTGGGAGAAAAGGAATAAAACTTTGAATCTACATTAAAACATTAATAAACACCTTTTATTTTTCATATATATGTATGTGTGTGTGTGTGTAATTTTACACCGATCTCATGCATCATAGCTCTATCGGTGTTACTTCTTGAATTGCAGATCCACATTAGTCTCATTTAGTTTCATTTCCTTCCAGAATCTATAAAGTAATAAATCCCCGACACTTGTATATATCAGGGGGAGTTCATTACTAAAGGTGAAATAATTTTTATGTCCCTAATGAATTTAACAATTTTGTGGAGAACGTTTTGGCCCCTTTTAATTTGGTACTTAATCTTCACTACGCTTTTTTCCTGATCCAACAAAAGGGTCATGTTTGTTAACTAGTTAGAGTTGATCTAGAGTTTATATTCCAATGAAATACTAAATTAGTACACTATTTAGCGCAATGAATAGTTTTGCACCAGATTTGGTGTAATTGTCTATTACACTATTTTTAGTGGTCTTTCTTTTTACTTTTTTTATTTCTAAATATATGTTTGCTATGTAATTAAACTTATAAAACAAATTATGTTATGAAAATTTTATTATATTAAATATATTGTTGAGATCTTCAAAATAATATTCATATTGAATATAAAATTTATTATTAATTTTAGTTATTTTAAAATTGAATATAAAACAAAATTGGCAAAAAATACTTTTACAATCAAATAAAGAGCGATTGTAATAAACAAATTTTACAAAATTATCACCAAATTATAAGATTTTAATTACCTAGAAAGATAAATTTAAACTAAAACATTATATTTAGACCTTTTGGTGCATTAACATTGGAGTGAAAAGAAAATTTTGGTCTAAAAAGCCGCTTGGAATATTCTATTTATACACCAAATTTAGTGCAAATTATAGAACAATAGACAAGTGCAAACATTTTGTTGGGGAGTATACTACAAGAATTTGTTCCGCAACCTAATGTCATACGCATTCGAAATTTAACAATGTTCCATATAACCTAATCCCACACGCATTTGAAAACTAAAGAATTCTCTATCTAACAAGACTATTTAGTCAAAGAAGTGTTGATTTTAAGTTTATAGCATTGAACTCAATCAATTGTTTTTTTCCTTAATTAGAGTGCTCGATGTCAACAATGATCAAGAGTGTGCCACGCTTACGAGTGTTTAAGTGGGATCATCAGCCCGGGCAACTGGCAGATTTCTTATCTAGTTTCTGGATGATCAGTGTTTATTGTTACAAGAGCAAGAATCGAGAAGTATGTGACAAAGAAACCCGAGTGTTTCAGCCACCTAAGTCCGGAATCCAATAGCTAAAGGATAGTCAAACCACAACAACGTTGTTGTTTATATGCCTAAGCCAATTCCACTCTCTTCATGATTGTAACAATCTTCAGGAGGTAGCCAGGGGAGATACGACATACTTATGCGGTCAATTCCGTTTTAGCCATGTGTTGGAATTAGTTATCCGCCCATGACAATAACTAGAAGTAAAGTCTTAATCTATCCTCATCTTAAGAAGATGAACTCTCCTAGCCATTAATACTTGTGTAACACAAGAGATAAATGAAGTCGTTAGTCACTCCTTTATAATGGTTGTAAGAGAGAGTATTTGGAAGTGAGTGAGTTATATGAGAAACGCATCCTTCATTATACTTTTGTCATTCATTGATATTATGAGTTAAGGCACTTGAAGTGGTGGAATTAAGTTGGAGCTCTTGTAGGTTCAACTCACCACGGGTCAAGAAATATTGTAAAAGAGTTCAATCATGTTATTCCGCTGCGCTACGGTAAACCGTTCTAAAAACCTTCATTGGTATCAGAGCTATACTGAATTCTTTTCATGTTCTATATGAATGATTCATGGTTAAAATGAGGACCACTAAATTTTGCGTGGATGAACATTATATATTTTTTCGCTGTGAAAATATTACTTAGTATTTTATTTGATGAATATGCACAAACGAATAAATTAATTATGACTATTATTTTATTTTATGCAATACATGGAAGAATTTACGTGCTCGTTTGATTTGCCATGAAATTTGTTTGTCAAAGGCATATGTACATATGATGTATGTGACAGTAAATGTATTCATTTATCACTGTTAGAACATCAAGGCATCCAATTTTTGACTATGTGTTTGAAATAATATTTGATCAGGATCTTATAAATATTTTTTGGTAGTACACGTTTTCCAAATTGTGGAAAAGAAAAATGTTTGCTGATCCTAAAGGCACCATTGATGTTACTAATTTCATTTATTATATGATTAAAGAAGGTTTTTTTTTTCTTTGTCAATAACTTGCCATACTTTGTTTTGTTCATAAATACTGATTCATGTTAGCTACGGTTATGTGTAAGTTTTAACATTTAAATTTATGCTTATTCAAATTTGACAATTGTATTTGAAATTGCTTTAGTAAGAAACATGAATTTCAGTAACAATAGCAATCAAATAATTAGTGCCATGTGATTCCATTTAAATCAAGTGGTAGAAATAAATCTGGATGAGTTGTATTTTTGTTTTTCAATAGAAACAAAACCAGATTTTGAAATAATTTGCGACTGTGAAATACTTTGAAAATTTATTGAACCAATTTAGTATTATTATAGACCAGTGGGATTTTTATATGTGTTTTTTTTAACATGTTTCAAGACGTGATAATTTCTTGAAAGGTTAGAGTTTGTTTATTATGTGACAATTGATTTGATGCCTGCATGTCAAATATGGTTCACCTCTTAGTGAGAGAGTTTGGATTGAGTAAATTAAATTTTATTCCTCAATTTTTTTTTGTGACAAATTTATGTAAGTAATTGTTAATTTGAGATAATGTGATGTGATGTGATTCTAAACATAATGAAGTTTTCTTTGCACATGTTTAGTCTCGTTAAAATTATTTAGTATAATGGTTGTTACGAAAATTTTATATGGTGCTAATTAAGATATTTAATGGTTGCACTGCTTTATTTGTTAGTTGGCTTATAAACAAATCATCGCTGATCTTAACAAGGGCGAGAAATTTAATGGTGATAATTTTGATATTTGGCACCGTAAAATTCAGTATGTGCTAGATGAGTATGAGGTCGTAGAGGCCTTAAAATATGAGATGGCTATTCCTGAAGAGGGTACCATAGCTAAACACCATCAAGATCGCGAGGCTTATGATAGCTAGAAGAAGAAAAGCAATATTGCTCGTATCACGTTGCTGAGTAGTATAGAATACGATCTGATGTGTGAGTATGAGCTGCATCCCACTGCAAATGCCTTGTGGACGGCTTTGAATATGAAACATGGGAAGACTTCTACATCTCGCTCCGTAAACTGACTCTTAAATTTGATAGCTACAAAAAGCATCTTGATCATTCGATGAAAAAGCATTTGAAGGTCATGTCTGGCATGATACGTGAGTTGAAAAAGACTGGAAGTAACCTTACTGATGAGCAGCAGATTCAGGCAGTGATTCATTCCCTTCCTGATAATTGGGAGCATATGAAAATGAACCTCTCAGACAATGATGGTATCAAGAATTTTGAGGCCATAGCTCGTCATTTGGAGTTGGAGGAAGAGCGCCTTGGGGCTGCTAAACCTCCAAGTGTGTTGGCTGCTGAATCTAGTTCTCGTAAGGCGTTTAAGCCTAAGCGAAAGAGAGCTGGAGGTGCTTTCAATAAGGGGAATGATGAACCTAGGCCTAACAAGAAAGCCAAACAGAAGAGAGGAAAACAAGCTGGCAAAAAGGACATAAGTAAGCTTAACTACTACAATTGTGGTCAACAGGGACACTTCGCTCGTGATTGCACTGAGCCGAAGAAAGTACAAAAGGTACACCTTGATCATATTCATCGTATTACTTATAATGTAGTTTACACTGTGTTAGTTGCTGAATCTCTCCATTCGTGGATTGCAGACTCAGGAGCAACCGACCATGTCACGAGGGACCGCGTAGGGTTCGTGGATTATCGTCGAGTTCCAGTTGGTAGCATCAAAGTATACATGGGGAACGATACTAGTGTGTTGATGTTCATGGTCTAAGCTCTTCGTCCCCACGTCATCCGGCTTCCACGGATAGAGGTCGGCCAAATCCGAATCGACGTAGAAGAAGGCTGACCTCTAATGCCTAGAACTTTCATTCTTGGAGACCAGCTCCTTGGAAGGACCCTGGAGATTCTTAGTGAAGCTGAACCACCCAGGGAAGCTTTTCCCGCATCGGACAAGCTTGTAAAAGCACCAAAACAGGAAGATGTTAGGTTCCACCTTCGTCCTGTTGCATACATGGACGAAGGCCGGAACAATCGTTATTAGGTTGGGGGCATACTGGGCTAAGGGTCTCCCGAAGGCTTCCACTATGATTCTATACATTGGCATGAGTGGGAAATGCAACCCGTACTCCAGAAACTTCTCATAACTCGTGATCTTCCCCGGAGGAGGGGTATCGGCCCTTTCAAAATCCTCCGGTAACAATGGATTTATAGCCGTGAGGCTACACTTACTCTCTACCTCAGTCAACCTATCCTGAGTTAAAGAACTCTTAACATCTTCTACTCTAACTATTTCCTTAGCCATATTCCGAAGTAAATCAATGGCGTGGGAGAAACTTACTCGGGAAGCACAGATCTGGCGTTCTGACCGGCGATGATAGATAATAACTCTGACGCTGGAGTGGAAGCTTTGCGTCCAAACACAAATGAAGAAAGAAAAGGGAATCTCTGGACTGGGGTTCTGAGAATAAAAAGGAGAGAAAATGATTTTTGGTATCTTGTGGGGCATTTACATACTTAGGGGAGAGTAACAGCTCTCTTGATTCTCCAAAGGGTGCAACAGTCTTCCAGGTTATCCCGGGCGTTCGAGCTGTTTGGGCGGAAAAGATTCTGGAGCTTTGGATCTAGGACTCTCCCATAAGAAAGCTTCGGGAAAATGGGCTGTGCCATTGGGTCCTAATCTCCACGGTGTCAAGGGCAGATCGGCTGTGCCAACTGGGCTTGACAGGGACAATTGGAGAGGGTCAATCCTGATCGGCCCAAAGAGAGCGAACGTTTGGGCCTTAATAAGGGCCCAAGTGGCCCGCCTGGCCTTTATAAGGGTTAAGTCCCTTTTATACTGTGGATATATACTATTAATTACGGTTGGCACACATGTATTGTCCCATTAGGAACTATAAATACCCCATGATTATTTATAACAAACCTAATCCCACACTCCGTTTCTCTCTCTAAGTTTGTTAATTGGCTGCTTCTCTCTCTAGCACTAACTTAATCTTCGGAGTGCTAATTCTTGCCTGACAGGTCCACGTTCGGGTTTGAATGTTGACTCCACACCTTTGGGATTTACCCTCGACAGAAAAAAAAAATAATAAATTGTAATTTATTTGGTATATGGTTTGTTAGGGATGAAAATTATTTGATTTTAAATGTACTGCCTTCGTATTGAGAAAAAAACGCGATCAACAAACTGGTCCTAATCCAGTTGGCCACGAGAAGTCGTTTTAGAGTACTTCTAAGCTAGAGGTTTGAAGTTTGAACCACCCCAAAACGTAATTTTATTTCCCTTTCCCCAGTGCACGTTCCCTGTCCTTTAGCTATAGTTTTAGGTGCACAATTGTATTCATGGGAGTTCTGCTCTATTTGCGTGCTGTAAATGAATGATTTATTAAAAAGAAAAAGAAAAAGAAAATATCACTATCTACATAAGAAAAAAAGACAATTTCTAACCGTCCATCTTATTTTTCAAAAAATATATTATACTTTCTCTGTCTCAAAGTAATTATAGTATTTAAATTTTTATTATAATCATATTTTATTTTAAGACAGGAAAGTTCGGAACGAACAAAATTTCTAACCAGTCATCTGTTTCTTGAAAGCATCCAATTTCAAAACTTAGACCGTCGGTATAAAAAATCAAACAATTAATATCATGAAACGGAGACACGCTTGTTAATCAATCTTAAACCTTGAAAATGACAAAAATCTTAAAATCAATTTTAAATGATAAATGTAGAATTTGAATTTTGCGATGCACAGTGGCGCGAGCCAAGGTGAACCCGAAGGCCGGAAATTTGTTAAGTAGGTGACTGATAGTTTCTGCTATGCAAAAACAAATTTAAAAAAAAAAAAAATGAAAGAAGGATCAATATTGGAGCCGTAAATGCTTATCAAATTCCAAAAGGCTACATTCCCATTTGTCAAGCAAAAAAATATATTGAATAAAAGAAAATGCTATTTCTGAATGGAGATACAAAGTACTACAACAACAGAAAACAAATATAAAAGCCAGCCTCAAGTGATTCCGTCTGCAACTGTTCCACAGCTTTGTAGGATCAAGATGAAGAAGGACGATGAGCATGACTGCATTACAAATCAACTGATGATAGTGTGTAATAAAACATGAGGCATTTCTTACACCTGTATCATTACACTTACAATTACAACAACACGGTCCTCGACAGCCAACCACTTCTGCTGCATACCTCGTCATCGACACTAACATGTGCCCAGCATTGAATAAAATCTGCTGGTCTACCACAGTTTGTCAATCATGTGAAGGATGCGCAAAGACAGCACCGAGGACACACTCGCACACACATGCCTAAGCAGCACTGGCATCTGCTATAAAGCCAGGAGACTGTCGTTTGGGAGATGGGAAGACGGCATCTAGGCAATAAATAAACATGCCCACAACAAGGGTAGCTGCACCAGCTATAAAGCCAGGAGGGAGGGTTGCCGCAACATCAAGATATGGCAACGGAAGTGTGAATAGAAGCACAGATATGGGAACTGCAAGAAAGGATCGGCAAATACCATGAACAACATCATTCACTTAATATAGAAGAAAAACATCAAAGGGAAATGATGGAAAGTAAACAGAAAAAGAGTCACAACCCCCTTCCCTCTCTTGGGCCCTGCTTTCCACCAAAGCAGTACCGAGCTCAAGTATCTTAGGAGCCAGAATTCATCGAGTTACTAACAGTAGGGACACCAAGCAAACAAATAAAACTAACTTGAGGCCCGTGCAGTAAATAAAACACCAAGCCGGAATTCATCATATAGGCTTCATACAGTATATAAAACTAACTTGAGGCCCGTGCCATTACCATCGAACAAGTCCCCCCCCCCAAAAAAAAAGCATGGTCATAAAGCTACTTCAATAGAACCAATTACAAGATGATCTTTGTTTTTTCACTAATAAGATATGCAACATACCTGAAACAGTGGAGGCCAAACAAGATACAACAGCTGATGAGATCTTCAGTAGATGCAATAAAGATATATTAAAACCCATGTTGACTATAACAAACAATAAGGGCAGCAGTGGCGCACCAGCGCAACCTGTGTCAGGCAAAAAATTCTCATTGAACAAGCTAATAAATTCCGTCACATTTTTTTCACTACATGTCTCAATGAATCATTGAAAAAATAGAATAAGCTAAAATTATACTTCAATCTTCCAATGCACCATTTCATAAAAAATACCAATTGTTCCAGATTCGAACCGAAAGAAAGAGCGCCATATCTGTTTTGCAACCAACAAGAAATGGACAAATATCATAAAAAGAAATCATATAAGTAATCATGCAAAGGCTACGGTGCTCCCGCTTCATAGACTGCAACAGTAGCCCATCTATGACATCTTGTGGTGGATGCTACATCTCCGTGTGGACGAAAGACACTAGGTGATAAGATTAAAAACTATACATGAGAACTAACAAGAGCCTCACATGATAAAAATCTCCATCGATAAAATTTATTTTACATCAAATTAGTAAAGAGCTTCGGCCTGACAAAATGGTTCATGAGTGAAGTAACATCAAGCTTCATCAAATGTTTGTTCTTTTTGCTTAAAATACTTACCACCTGACAAAGTGCCAATGTTCAGAAAGCAAGCTGCGCCATCTTTGAGGTAATTTGGTAGTTGATTAAAAGAAATACCCCATAACTTTGACAAGAAAGGAAGGAGGAGGCAAATAAAAACGGCCTGCAGAGAAGTTACAGAAGTTTCAGCCTTCAGAAGATCCAATGTATGAACAAATTAAGCAAACTAACAGTCAAAGCGCACCTGAAAAGCAGATCCAAAGGAGTTTACAACAAATAGATCCACCGATGTCCCCTACAAGAGGTATCAAAAAGCATTTCTTACTCGCAAGATACATTACAGTAAGCACCAAAAAGGCAAGTTCTACAAGTGGTATAAAAAGGTATTTATTGACAGAAACAGCTTCTTTGTATGATTACAAGCGTAAGTCTGCATACAAGTGAACCCCCAGATCCCAACTTGGTTGGGAATACACTGGGTATGCTGATGTTGATGCTGACGATGTATGTAATCCAAAAGACATTCAGTTCTTCAATCAAACAAGATGGATTGGACAATCTTAAAATTTGAACCTAATTTTCTTATTCCAAGTCCCGCAATTTAGTCTACATTATTCATGTAAAATTCAAATTGAAAATTGTGACAGGGAACTTATTCTGCCCAAATCTCCACTGTCAAGACTCAAGAGGGAGAGACGGATGCAAACAAATACATAGAAAAAGCTTTATGTAGTACATATTTTAAGCCGATGCAATGCAACCATATCGGCTCAACAGATTGAGGCAATGATGAGGTTTAATGAACAATTCTATATAGAAGTTCATTGCAGAACTGAAGCAATGATTGCAAAACAAGTAAAGGCACTTAGCCATGAGACCGTGTGAATAATCCTACCTTCAACTTCTGCTCAGCATCCAAAAATATCATTTCCTACAAATAAAAACTGCAGCCTGTAAGAAAAGAAGTAACAAAAAAACATCAAATATGCAGTGAGTTTGACTATAAATGAAGCAATCAACCTTCAATACTGTATCAGCAGCTTGAAACAGAAAAGAAACTATCATCAAAACACTCCAAAATATACCAGCTTCCATCAAGGAACCAGCACTTGATCCACTGCAAAATGAGAGGCACAAAAGAGGAGCTTTATTTACCCATGTTGAGAAGAACATCTTTCACAGAAAGAAACTGTGACAGAAAAAAGATTCCAGAAAAGTATAAACATGCTAACACAATTGTTACATGGTGCTAGATTGCAGGATAGTTACATTCTTGAAAGAGAACGCATGACTCTTCTAAATGAGAGTGTTGAGTACTCGAACTATGAAATGAAAATCAGTAAAAGCTCAGATTTGAGTGATTAGTAGAAAGAGATAGTCCAGCTATACTGAAACACTGAAGTTAGATTAACAGTAGATTCTTTCCACTTTTCCTCGCATATCATGGAGCCATCATTAAGTCCAAATCAAAATTATTTTGGCACATGGCAAAAACACAGTGAACATCAACTCAGTTTCGTTGGACCTAAAGAGAAGAACAGGAGCAGCAGAATTTTGTCACAGAGCCTATAAGTTTTCACCTAGCACTAGGATCACAAATTTGAACAAAGCTACCCAGATATTATAAAATTATGATTCTCTAGAGACATTTATTATAACATTAAAGACCCTCACATTAAATCCTAATTCAGTAAACATCAAACTTTTAATGATTCCAGCTACAAATAAATGGGATAAAATTCTGTTCTGAAGGAATCTTATGCTTCTTGAGATAGAAACACAGGTTGCTTAGCTTACCTTGCTACAGTTATTATCACACCAACAGCAACAAGAAAGCACCCAAATAATTGGTTGAAACTATATCTTCTGCCAAGGAAAATAAATGACAACAGGAGTTGCCAGACAAGAAAGCTCTGCAAAGTGAGTAACAATGAAGTTAATCAATATCTATATAGCTTTGAAGGAACAAAGATGTTCCCCTGTGCTATCTGGTTCATAATTCATGCAAGGTACACAATATTAACCTCGGATAATTCAGGTCGAAAAAATACATTTCTTCATCTTGTCATTACAATCATTAGGTTCAATTACTTTTTCCATTTATTTATTACATGACCAACATCCAAGGTCCAAAATACAGCATGACATACTTGTGTAAAGACAATAGACAACATAGGAAGCCTGTATCTTTGTAATCCGAGAGTTCATCCGAAGAAAATAACGTAGCATTTGAGAAAGATAGACCAGAAGATTTTTCAACGATATCTACCTGGGATAATATAGGAATTGCCGCACCAGAAAGAATGGCTGTAGAGAAAATATACAACAAAACAGCTTTAGCATTCTCTTACTTTAAACTAGGAAAAATTAAGCATGTAAAGTCTTGTCCCAGTAAATATATATGTTCTACAGAAGATAACAGAAAAAATCACATCTTAGTTCAATCTCATCAATACCAATTTTTCACCAAATTTCCACCATTTTCATGCAATCTAATACGACTCATATAGAAAATGAAGGGGACTTCAAAAGTAATAGCTACAGTACCTCCAGCTGCCATTCCACTTGCAGCACCAAGAGCCTCCAGTAAACCAACAGCAAGATATGGCATTTTAGGCAAGGCAAGCATTTCATTAGTTACCTTCCCAGCACGATATCGGAGGTACAAGATAGAAAAGTAGACGAGAACATAACTGCAAAGCAACAAATAACAAGATGACTCAGTTTATGTGGCAAAACAATCCTACTGTACAAAGGGATAATTATTGTTCGCGGCTTTGCAAACTCAAAAATTAGACCACTTGCGGAAAGATTTTCATGACTGATTCCCTGATAGCATTTTAGCAGAAAATTATTCTTAATGGACAACCATTATAGACAGTGACTGAGCAACCATGTTAAACATATGAAAGCAATCACAACCACTCAGAAAACCCTCATTCGGTCCGAAGCTTTCAGAGGTAAAATGAAAGATAAACAAACCAGTTAGCCGGAAAAAGAAAAGGAAAAAGAATCCGCCAATTTAGAGGGTGCATCAAATTCACATCCAGGCTATACACGTGAACCCAACGATATGTAATCATATTCGCAATGAATAATAAGCACAGAAGAAAATGTAGGAAAGTAGATGTGTAAAAAAAAAAATAAATAAATAAAAATTAGTCATACACCAAGATATGGGCAACTCAGTTGATAAGATTTTAAGCTCAACCAAGCACTTCTCAGAGGAAAAGTACCTAAACCAGCTATAAGGGCTAGCAAAAGACAGCTGGCTCATTAATGCGGCTCAGGGCATGGTTTGGAGTTCCAAATCAGTCGAGGACAGTAAAATTAGCAAACATTTCGGGTTGTTTGTTTATATACATTAATTAAAATGACTTGACGTGAACTGGCAATAATTAGAAGAGGTGGTTCAATCAAAACAAAAGTATAGTTAAGAGGTTGAGGAGACAAACAGAGGTAATTCCTAATGACTAACTACCAAAAGAAACTATGAAGATTGTTCTCCAAACCCAAGCAAAAAGGAAGCAGAACCCTGAACTGTGAAGAGGTTCTTGCCCAGAAGGTCAGAAAGGTCCATGCTTCCTGAAGTTAGCAATGCCTTATCACTCCAAAAAAAAAGATGAGTCCTACTATGAAGCCATGTTGCGTGAAGTACAAGGGAGTCTTAGCAAACAACACCTAATATGTCTAGACACTTTCTTATTATCATACTTCTACTACTAAAATGATGAGAGAGAGAGATCATCGATGTACCCAAAAGTTGCAAATTGAGCTAAAAAGAAAGGATAGTGCTTGAGAGGGACTAAAGCAAGCTTATAAAGTACTCTGTTTCCCACGCCCAGAATCACAGTAGCTATAGCTGCAAGAGCAATTTCCAGCTTCGGATGTTTTCTCTGGGTAAGAAACTTTTTGTTTTCTGCACTTCTATAATCCACCTCCTGAGCTTCAAAAGAACAACATCGCCTTTCATCTCCGTTGTGATCATGCTCAGCATCTCTACCATCTGATCTCAAAGTTCCTTCCCCATTGGGAATTACGGCCTCTAGCACCCATTTTCTCGATCTCAGAACAACATTGCGTCCTGCACTAAGTTGAAGGTTTGTAGTAAGCTGTTGGAACCTTAAAACCTGAAGCGGGATTTTTGAAGGCTCAAAATGACAAGCCACTGCCGAAGAGGCATTGTAAGCAGAGAATCCTCGACAATCGGACATGACTTAAGTTGAAGAAGCTTATGCCTGAGCAGGAAAGAAAGGCTTTTTAAGGAACAAAACCATAGGAAAGAGAGATATCAAAACATGTGGATTTGAATGAAAAGGAACCAACACTCAAGCACTTAGTGAGAAAAATATGCAAGCATAATTACTAAACAAATCTCAAGTCTGACCTAAAGAAAAAACAGAATTAGTCACCACATCTTTTCAACAAAATATTAAATCCGAGATAAATGAACAATGATGTGAATCGGAACCACACCGGCAGCATACATATTTTCAAAATTCAACCACAGAACCATAACCAACCAAGAGAGCTCACACGGCAGCAAATTACACCACCTTTTTCTCCCTATATAATTCATGCTTTGAATGTTTCCAACAAATATCAAATTGATAGCATTTCACGACGTAGTCACCCTATTATCACCGTATTGAAGGAAAAACTCAAATCGGATAAACAATTGTGATTCATTCATAGTCCATTACAAACTCAAAAAAGAAAAAATGACAGGTAATTAACAGAACGTCTCAGTGATTCACATCACATTCCATTAGAGACATTGATTCAAGCTGAATATAAACAAGTGTTTCACCTGTTTTTTTTTTCTTTCCTCGAGGAAGGAGCTTCTTCAACTCGGAGTAGCTAGCATCGAACAAAATCCGGAGCTCGTAAAAAACACAGCATGGCAAACAAAGGACTGAGTAGCCTTCAATCTCAAAATACTCCAAATTAATTACACATAAACTCGTGAAAATTGGAGGATTCGGACCGGTGAAGCAGAAGGAGACGGAGGAAAACGGAAGAGTTTCCGGCGGCGGAAGTGGTGGTGGGGGAATTAAATCCTCGTCAGTAATTATAAGCTTTTTATTCACATTTGGCGGTTTATACAAATCGGAAAGGTGTTCGTTGCTTTTTTTCTTTTCTTTTTTTTTTTTCCAGCACCAATTGTAGTGCGGAGTCTTAACACCGTTGAAATTGTAAATGTAATAATGAATGAATGAATGAATTTATAAAATTCGGTCAATCTATTTGGGAATCTTTCTTTAGCGGATTTATGTTCGTAGCAGAATTGAGTTTGGCTACCAGCTTTTCTTCTTTTTTTTTTTTTGGTCATAATGACTGCGAATTTTTATTTCTTTCTTCAAAAAAGAAAAAAAAGAAAGTGCAATGATACTGGACTGCTTTTGATTTTTGTTGTTTTTTAAACAATGAAGTGGAGCCATAAATTGAAGGAAATCATGAGAATTGGGTCATTTCCATGAAATCTTTTAACGATAGCGAGGGTTTAGTCTCAATTCATTTATATAGGTACTATCTCTATTTCATTATATCTATTATCTATTTTTTCTATTAATTTAATTTTTTTTTTTGGTAATGTCGGGATCCCACCAGAAATGGGTAAACCTGTAGAAGTTAGCAACAGGCAGAATCATTGGTGGAAGCTGTTGAAGTTGATGATCAACAATCAATTGATGATCAAGGACCCAAATACAAAATTGATAATGGTTGACTACTTAGCTGGGCATTAACTAGAACTATGGGGACTGTTGTGTAATTCTGGGTAGTTAAGTCGGCTGACCGACACAATAAATACGGCATATCTATGTCTGTTTTGTATGAATTTTTGTAGAGTGAATACATGAATTAATTCATTCCAGATTACAAACCCTAATTATCTTTACTGCCTAAATCATGAATTATACCTCATTTCATGTCAGTTTTTTAATCTTTTAGATGGTATCAGAGCAGGTTTCTTGCTCTGTATAAATCTGCTGCTTTTAGATAGAAGAATCGGAGTTTTTGACGGTTGATTTTACTGTTTTCGGTTTCGAATTGGTGAAGAACAATGGTTGGAAATCGAGCCAATCGAGAACAGTGAAGGGAAGATCCTTTGTAGGAAGAAGAAGAAATACATCGAGAAGGAGCTAAAGCGATGAATTATGGTGGATATATTCATCCGCTCAGTTTGCTTCAGGCTGATAACTCAGCGATGATGCTGGTAACTACTCAATTGACAGACAGCAATTATGTGTCATGGAGTTAGGCAGTTCGCAGATCTTTGGGAACGAAGAATAAGTTAGGGTTCATCAATGGATTGGTGCCTCGTCCTTCTCCCAGATCACCAGTTATTGAACAGTGGAACAAAGTGAATGATCTTGTGTTGTCTTGGATACCCAATTCTCGCCTGGAATTGTTGACAACTATAACTTGGCTTCTAATGCTCAGGAGCTCTGGGAAGAACTAAAAGAAGGTTATGGCACTGGCAATGGTTCTCAGATCTACAATCTCCTGCGAGAAATATGCACCATCAAGCAAGGTAATGCCACTCTTGCAGCCTATTACTCAAAACTTTAAGCGTTTATGGGATGAATTGGCCTTGATAGATCCACCTGATGACTGTGAATGTTGTGGTTGTACTTGTCTCTTCACTAGGCAAGTTAGCAATAGAGAAAATCGTATAAAATTTATGTATTTCCTGACTGGTTTGAATGATAGCTATAAAGAGGTTAAGGATCATATTCTGATGTTAGAACCATTGCCGGAAGTTAAAAAAGCATATGTAATGGCATCGAATGTAGAGAAATAAAGGGTGGTGAATATGACTTATGATGATGTTGTCAATAATAGTGTAATGGTAGCATATAAAGGCACTGGATCTTATAATAATGCTGGAACGACTACACCATATGGAAATACAGGAGGGGAAACTAGAGTTCAGGAGGGGTTACAATAAAAAAGTATCATTAGTACTTTTAATCAAACTGTTTTTCCTGGAAAGATAAGTAATACAGGAGGATCTGGAAGAGAAAATGATTTCAGGCTGGACAAAGCAGCCAAAAGGCTCTTGAAATATGATTATTGTAAGCAGAATGGTCATCTTGAAGCAGATTGTTTCAAGTTGCATGGTTATCCAGATTGGTGGCCGGGGAACAAATCTACTGAGATTCAGAAACCACCAAGACAGGCTTCAGTACACTTGGCAGAAACTCCTTTTGATCATGATGGTGGAAACAATGTTGGAGACTTACAGACCATTCTGGGAAATTTGCAAACTCTTCAATAGGAGGTTAACAAACTGGTGAAAGGAAAGGTGTTAACACAGAAAACAGAACATATCAATTCCTCCATTTCAGTGACTTTGCAGGTTTGAGTAGTTTTGGAAAGTTGAAATTAGTAGATGTGCTTGCTTTGGTATTTTGGATTTTGGATAGTGATGCCACCAGCCACATGAGTTCAAAGTTGTGCATGTTTTTAAACCATAAACCTGTAGCTAACCTTGCCCCAGTTTGCTTACCAGATGGAAGTATCAAAACAATTGAAAATGTAGGAGAAATAAGTCTATCAAATACCTTAACCTTACCAGATTGTTTACACATACCTTCTTTCAACTACAACTTGATTTCAGTACATAAACTTGCTACCTCCTCACTTATAGATTGTTTCTTTTCCACAAACTTTTGCTTGTTGCAGGAACAAGTGACTAGAAAATTGATAGCAGTGGGATCAGTCATCAACAGGCTCTACATGCTGGATCAGAAGTCCTTTTCACAAGACCATATTCAACATTTCACTTCTACACATGTGAATCATCCTTTTCTTGTTACACCATTACACTACACTTGTTTAGCCACTAAGAAACCATCCTTTCTGTGGCATAAGAGATTAGGTCATCCCTCTGATGAAGTTATACAATGTTTAGATTTACCTTCTATTTCTTGTAAGGATTCACAAAACCATTGTGAAGTTTGTCCACTTTCAAAACAACCCAGAATAAAATTTCTTTTGAGTAGTATTCAAACCACTTGTGTTTTTGAAATGATATATGTTGACATATGGGGGCCTTATCAACTTAAATCTCTTTCAGGAGCACATTATTTTTTAACCATAGTAGATGATTACAGTAGGTCTACTTGGACCTTTTTGATGCACCACAAATCACAAATCATATCCTTATTACAGAATTTCTATAGTCTTGTCAAAACACAGTTTGACAAGGTCATCAAACAAGTTAGAACTGACAATGGCAGTGAGTTTCTTAGTACAGAATGTCAAGTCCTTTTAGCCAAAAGGGAATAATTCATCAGAAAACGTGTGTATACACTCCACGGCAAAATGGAGTAGTGGAAAGGAAGCACAAACATTTGCTTCAAGTTGCTAGATCCTTGTTATTTCAATCAAATCTCCCTAAACACTTCTGGGGGAATTCCATACTTACTGCTATATACTTAATCAATCATTTACCTTCACCAGTTTTACAACACAAGTGTCCTTATGAAATCCTTTATCACAAAAAGCCTGATCTTACAAACCTTAGGGTGTTTGGTTGTTTTGCATATGCTACCAACACTTTACCACATAAGGAAAAGTTTGAATCTAGAGCCCATAAGACCATTTTCATAGGTTATCCTCATAGTTAGAAAGCTTACAAGCTTTATGATCCTATTACCAGAAAAAGTGATAATATCCAGAGAGGTTATCTTCTATGAAGAAATTTTCCTTATAAAGAAACTCCTGCACATACTATTATTCCTTTACCATCTATCTCATATTCACTAGATACATATTCTGTTCCTCTGCCTCATACATCACATGAATCTTTTCCCACAGACACTTCGATCACTGAGACTTCCTCTTCTCCTACTTCACATGATCATAACATTACCACCTTAAGAAGGAGTACTAGAACTTCTAAACCTCCAGTGTGGATGAATGACTATGATTCTCAGTATGTAAAGCAAGTTGTGAGTGAAACCACACTGTTATCAGGTAAACCCTCCTCTTACACTCATCTATCATTTCCTTACTATCATACACATGTTTTTAGTCCTGCACACTTATCCTTTTTAGCCAGTATTCAATATGCACAAGAACCAACTTTATACCTGCAAGCAAGAACTCAACCTGAGTGAGTGCAAGCTATGCTGTCCCAATTGGATGCTCTTGAGATTAATCAGACATGGGAGGTGATAGATTTACCACCAGGAAAGAAGGAAATAGGGAATAAATGGGTATACAAGATAAAGTACAATTCAGATGGCAGTATAGAGAAATTTAAAGCAAGATTGGTGGCAAAAGGGTATGATCAGGTAGAGGGAGTTGATTTCTTTGATAGTTTCTCCCCTGTGGCTAAAGTAGTCGCAGTAAGACTTTTGATGGCCTTAGCTGCTACTTCCAATTGGTCTTTACACCAGTTGGATATCAACAATGCTTTTCTTCATGAATATTTGGATGAAGAAGTTTACAAGTTGAAAAGGTCTTTATATGGCCTAAAGTAGTCACAGTAAGACTTTTGATGGCCTTAGTTGCTGCTTCCAATTGGTCTTTACACCAGTTGGATATCAACAATGCTTTTCTTCATGGATATTTGGATGAAGAAGTTTGCAAGTTGAAAAGGTATTTATATGGACTAAAGCAGGTTTCCAGACAATAGAATACAGAATTTACTACCAAGATTCAACAGTATGGGTTTAAACAGTCTTCCAATGATCCTTGTTTATTCACCAAAACAGGATCAGGCTCCTTCCTAGGTCTCATATTGTATATGGATGATATTCTCATCACATGATTAGATGAGGAGGCCATCATTCAGGTGAAACACTACTTACATGACCAGTTTACTATCAAGGATCTTGGCTATGCCAAGTACTTCCTTGGTATAGAAATCACCAGATCCTCAGAAGGTATGTATTTAAGTCAAAGAAAATACATCCTTGACATTTTACAGGATACTGGTCTTCTTGGGAGCAAACCTACATCTACACCTGTGCCGAAGGGTCATCAATTTGATGATAATCCAGGTGATCCTATTCCAAATCACTCTCAGTACAGGAAATTGGTTGGACAATTGCTGTACCTTGGCTTCACTAGACCAGACATAGCCTTCTCAGAGCAACAACTTAGTAGATATGTTCATCTGTCATGTAAATCTCATTGGGATGCTTTGGTTCATGTCCTGAAGTTTCTCGAGGGTTCTCCTTCTCATGGCATTTTCTATAGTTCTTCTAATGATTTGAAATAAGAAGCCTACTCTGATGCTGACTATGCTTCTGATCCCTTGCATAGAAAGTCTGTGACAGGTTTTTGTGTTTTCCTTGGCTCATCTTTAATCTCTTGGAATGCCAGACAGCAAACTACAGTCTCATGTTCCTCCTCAGAAGTAGAATACCGCAACATGAGCTCTACTACAAGGGAACTACTTTGGATTTCATACATGTTGCAAGATTTTCTAGTGCCTGTTCATCTTCCTAGACCACTGTGGTGTGACAACCAGTCAGCCATATACATAGCAGAAAATTCAGTCTTCCATGAGAGGACCAAACATCTGGAAGTTGACTGCCACCTTGTGCGTCATCACTATCAGAGAGGTTTCCTAGTACCTCCCCATGTTGCATCTGCAAATCAGTTGGCAGATGTTTTCACAAAGTCATTGCCACATCTTCAGATGCTTAATCTGCAGTCCAATCTCGGCCTGAAGACCATGCTTCTAGGTCCGGCTTGTGGGGGAGGGGGGAGAGATGTAGAAGCTAAGGAACAGGCAGGATCATTGCTGGAAGCTGTTGAAGTTGCTAATCAATAGTCAATTGATGATTAAGGACCCAAATGCAAAATTGATAATGGTTGACTACTTAGCTGGACATTGACTAGAACTATGGGGATTGTTGCGCAATTCTTGGTAGTTAAGTCGGCTGATCGACACAATAAATACGGCATATCTATGTCTGTTTTGTATGGATTTTTGTAGAGTTAATACATGAATTAATCATCCCAGATTACAAACCCTAATTACCTTTACTGCCTAAATCATGAATTCTACCTCATTTCATGTCAGTTTTTTGATCTTTTAAGACAATCCACGCCTACTGCAATAGCCTGCAAACTACAGTGGGAGGTAAACCACCCTAGGTAACTTCGGAGTGACAAGCTCGGGTGAGAAATCGAGGGTTCATTAGTGGGTTAGCCATAACAAGTTCCTAGAGGTGCCAATAGGCAAGGTGATAACCAACCCTTCACTTTTTGTTGGAGAGGGAGATTGAACTCATGACATCTTCTTGGAGCAAGGGTGGTTTTACCACTGAACCAACTCTTTATTCACTAATTTAATAATATTAATTACATTTTTTTTCTCCAGTCTCAATTTTATCTCTTTCACTTTTTACCGGTTATATAAAGGCCAACTTATTTTTCTACTTGTTTCATTGATGTTTTGCATCGTCTTAATATATTTAATTTGCGACTTAATACATGTAATATTTTCTATTTTCTTATTAAAATAACTAGATTCCGAATGCATGGGTAAATAATGAACTAATTTGTATTTAAACATAAATAATTTGATCCTTAAAACATAATTTTTTATTAATAATGTGAACCGAAATATTGCAATATATAAGGTTGAAGACTGATATTTTGCAACAATAACATAATAGGTAAGATGAAAAATCTAATACGCATGATACATTGCATTAAGAGTCTCTCTCTCTCTCACACTCGCGCGCGCACACACACACACACACACACACACACACACACACACACACACACACACACATATATATATATACTAGTGATGTCTGGTCGCGCAATGTGCGACCTTGGCACAATATATCTGTAGATTTTAGAAATATTTGTATTTGAAAAAAATATATTTTGTATTTGACCCGATATATTTTAGAAACGTTCGAAGAATTTAGAAATATTTTATAAGTGTGATCATAGAAATGTTTGTGTTTGGCAAAAAAAAGAAATTGTATTTGGCCCGTTACGTTTAGAAATATTTGAAGATCTTAGAAATATTTTTTAAGTGTTTCTTATTAAATATAAATAAACTTGATCAAATATATGTCTTAAAGTAAATGTTAGACAAAATATAAAAGCATCCTAATAAGTTTAAATATAAGTAAGATGATTTATTGATGTTCTCCATTGGTCGTGCCAAATCAATACTTAGTTTTGGAGATTTATAATAACTTTATAATAAGCTTCCTCCAAAGGGTATACGCTTAAATGTTAGAACTGTTTCTTCCAAAGGTTTAAAGGTAGTAAAATATCAAAAATATGAGTTTGAAACTGGTTAATTGTTTAAACAGGTTGATCACAAATATGAGAATGAAAATTAATGTAAATTTGCATAGGTTTCAAGTTATAGCAAAAAAGAACTCACCTCACTATGGCAAATAAAATAAAAACAAAGAAAGTAAAAGAGCCCATTAAAAATTGAGAAATGATTTTTTTCCTGTAGGTAAAAATGATGTATAAAAACACAAATAAATATAGAAACATCATTCCTTCTCTCTCCACCTCAAATTCATAAAAGACTTCCCCATAAATTAGTTAGAAGAAGTAACCTAAACTATTTATATGATGAGGAACTCAAAAAAGTCCAAAAACCAAATCCAAAAAGTATATTCTTGAAAGCCCGAAAAAAAAAAGCTTCATTTGCCAAAAAAAAAATAATAATAAGAATAATTGGTCAACTGAGAGTATGAAACAAAATCAAAAGCAATTAAACAAAGAAAAAACACACTTCAAAACTGACCATATACGAAAAAAAACTGAGACTCCATAATTAAAGAAAGAAAACCACTCTAATAAAATGAAACATAACAAAGAAATTAAAAAAATCACACTTTGTAACAAAAACCCAATTGATCAATTCAATCCAAACAGAACTAAAATCATACAAAAATTCTAGGCTAACTAACCATATAAAAAATCACATCATATTACCTAACAACCGCTACAGTAGCTGTAACAGGTGGTCGCATAAAAATAATAGTAATAATACTATTCTTGAACGGGAAAAACAAAAAATAGAAAAAGCCGAACAAATGATCTGTGAAAATAAAATCATTTAAATTTTAATACCTGTAATGGCACCACCACAACGGCCGAAGCAAGATCAATGAGATTTTTTTTTTCCTTTGTGTTTATATAGAGGTAAAGAGAATATTTCTTGAAGTCGAAATTTTATGCCATTAGGATGTAATTGATCATCATTAATGAAAAGATTGAACATGCTAATAGGAAAGGAAGATATTTCACCACATATTCTCAGTTGATGATTGATGAGGAATTTGTTTTTTTTTTTATTGTGGAGAAGGAATTGATTAGGGAGTCGATTGTCGTGGAGATGGGAATGGGGATTTGGGGTTTTTATGAATCCGTGATATTTTTTTTTTTTGGCGAAAATAGGAGGTGGAGGTAGATTTGGACTCCATTTGTCTTTTAAGTCTAAGAAACTAATGTGTAAATAAAAATTTATTTTAAAAATATGATGTGAAAATACCACATGGCAAAGGATGGTGCTTTTTCTTAAGTGTGGTTTTTGTTTCTAATATAGTATAAGATATCTTTTTATAATTTAAATAAATAAAACCGATTACACCTATACTTTTTTAATTAATACTTGCCGCATTATATTTTACTAACTTTATCATAAACATTTTTAGGGTCAATAGAGACATGATGCAAATCTTGTTTTCAATGTTCACATAAAATTTTTTTTTTATTACATGTGCAGTTTCATTGTGGATCTTTCTAGCTAGTATAAAAAAACCGAATTGATTTTCAATTACAATTGTTTCTTGTCATAATTTTTTTTGTATTACTATTTCTTACGGTCTCATTGTATGAAATATTAGCTTATTATTTCGACAATTAACAACGTTTTTTGTATATTGTTTAGAAATTTGCTAAATTAACATTTTTTATATAAAAATAATACTAGTGGGTGACCCACACGTTGTGCGGGTTGTAAAATTTTTCCTGCATTATTTGTGTAAAATAAAGATTATCAAAAAGATGTAAGAGTTATCCCGTTGAAAGATAATTTATATGTACTCGCTTAGTTCTAAAATGATATCCAAAATTCCACCCAAAATTACAGTATAAGCTAAAACTTCTCAAGTAATAGTCGAACATTTATGTTGTAATTTTTTTACTCTTATTTTTCATGTTAGAAAATTTGTAAGATGAATATTTTTCGTTGTCTATTTTATTTTTATGATAGGTAAAAGGTGAATAGATAGAGTAAAATGTAGAGAAAAATAAATAAAACAATATTTAACAAATCTCGTATAAGATTAAGGATAGGAGTAATCTAGGATAACTTGGACTCTATTTGAGCTTTCAATATTAGATTACTTATTTTAAAAGGTTCTTCTATGGTTAAGAGCATCCCTTTTACCCTATTAAAGCAGAAGACATGAAGCTTATGTGGCAACTACGTATGCATCTGTTTTGGCTCTAATGCACCATATTTCAGATTTCAGGAGTCTTTTTGCCACGTGTAAGTCTCTTTTAATTAGAAGTTATATAATTTTTTTTTTAAAAAAAACACATGTTTTACTACAAATAAGGATCAGTTACATTTCAAACGAATGGATATATTAATTCAAATTCAAATGTCCAGTCGTATAGTTTTGCAGGCTTAATACAAACAAAAAATAAAAATCCCTAAATCCAGCAATTAAGAATAATGCCTTATAAACTAATTATCTATTATTCCCTTATAACCTCAGATTTATAGGTATATTTTTTAAGCCCCAAACCATAGCATAAATGATATATACGCCAAATTAATTCCTCAAAAAATAGTAATTCGATTAGATTTTAATAAAATAGTAATTTAGAAGGGGCGCCCGGGCATCTGCCTGGGCCAAACATCTAGTTGTAATTATAGTTAAATCTAACTTTTTTTACTTCCAACTTAAGTGAACTTCCAATTTCATGCCAAGTAAGCTATTTTCATCATGTATTAATATATATAGAATAATATTTATCGGAAAAAAATTATTATAAGGAAAAGTTGCCATGAACAATGTGATCCTTTCTTAATTTTATTGTTCGAATCCAAAGGGGAATATTTTATTTGGTCACTATCCATTTAATATGCAGTTTCCTCAAACTTTAGGGGGGCAATTCTCAGTTTTTTCGGACCTTGGGGAAGGTCTAGTTATTAACCCATAACCAAGAAAATCGAGCGGAAGAGACAAATAACGTTGTTTCTTGAGAGGGTTTATAGGGTTTAAGATTAGGGATTTGGGGTTCACGAAAATTGGGGCACGGAGTTTGTTCTCTTGTTGAGACTGACAATTCCGGTTGAAAAATCAGAAGAATATAACAATTCCGGCGTGCTCTGGAGAGAAGGTAGGAAACTGACTTTCTCTTTTGGCTGTTGGGAAGTTACAGAATATTTTTTTTTCCTACGTAAATAGCAAAGGAGAAATGCTTTCGGTGCATTTGTTTATTCGTATGGCTGATTGTTTCAAGGAATAGTATAGCATCGTAAAAATGATTGCTTTATCTGAATGAAGCGAAATAGCTTTTATTGGAATTAATAAAGAGCCAAATCAGTGGTTAGTATGGTTAAATTCTGGAGATCAATCATGCCTTGATTGATATTTTTCTGGCTTTTTGGGGGTTGCAGATGATCATTTTTCAAAGAAGATTACGGATTGAAATGACTATAATGCAAACAGTCTTAGCATAGTTTGGCAATCTGGACTATGCTTCTAGCTTCTTCATTGTTACTGCCCAGAAAACTGAGTTGCGGTAATCTTGTTTCCGGGGATTTTCGTATCAAACAACACGCAGTTAACTGTATTTTTTCCTTCTTTTCAACATTGGCAATCCCTGATAATCCCAGGCCTGGTTCTCATCAATCTTCTCGCCATGCTTATCTACTTGAAGCTGTTTCATCTCACTCCCCTCAACACGCACTTGCAACCCTTCAATGCCTCCAGCCATCGCCTGGTGCGGTCTTCTACTGGAACACCCTCATCAAGAATACGACGGTGTATGCTCAGGACTACAAATATGCCTTCCACATATTCAGGGAAATGTTGAGGTTGAGTTGGAGGCCTGATGGTTATACTTATCCATATGTGCTCAAGGCCTGTGGCGAGCTCCCGACACTCCAATGGGGAGCTTCAGTGCATGCTATTGCTTTCCATGATGGGTTTGTGAGCTGCAATGTGTTTGTGTGTAATGGCATCATTGCCATGTATGGTAAGTGCGGTAAATTGGGAGATGCTGAGCAAGTGTTTAGGGAAACGTGGCAAAAAGGCATTGCTGATGTGATCTCGTGGAATTCTGTTTCAGCAGCATATTTACAGAGCGGCAATCCTAGAAAAGTGATGGATGTGTTTAAATTAATGGCATCAAAAGCTGATTCCTCATTGCAGGCTGATGTGGTCAGTTTGGTGAATGTGTTACCTGCTTGCGCCACTTTGAATGCATGGAGCACAGGTGAGGAATTACACAGCTATGCTATTCGAAGAGGCTTGGTGCAGGACACATTTGTTGGGAATGCATTGTTGGATATGTATGCGAAATGCGCGTTTATGGATGAAGCAGAGAGGATATTTGAGGAAATGGAGGTGAAGGATGTGGTAACATGGAATGCAATGGTGACAGGGTACTCGCAGATTGGGAGATATGATGATGCTTTGAGTTTATTTGAGAAGATGCGTGAAGAAAATATTAAGTTGAATGTAGTCACGTGGAGTGCTGTTATTGCAGGGTATGCACAGAGGGGTTTGGGTAAAGAATCTCTTGATGTGTTCAGAGAAATGATGAGAGATACAGACTCAAAGCCCAATGTGGTAACACTTGCTTCTGTCCTTTCTGGTTGTGCTGCAGCTGGGGCATTGGATAAAGGGAGAGAGACTCATTGTTATGCCATAAAAGAGTTTTTGAATTTAGATGGTAATGAGCTTGAGGATGATTTGATGGTGATAAATGGTTTAATTGATATGTATGCAAAGTCTAAATGTATCGAAGTGGCGAGTATGATGTTTGACTCTATGGGAAGGAATTATGGCAATGTGGTAACATGGACTGTCATGATTGGCGGGCATGCACAGCACGGTGAAGCCAATGATGCATTACGCCTCTTTTCTGAAATGGTAAGTTATCCAAAGAAGATTCTGGTTCCAAATAGTTTTACTGTTTCTTGTGCCCTTGTAGCTTGTGCTCGATTAAATGCACTTAGGTTGGGAAGACAGATTCATGCTTATGTTTTAAGAAACGGCTTTGAATCTGCAATGTTGTTTGTGGCCAATTGCCTGATAGACATGTACGCTAAATCTGGAGATGTCAATGCTGCTCGGCTTGTATTTGATACTATGAATCAGAGGAATACTGTCTCATGGACTAGCTTAATGACGGGATATGGAATGCATGGTTTTGGCGAGGAGGCTTTACAAGTTTTTGATGAAATGAGGCAAGCTGGTCTCCCTATAGATGGTGTGACTTTTCTTGTGGTGCTCTATGCATGTAGTCATTCTGGATTAGTTGACAAAGGATTGAGTTATTTCAACCGAATGAGCAGTGATTTTGGGGTTTTGCCAGGGGCAGAGCACTATGTTTGCATGGTTGATCTATTAGGTCGTGCTGGTCGCTTGAATGAAGCTGTGGACCTTATTGCCACAATGCCTATGGAACCAACTCCAGCTATTTGGGTGGCCTTGCTGGGTGCTTGTAGACTTCATGCAAAGGTAGAACTTGCTGAATTTGCTGCCAGTAAGTTGTCTGAATTGGAATCTGAGAATGATGGGACATACACACTTCTTTCAAACATATACGCCAATGCTAGGCGTTGGAAAGATGTCACCAGGATTAGACTTTTGATGAAAAGCAAAGGCATAAGAAAGAGACCAGGGTACAGTTGGGTTCAAGGAAAACAGGGGACCGCAACATTTTATGCAGGGGATAGATCTCATTCAATGTCTGATAAAATATATGATCTACTTGCTGAATTAGTTGAACGGATAAAACTTATGGGGTATGTTCCTGAAACAAGCTTTTCTCTCCACGATGTGGATGATGAACAGAAAGGTGATCTACTTTTGGAACATAGTGAGAAGTTGGCTCTTGCTTATGGCATTCTTACAACAGCACCTGGGTTACCGATTAGGATCACCAAAAACTTGCGGGTCTGTGGGGATTGCCACACTGCTATAACGTATATATCTAAGATTATTGACCACGAGGTTATTTTGAGGGATTCAAGTCGGTTCCATCATTTTAAGAATGGATCTTGCTCCTGCCGAGGCTATTGGTGAGGAAGAAATCACTATGGTTTTCTACTTGAAATGCCATTTGCAAGAATGCCAGCTCTTAAGCAGATGTTGAAAGGTGGAGCAAGCTGTGATTGGATCTTCTTTTATTCTTTGTTTAAAGCAAAATGCAGATCCCACATTGGGGAACAAAATGCTGCTTATTGTAAAAAAAAAAAAAAAAAAAAAAAAAAGAAAATTTCTTTTTTCTTCCTCAGAGTCCGTAGGATACATAGACTGTGATGCAAACAAAGGGAATTGTTCATGCTTTAGATCTTCTTGTTATTTCAGAAGGCCATTACCTCAGAAATGCTTAATGACACGGAATCGATGGGTAGACCTTGAACAATGGCTCCAAAATTGGATGCGGACATGGAAGAAGATCACTTTGGTATGTTTATTATCAGATTGAGTTCAACTTCATATCAGGACTTTTGCACGGGTATCCACAGCTAGGTGCATGGAAATACCTCTTACAACCTCATAATATCTATTCTTCACATTAAGTGGTTGGTAGTAGCTGATTTGTGCGGAGTCCAGTGCAAGCCATTTACTTAGTGTGTGATTAACTGGACACAGATCTTAGAAAAGTATTTTGTGTTCATTATAGCCTTAACACCACTCGATGTGAGTGTTCTCTGAGTGTCTGAGCTAACAATAGATAGGATTATTGTAGGTAGCTGTTTATTTTCATAGAGAAACAAGTTGAGGATGCTGCAAGTTCTCTTTTATGTCAGAAAAGGAATAATTTTGTCATAGCAGTTCTTGAATGTTGCACTTGATCGAGAATTTACTCTTCAGCTGTTTCCTTTCCTTGTCAGCTAATCTTTAGTTACATTAGTTTGTCTTAGCCAAACTTATCTCCTGTAGATGTTTTGGTGAGACACCTACAAATAAGCAATGAAAAAACTTTTCTGTAACATTGTAATTTACAAGATATCCTGATCCACTGTGATAGAATCAAAAGATATTTTCTGAGTTGATTGTGGTGATGTAAATTTACGAAGTGAAACTGAATTTCTTGTGAGGGACAAATTTCTCAGACCTTAGTTTTTTTGCCCTATAAGGGGGATTTGACAGACGTTTCTCTGTCTTTCCCTGGTCCGCGTTACTCACAATCTATATGTTATACATTTCATCCTTTCATTTGAAAATCCTACATGGATCAAGCTATGGTGTCTTGGGGGGTCATGTTTGGTTTCATGATCCTGCCAGCCACATTCAAGTTGAATGTTGAATGCACATGGTTTCTTGGAGTCTCAAATGGGAGGAAGCTGGGCTGGAGTTGTTCTTTGCAACTCCAGAGATGATTTTTTTATTTTTTTTAATAAAGGCAGAGATGATGTTTAGTTAGCAGCTATCTGCATTATTTTGGCAGTGAATTCCAGGTTTGATGCAGAAGTTTTTGGTGCTATTGGAAGTCTGGCAGAAATTTGAGGAGTTGAATATTGTTAATCTTTAAAGTTTAAACTGAATGTGGTTATCTTAATCTTGGCACAGATTCTTCTAGTTATGCATGCGTTAAAAATTGCACAAAAATCATGCTTATGCAGCCTAGCAACATGTGCATGTTGGTGGAAGTATCATAGTACCAAATAAATAGTATAACAGACGGGACTTGTTTTTGAAAACCGAAAGTACTCGAGTTTTCTTTAAGGAGGATTCAGGTGATAGAAATGAAGCATTACACGCAAGTCCCGCGTGTTTCCAGAAAAGGCAACAATTCTGCAGCCGTTGTTGCACATTGGGCATTAGGTGTAAAGCTTGAAAAGCATCAAGATTCCAGCGAAAAATTTCATCTTTGCATATTAGTAATTGCTTTGTTTGGTCTGTCTTGCTCATGGCTTTTTGGACGCAGACTCTGCTCTAGATAACAAGTAGCTCTATCATTCATTCACTAATCTACAAAGTTCGACTTTCCATTACATGGAAAAAACTGAAGCAAATAAAATTCCACTTAGCTTTTCACAAAAAAAAAAAAAAAAACAAAACAAAAAAAATCCACTTTGCTCAGGATTTGACATTGTGTGGGGACAACTGATATAAACTACATTACAGAAAGACAACAATTAGCAGTTCTTTTTTTCCAACCTATACTATTTGGAAAAATTAGTATTATCTAGCATAACAATATGGCAGCAGAACAAAGAAAAACCACCACCACAAAATTGGCCTTTGGCTCTGCTACATATATTATCTAGCATTTATATAAAATACTACTTCTACCACCTCTCCTCTATTCTAGGATTCTATCCGGTCTGTCCGCCACCTCCTGCTAATGGCATGGCTGACTGAGAGCGTTCAGGTTTGACCACATCCTCCAATTTGTAATGTTGTATACAGTGTGATTACAGTTCATCATGGGAGTCAGATGCTGTAGTTTCTTTTTCATCAGTTGTTTCTGATGCTCCTGCTTCGCTATTTTGAGAGGCCTCATCAGAAGAAGAATTTGTTGAGCTTGGTTTTTCATCATTAACATTGCTCTCAGCCTCATTCTTCACTGGCTTCTCAACTTTAGGTTTGGGCTTGGGGATTCTATTTACAGTGGCAACCTATCCATCACATCATGAAGCGAAACAATATCAGCATTGTATCTTTTTTTTTTTTTTGGCAGTAGATGAAGAAATATTAAAGAATGTAAATAACGTGACAAGGTTCTGAATGAGCCAAAGTACCTCATCTTGAAGATTGAAGACCTTCCCATACACTTCGTCAGATGTAAAAATCGGCTTGCTCAATAATGAAGTCCTGATAACAGACAATCATAAACAAATCAGTAGAAGCCACAAATAGTTTATATGGTGGTTAAACCCCCCCAAAAGATTTATCGTGCATAGCACATTTTGGTCAACCAAAAGGTTCATTCACAGGGTTCTGTAGATGCATGCTAAAGATTACAAATGTCCATTCCATTGTCATATATGTCAAGGAAACAGCTGATCTGCAATTCAATTAAAAGTTATGCTGAAGTCAAAAGACTTATGCCAGAGGAAGTAAAAAAGAAACCTAAGAAAGATATGGCATCATCAAAGAGTTCCATTTTCCACGTTGCGGTTTCCATAATTGAAGAGAATAGCACCATAAGACATAGGACCTCTAAGCTTTTTAAGTTCTGAATATTCTTGATTCAAAAAAAAAAAAAAAAAGTTCTGAATAGTCATGTAAAACCATAATGAAATGCAGCAAAAGAAACAAAAATGGCTATACAAGTGGGAAAGGGACCTGAAGTCTATGAAATGAAAAACCAATGGCACCTTCAAATGGCTAAAGACTAGAAACTTACTTTTGCTGCTCAGCCTCCTTGTCATTCAACCATTTCTTCAACTTTTCAGCCTCATTACGTACCTGCGAAAGGTCAAGTATTCCAAATTTAAGATCAAAACAGAAACAATAAAGCTTAAAAATCTCGCAAATAGTATTGTAATAATGAAGTTGATAAGGTGAAACAAAACCACGGTGGAGCACCTTATCTACTCTCTCTCTTGGAAGCCATGACTTTTCAGTATCCCACTTGCTTATGATCTGAAAGATTAAGGAAAAGGTGAAAACAGTTGATTCACTTGTAAGTTCACAGAATTATAACAAACGCACACAGTGTTTCAATGTACACAAAGATCAGTCAGAGCATTCCTCAAACATTATATTGGCAAGAATTAATCCATACTTAAGAGAAATGAGCCACAAGGGTCCACCACCCTTACCTGTAAGGCTGTAACCAGAAAATCATTCTACAAAAGAAGAGAAATTAAGGTTCCCGGAAAACTACTTAGGATACGTTGAACTTCCTGAAAAGATTTTCTCAATATCTTACATAATATTTTCTCAATTTCGGAATCCAGAAAGTATTTCAAGTAATGCCTTCAGAGATTCGTTGAAATTCCTGATAAGATTTTCTCAATATAATGTGCTATTCTCTCAGTTCCGATATACAGAAAGTATTTCAAGTAATTCCTTTCGTATTTTCTTTCTTCTATTAGTGGCACCATTGAGGTTGAACGTGCTCAACATAAAAGACTTTCATTCAATCGAACCAAGCCTATATTCATCATTTTGAACTCTTACTGCCTCCAAAGCATTTGATCCTCCTATCAGAGGTGTGATTTATACTGCATCTCCTCATGACCTATAAATCTAAAGGAATGAAAGAAGACAAATTGGACAAAAATGGTTCCATTCAGAATTGCAAGGTGTGTTGTCTCACACGACAAAGGCTAAATTTAGGGTAAGGCCGAACTTAGAGAAATTTTGGGATTGGTTTCACATGATAACATGGAAATTAGCAACCAACGTATTCTGTATGGGAATTCTAAGAATTATCTCCATCTTATTCTCTTTCAGCTACATCTCTTGGGTTCTTCTTTTCTCATCTTAGCTTCATAGAACTCATACAACATCACCGGATATGCAATTAAAACATATATACTGACATCATCACTTATTACCATGTTCCTTTATGATCATCATCAGTTGTAACACATATTTAATCACTGTCCATTAAAGCAAACACCGAAAACCTACGTTCACATGGATATCGAACACCAAGACAATAAAGATGAATAACTCAATGACAAAACAAATCCAGTTTACCTGTTGGACCTCAGTGAGGTATTGACGAGCATACTGAACCGCAGTAGGACGGGCAGTGAGCTCATTGTATCTGCAATAAAGTATTTAAATGTTAAAATGACACTTTGACCAAATCTGACAATGTCTTTGCAAACCTCCAAACCGACCTAGAGAAGATAGGTTCACCGATAGCTTTAAGCTTATCTAAACGTTCTTGAAACTCAGAGGCTGATGCATCTTCACCGTCCATGTACAACCACTCTTGTACCTTAAACAACAAATATCCAATTTAGTTCACTAATCAAAGATGCCTGCCAAATGGAGAGATGGACACATTAAATAATATGATCGTAATGAGGAAAAACAAACCTCTTCAAGCTTTTCGGAGAAGGACTGCCGTTCTTGGGCAGAAGAAACTTTTTCAAACTCCTCAGATTCAAGCTTTAATAGAAGAGACATGAAAAAGAAGCAGAAACAAGTTTACTAATCATCTGAAGAGAAAGAAACAATACAAATACAGTGCCGGACACATGGAAAAACTACAGTAAACAAGCCCATGCAAAAATCAACTAAGGAAAAGGCACAACAGACGATCCAATAGAGGGAAACAACAAAAGGATACGGGCAGAAAGTTTAAAACCTTTTCCTTTGTGGTATAGATGTAAGCTTCCAAATCATTTTTCAGCTCTGCAGTTCTTTTCCTTTCTTCATCCTTTTTGTCAAGTGATTTCAGTTTTCGCTCAGCATCAGATAGAGATTCTATTGAAAGAGACATTGCTGGCCCAGTAGTCTTTTCAGTAATCTGCAGCAAAACAGAGAAGCCATTAAAAGCAGACCAACTAACTTGAATTTTAGTAGGAAGAAGGTAATTGCTTTCCTACTTCCAGAGGAGTAAGAATGCAAACCTTTAGTGGAACTCGGAAAGTCCGCTTCTTCAGTTTTTTCTCTGTGCCAAGATCTGTTGAACTATTCTCATTTGCAGCGGAATTTGATGCATCACTGGTAGCATCATTTAGTTGTGATTTGTCATTGTCGTTGTCGTCTGAAGTATTCTTAGAACCAGTTTCAACTGTTAAGTTGGCAGAAGCAGAAGTTGAGTTGTCTGCTGTGAGATTCTTTTTTGGAACTTCTACCCACTCTGTTATTTCAATGACAGCATCTGCTCGGTCCAAAGTAAATGTTCCACTTCTACTGAGGGAGAAATGTAAATTCGCCTTGATTGGGGAAGAAAGGTTCCTTGAAGAATACCTAAGAAAAATCGTGCAATTCAGTTAATTTAATGTAGAAATTAAAGCATGACTAACGAACCCAACATAGTAAAAGAACCAGAAAATCGAGTTCATACTTTTCGCTGGCATCAATAAGACCCGAGACTGAATACTGAGCAAAAGTCCTTGAAGAAGCACCGGGAGGCAACAGATCTTCACTCTCATATGCAAGTGAAACATCAAAATCTCTGTTGTGGACAATGGACCTGAACATCTGTAGTTGAATCGCAAGTGAGCCAAAAAAGCGATGAATTACTAAACCCCCATCAAACTTGGAACGACCATTCATTTCTTGGCAAATAATAAACATTAAATTATTTTACCTTACTAGGAAGCTTCTTCATGCGGGGAACAATTAATTGTCCATTGTTTTCATCTTTCACAAGATCAGGGCTATCTAGATTAAGCACGAACCCATAAGAAGAACCATCTATCATCCCTAGTTTACGATTAAGCTTTATTCCATCACTTAAATTTGCAGCATGTAATGAGGCGCCAAGCACTGTAGCTTCATCAGCATCTAGATGCTTGTCCAGCTCTTTCCTACCAAGGAATTCCTGAAGCTTAGCCTACAATAGGAGCATTTAATTAGTCATCCTTTTGAAGAAAAAATAAATTAAAATATAAAAGTTCATGAGTTCTAGCTTCATTTGGCGATACGGTTCTGAACTATTCTTGTTCATATTTTGCTGCAGATACATTTCCAAATGTTTTCAGAAATTCTGCTTTATTAACCACTTACTTGATATTATGCTTTAACAACACTGGGAAACCCAAAGCCCAAAGTTATTGAGACCCAAATCCCAAAGTTATTGAGACCATAGTACCAATTGTATTTTATTGTTTGGTTACAGTTCCATTTTTCCTTCATTCCCTGAAACATCTAAAACCGCTCTCCATTAGCTTTCGCTACTTATGTTTACCTTTTTTACAACCAGTAGCAGATAAATAATAATCATTCAGAAATTAGTATTTGTCTAACAAGCTATATTTAAACCAAAAGCGAAGCAACATTGCCATTCATTAAGTTAGGTGAATTACTAGTGCTTGTTTGGATGTTAACTCATTTTACATTTTAACTCATTTTACCTCTTAAACACAAAACCCAATGGAAAAGAAAACATCATCCAAACAACTTTCTGATTTACATTTTAAATTCCAAGTTGAAACACTTTTTGTTAGTGTAATAACCATTTTTGAAAAAGAAGTAGTTCAGTGACGAAATCTAACAAAGGAAAATCTTAGAGTGACAAATTTGCTAGGTTTCCGTTGTTTAGTGATTGTTTTTGGAAAAGTTCTTTTTTAAAGTGACTATAATTGACAGTATTTAATTGTTTAGTGATGATTCCTACTTGATATTTCAAAACGTAGTTCAAAATATTTTTTTCAAAACCAACATTCAAACAACTTTTTGCTCAAAATACCATCCAAACAACATTTTCATTTCCCATTTAGTTTTCAACTTGAAACACTTTCCACTTTTAAGTGGCAAAATGAAATGTAAGATGACATCCAAACAAGCCATACTCACCTGCAATTTTGGCACCCGAGTAGCACCTCCAATCATCTCCACAGCATATATCTCATCTATCTTCAAACCAGAGTGCTCAATGACTTGTTTTAGTGGGGAAAGGGCTCTCTCCCAAATGTCACCACAAAGCTCTTCAAATTTTTCACGACTTATTGTGCTCCTGCAAAAGTCATCTTAATCAGGACAACTTATAAAACGCCATTCGGGATAGTAGAATTGCTCTATCAGATGTGTTCAAAGCACAGCCAAAAGCCGAAGCACAAAGGAATCACTATCAGAACTTGAAAAACAAAAAAAGAAAGGAACTACCGATCCAATCATAAACTGCGGCAAAAGTTTACCCTAACATAGTATTGTTTATCATGCTATCAGGATGAGAAGACCAAATCACATCTACCTAGAAATATCTTTATCCCAAGTTTCTAGATGCCCACAGATTATATAAACCAAGAAAAGACATCTAGTTAATCAACTAGACTTAAAGCTACCAGGCAAAACAGAAGTCTGTTCACATATTAATCCAGATTCTTTCCTACGTTGATAGACTTTAAAACTCCAGCTGATGACGCAACTCAATGTAGGTCATAACAGAACAACTACAACTACAGAGCCTTTACCCCTAGTAGCTTAGATCATTTCTCCATCATTCTCTGTTAAAACATCACTTAATTCAAATAAATTACATCTTTACTTAATTGTCTTTCCGGGGCCTCTAAAGGTTTCCAAAGTGTGACTATCTCATTTTCTTCTCAACTAGTTCTACTCTCACTTTCATTCTACTGCACTAATCATTAATCTATCTTTTATCCCTGCAAAACCACATCAACATTGGGGTGGGAGGGTTGGGTGGGGTGGTTAGGGGATCAGGATGGGGGATGGTTATTAACAGGAGGTCGAGGGTTCGATTCTCGCTGGGGCAATCCAACCTTTTTTTTTTTTAATCAACATTCTCATTTCTACTGCCCTCCATGGTTGTTTGCTTCCACATTTACCAATCAAGCACTCTGTTCCATAAAGCATAGTCACACCAGTCCTACATTTTTACTTTTCCATTTAAACAATGATGTGGAAAAATTATTTTCTGGCTCTACTTGGTTAAAAATGACAAAACAAGCTTTTAAGAAGAAAGCATCAAAAGTTGGGTTGAAGAGAAACCCATAACCCTGCAACAAGTTATGCTTTCAGATGGATGGAACTTACCTAAAATCACGATCATCATAAAGAGATTCGACAGATATGGGAGCCATGGTATTTGCACTCAAAATTTCTTTTGTGCGCTTAACCTGCTTCTTCAGTTTGGCCATGGCTTTCGGAGATGTTCTCACATCAAAACCAGATCCAAGCTGTTTATTGAACTCATCAGCAAAGTGTTCCACCAGCCTCAGTTCCATGCTTTGACCCCCAAGTCCTGCATCCCATCTAACATCCTTTACCTGCAATAAGCAATAAGCACCATGTTCAACAGAAAGCTAGTGAAACGCATCCCAAAAAGACAATGTACCTTCCATTGCTACGTGACACATTAACTTTTCTTTTGTGTCAATTACAAGATCATGGCATCATTTCCTCTCTTATATGATATAACAACTCTTATTATTCCATGAGTAAGTACCACACTCCCTCCTACACATCAAATGATTCTTCATATAAAAAATTATTCCCCTACGCTGTCCAAGTAAAAGAAATTAATCTAAAGAAACCATCTATACTTTCTGAAAATGCACCACATATATTCTCCCGTATTCCTCTTCCAATACTTCACAGAAATTAGAAGTTCCAGAAAAAACTCTGAAAACTAATAAGAACTTGATGACCAGAATGTTCAAATGCAAAATACTAGGAACTCAAGGTTACCTGGAACTGATTAACGGACACAGTCTTCCCATATTCCTTAGCGTTATAAGTAGAAAAATAGACGAGGGCAGCATAAGTAGTGGTAGCACCCATATCATAGAAAATGACATGCCTTGATCCATTGGAAAAATCCTTATCAATCCCATACTGCAATGCGGCGCCGGAATGCTCATTCACCAAAGCAAGCACATTTACGCCGGCCAGCTCCGCCGCCTCGATCAAACCCTTCCTCTCTGGCACCCCCATGAAAGGCGGAACCGTGATCACGCAATCCTTCACCGGGACCTTGGCGTGACTCTCCGCCAAACTCAACGCGTATTTCAGCAGCATGGCCACCATTTCCTCAGCCGAATACTTCTCGCCATCCTCCGTTTCCACCACCGCCACTCCGCGTTCGGGATCGGGGCTTATTTGGTAACTCAAGTATGACGACTTCAAAATTTTATCACTGGCGTAGGAGTAAGGTTTCGCGAGGAGTTCTCGGAGAAGAGAATAAACTTTGTTGGGATAACGAGCGAGGAGATTGGAAGCCTCCTCGCCGATTAGTCGGGAGCCGGAGTGAAATGCGACGAGCGAAGGAGTCTTCCGCTTGGACATTTCATTTATGGCGATCGAAATCGGCGACTGGCCTGGTTTAAGGTTAACGACGGCGACCTTGAGCCATTCAGAGCCAAGATCTATGCTGCAAACAGCCGATTGCGACGGCGCCGGCGAAGATAAAAACAGTATTGACAACAACAATATCAAGAAGGAGTAACGGAACGACATCGTATTCCTTTCCGGGAAAAAGGAATCGACGGGGAGATTTTGAGTGTTGGTACGTGATTGCCGTCTCGCCGGAGAAAGGTGAGTGAAAAATCCGGTCGGAGAAAATTCACGGCGGGTTTATATTGGGTGGGGAGTGGTACTGCCGAGGTGGAAAGTGAAGTGGTGAAATGGCGAATCATATGCTGCCACGTACAAGGATGTGCACGTGGAGGAATTTGAAAGGTGCGCTTCGTTGTTCTTCGCGGCAGTTGTAGATCTTACTACTAGGTGACGTGTCCCTACCTATGAAATTTAGGCATTTTTTGCCAACATATTTTCAGCCCAATATGCGTGTTTTTTTCCTTCTTCTTTTTTACATTTACTACACTTCAAAAAAAAAAAAAAACTTGCAGTTTCATATAGGTTTGATGTTTTGTATATTCAGAGTTTAATAGAAATGTCTGCTTTCATTTGCCAATCCAATATTTACTCAGATTACTATTATCAATAACGTACGTATGGAAGCATATAATTGTTTGTCATGTTGAAATGCAGGAAATCAATAGCTAGTTTTCAACTAGAAAGAAAATTGAAATGTGGAACTCTGAACTGGTCAAATACGAAATGGAAACTTTGGGAAAACTATATTGGAATTTCATGGAAATAATACAGAATTGAACGTGAAGTTTTTGCTCTACGAATTATTCAACTTGAATGAATGAATGAATGAACTGACTTAGACTTACAAAAGTAGGGTCTTGCAAATTAGACACTGCAATGTATGGACTTGATTCAATTTCAACCATTTGAACTGATTCAACTTATAACTAAGAAAGTGGTTCATCATTGCCTTCCCTCTCCATACAAGTGTCAAGTTTATCGACTCTTCTTAATTGTGGGACGGAAGGAGTAGTATTTAGTTACGGGTTTACTTTAAATTCCCCCATGCATGCTGATGAGCTGATTAGACCCACCTATTCAAAAAAACATGGGGAAGAAACAAACTGATCATATGCCTTCCTTTTCCTCTCTTTTAGCTTTCTTGATTTCCTTCATCTTCAAGGAAATTTTGGCAGCAGAGTTCCCAAGTGCTGTTGTTCCTGTTAATGTGGGATTGGTTCTTGATATGAATTCATGGGCTGGGAAAATGTCTTCAAGCTGTATCTCTATGGCTCTTTCTGATTTTCATGAAACCCACAGTTATTATAAGACTAGGCTGTTTGTTCACTCCAGAGACTCCAATACCACTGTCATAGGGGCTGCTGATGCAGGTTTTAATGTCTTCTTCCTTTTCTTTTCCTACTCCATTGTTATTGTTTTACACTTTAGAAGCATACTTTCTGGAATAATCTGCATGATTATTGTGAATAACTTCATGGTGGTAGATTTAGTTGGAGTATTTCATACGTTGCTTTGTATGGTTTCAACTTCATTTGCCTATTTAGACAATTTTAGGATCAAGAGACTTTATTCATTATTGTTTTGGTGGATGCCCTGAATTGCAGCTGTAGATCTAATGAGGAATGAGAATGTGCAAGCGATTCTTGGACCACAAACATCTATGCAAGCCAATTATGTGATTAATCTAGGACAGTATGCCGAGATTCCTATCATTTCATTTTCTGCAACCAGCCCTACTCTGTCGTCTTTGAGAAGTGAATACTTCATCAGGGCCACTCTTAATGATTCATCTCAAGCACAAGCTATTGGTTCCCTGGTTCAGGCCTTTGGTTGGAGAGCAGCCGTGCCAATCTATGTCGACACTGAGTTTGGAGAAGGGATCGTCCCATACTTAAGCGACGCATTGCAAGACGTGGAGGCTCACATTCCTTATAGGAGTGTGATCCATCCATCAGCATCTGATCCTGAGATTGTTGCTGAGCTTTACAAGTTGATGACAATGCAGACCAGAGTTTTCATTGTGCACATGCCTCCCACTCTAGGCTACCGCCTTTTTGCCCTAGCGAAACAGGTGGGAATGATGACTGAAGAATATGCTTGGATCGTAACTACTGGGATGACAAATCACTTGAGTTTCTTGCATCCTTCTAAGAAAAAATACATGGAGGGAGTATTAGGAGTGGTACCGCATGTTCCAAGAAGGAAAAAACTTAATCGGTTCATCAGTCGCTGGAGAAGGAAAAATCAACAACTTATTGATGACCATGTTGATCTCAGCTTCTTCGGATTATGGGCTTATGATGCTGCCACTGCACTTGCAAAGGCAGTTGAGGGAGCTTATATCTCGACAATGAGATCAAAAGAAACTATCCAGTCTAGTTCAGTTCATCATCAGGTGTCTGCAATCTCACAAATAGGGAAGTCTCTCCCAACAGTATTATCAAAGACCAGGTTCAATGGCCTTACTGGGTCTTTTAATATTGTAGATGGACAGCTGCAATCAGCCTACTTCAAAATTCTAAACATCATGACCAATGGGGAGAGGGCTGTTGGATTTTGGTCCCCGGAAAAAGGATTGACTAGAACTTTGAAACTTCCAGAGTCCAGATTGTACTCTTCTTCACAAGTGAGCTTAAAGGGAATTATATGGCCAGGTGATACCACATCAACCCCAAAGGGTTGGGTTATACCCACAAATGGGAAGAAATTGAAAATAGGAATACCAGTCAGAGGTGGTAATGCTTTTGTGAATGTTGTAAGAGATCCATCCACCAACAAAACTACTTTCACAGGTTACTCCATTGATGTCTTTGATACCCTAATGAACATGTTGCCATATCATGTTCCATATGAATACGTTCCTTTTTCAAAGCCAAATGGTGAGAGTGCAGGAACATACAATGACTTAGTCTATCAAGTTTACCTCAAGGTGAGTTACAATCTGTTGCTGATGCGATTTGTTTTCAGGAATTTCTATTACTAGTTTAATTATTGCAGAGAAAAAATAACCAAATATATTTTTGTACAGTGTATCTTCTTGACTGTACTAAAGTGATTATGTGCAGAAATTTGATGCCGTTGTAGGGGATATTACCATTAGAGCCAATCGGTCAACATATGCTGACTTTACCCAACCCTACACTGATTCTGGCATAGCCATGGTTGTGCCTCTACATGACAGAAGGACAAAGAATGCATGGGTTTTCTTGAAGCCATTGACATGGGATCTTTGGGTTATAAGCGCTTGTTTCTTTGTCTTTGTTGGTTTTCTGATTTGTATTCTTGAGCACCGGACAAATGAAGAATTTGCTGGAAACAATCGCCAACAAGTTGGCACCGGCTTCTGGTTTTCTTTCTCGATCTTATTCTTTGCTCATAGTAAGTCCCTCTTCCTCAGATACACATTAAAAATCGTTTATGCCAAGGAAGGTTGGGTAGTCAGTTTCATGTTCCCATGATTGTTGCTTCACTCATTTTAAAATTGATTCCATTTTTTTGCTCTATTTTTGCAATCATGATTTTCACTGATTTGTCTAACTGTAATGCAACCACAGGGGAAAAAGTGGTTACCAATGTTGCAAGATTCGTGGTAATCATATGGTGCTTTGTGGTTCTAATCTTAACTCAGAGTTACACTGCCAGCTTAACATCAATGCTGACCATCCAACAGCTTGAGCCGAGTGTGGCTGGTATCCAAGATCTTATCGCAAATGCAGATAATGTAGGGTACCCAAAGGGTTCTTTTATTGCAGAATTATTAATGCAGAAGCTCAAGTTTGATGAGTCAAGGCTCAAGGAATATGATACATTAGATGAATTAGAACTTCTTTTCAGCAAGGACAAAGCACATGGTGGTATTGCTGCTGTGGTTGATGAATTACCCTACATGAAGATTTTCCTGTCTAAACATTGCTCAAAATACACCATGGTTACTCCATTTATCAAGACAGATGGATTTGGCTTTGTAAGCTCTGATCATTTTAATGTTTTTTTGAAATACTCTCATCTATGCATCAAGTTTATGTATCTGATGATCTTCTAAGTGATTTGGCAGGCTTTTCCGATTGGTTCTCCACTTGTACCTGATGTATCCAGAGCTATTTTGAACCTTACTGAAGGCGACAAATTAGTTGGGATTGAGAAAGAATGGTTTGGGCAGCAAAGCAATTGCGAACAGAAACCAGGCAGACCTGATCTTGTGATACCATCATCTCATAGTCTAGGAATCGATAGCTTTTGGGGCCTTTTCCTCATTGTTGGGATTGCTTCTTTTATCGCCCTCATCATCTTTGCATCAACGTTCATGTATGAACATAGGAGGCATCTGGCGGAAAACAGCTTTAGAGCAAGAGAATTGTTTGGCAAGATTGCTTCATTCGCTGAATGTTTTAAGAATGTGGAGGAAGATGTTCCAAATTCCAGACAGACAGACATGTCAACTCACTCCAGTGGGTCCATCTATGCATTAGGGCATTCAGGGACTAATCTGTCTAATCGATCATCATCAAGCAGATCCAATAACCTAGAAGGTGGGAGTTCTTAAGCTATAACATACCTACGAAATTCACAAAGTTAACACATAATTTTATTGGTGACTAGGTAGATAGTGGTTAAGATATTGTAGGATATATCTATATAAGCTCTTTAGTCATTTTAACTTTTTCTCAATTTGTATGACTTTGAGACAAAAAGTTAATACCATGTGAAGCTTGAGTTTTCGCTTAGACCCTCAGCAGGACTAGAACAGCTTTAGCGAATCGTCACATGATGGGGATGACATAGTGATGAGAATTTTGTTCAGAATGATTTCACACATCTACGTGTTTGACACCATTTTGATATGACAATGTGTACAATATCGAAAGAAATGAAAAGTTGCAAAGTTTTATGTTCATACATTCATGTGTAGAAGCTTCCAACACACGATTTGGCATATTTTTCCGTGTGGTTCACTAAGTAAAAGTATTTCGTTTCTCAGTTTATATTTTCAAAATCCACTAATATTCAAAGAACTTGATATTTATGAGCCAAGTTCAGTAGCAGCAATATTGCACAGTACATGGCTTTTTTTGTTCAGTGCTTGGAAAGGGCAATGGTTGTTTTGTGGTAATTTTTGCTAGAAATGAGGGAAGGACAAGGAGAGCTGAAACTCCAAGGAAAGGGTCATTTCATTTGAGGAGGTGATTGCTGTTAGAACTGAGGAAAAAAGAATGAGATTAAATTGGCATGTTTTAATTGGGAAATCATCAGGCTTGGATTTGGATCTTGATCCAGGGGTGACATCATTCACTGGAACAATTTTAGTTGAGATGGTATGTAATTTATTTTTAGTTTTCCGTTTTTTCAATCTCTCGCATCAGGGCTATCATTGTACTTTTCTTTTCCCATTTTCTGGTTTATTTTGAGGAGGCTTTAAGTGCAAGCATCTACACATACAACTTTGAACAGGAAATTAAGTGCTTCCCGTCTTCTTTTGGCATGTTTGTTGTGTTTTAGGGCTTAATATCATCAGAGATACACTGAGGTTTTCCATTCGGAAAACACAAGCAGCACAGTCCCATGCACAAATAGATGCGAAACTTCTTCTGTGAATCATTGTTGTCGGATTATCTTGTGAACTGGTGTATATTTATTGAAGGTTTGCAGTTTTTTATGCATGTAGATTCAACTTTCATAATATCAGTTGGAAACTTTATTCAATCTTTATGGCATTATTGAGAAAATAACAATGTTTTGAATTAGTTGCTGTCTTTTATAGCTAGATGTATAAGATCCAATCAAGAGTCTGAGTTCATAAACCTGTTTCAAGCGCCCTGTCGAAAAGTAAAAAAATTGCTGCAATTGAAAAGGTCACTGATTGTAGCAAACCAAACTAAATTTTTGGAGAGCTACCTTTGGCATTAAATCGAGGAGGTTGAACATGCAGCTGCTTATATGACCGATTGCGAAGTTCTGTAAAGAAAGCCGGAGTTCTGATTTCTTCCATAACTCCTTTGAGTAGTCACAGTGGAATAGCATGTGCATGATGTCTTCCGGTTGGCTGCACCTGATGCAGTTCGGATTGACCTCCATATGAAGATGTCTCAAGTTCAGTTGTGTGGCCACGGAGTCCGACAGAAGACGCCAAATAAAGTGCTTCACTTTTGGAAAATATCCAAACCCCATAGTTTGCATAGAGCGCGTTTGATGCAGAATCATCGGATTGATTGATCAGGAGGTTGGATTGGTAGCTTGGGTGAGGGAGGAGGATCTTATAAGCTGAGGAGACTGTAAAACGACCATGAGTGGTATAATGCCATACCCAAAAATCTCGTTCTGATGACCAACTGAGGGGAATACTCTCGACGATTTCTGCTTCTTCCTGCCGAAGAAGTTGGTTGAGCAAGTTTCTGTTCCATGTCTTAGAAATTGGGTCTATGAAAAAACTGACTTTGGAATCTTGGAAACTTGGAGGCCTAGGTGTGTTTATCTTGATGGTGAAAGGTCGCAGTAGCCAGGGATCCTCCCAAGCGTCTACAGTCGTTCCAGACCCAATGCGTTTCCGACAACCATTAAGAATAACATCTCTTCCTTCAATGATTGATCTCCAGCTATAAGAGGGTGAAGAACCAATCGGAGCTTCAAGGAATCCGCAATGTGGATAGTACTTAGCTTTTAGGAGTTGAGCCAGTAATGATCTTGGATTGACTAAAAGTCTCCAAGCTTGTTTTTCAAGAAGAGTCAGATTGAAAAGTTGAAGATTTTTAAAACTCAAACCTCCTTTTTCTTTTGGCAAACATAAGTGTTCCCATCTTTTCCAGTGAATTCTTTTCTTGTCTCTTGAATCTCCACACCAAAAACTTGCTAGCATTGCATGTAGTTCATCACAAAGAGTGTCCGGTAGCTTGAAACACGTCACGGCATACATTGGAATAGCTTGTGCTACAGATTTGATGAGGATTTCTTTTCCTGCTTGTGAAAGGAATTTTTCACACCAACCATCAATTCTAGCTCTCACTCTATCTTTTATATATGTGAACATTTCTTCTTTCCATCTCCCAAAACAAACTGGCAGACCCAAGTATTTGTCATGCATTTCCTGTCTTTGCATACCCAATCTTGCAGCTATTTGATTAGCTATAAGCTCAGGGAAATTTTTGCTGAAAACAACGGCTGACTTTTCATAGTTGATGGTTTGACCAGAGACTTCTTCGTAGAGCTTGATAATTCTGATCATGGTATCTGCTTCTGTGAAGTTAGATGGCCATATAAAAGCGTATCATCGGCGAAGAAGAGATGAGTGATTTTTGGTGCCGTGGGGGTAATTTGGATACCTTTCAAGTTACCAGCCCTATGTGCATCCTGCAATAATATTGAAAAAAAGATAAGACGACTGACGAAGCATAGATTTGTATCGACGTCTCCAGTTAATTGAACCGGCGGCCTTGGCAGTATCGAAACCCTAAAACCTGCAAAAGAGGGCCTCGGGGCCTCCCGATGGTAGACACTCCGATGCTTAAGTCAGTAAGAGTAATTGTAATGGGGTATGAATTGTGGTGCGTAGAGCGTACCTTTAACCGTGAAGGGTTGATCCCTATTTATAGAGCTAGATTATTGAACCCTTTTTTAGTAGAAAAGTAATTACGAACTGACCTAGAGGCTTCCAAAGGCCGGTTGGATCTTTCACCGAACTTGGACCGGCTTAGTCGCAGGCCGTACTAATTTAGACTCTTCAAGTGCCCCTTATCAAGCCTATACTTCGAAGTCTGAAGATAGGGTAGGCTTGATAACGTGAAGTATATAGTTTCCTCAAGTTCGAGAAAAACTGAGTTGGATCGAGAACCTGCGATAGGTTAGCATCAAGGAGAGATTAAAGCAATAAAAGCATTAGCGCATACCTTTCCCGATGTGCATGTCGCTTATAATGATTGACATTGAAGTCTGAGGAAGATGAAGTCACTAGTCCAGACTTTTAATCGAGAAAGCATTATGTGATGGTCTTCACAATCTGCATCAGAGAAATATCGAGGCGAATGCCCCGCTTCTTGAGAGGATTACAGAAGAAGAAGTAGTGGAGATTCCCACTATTTCAGATATAATGGTGTGTTGTCAATAACCGACAGAACAAGAGATCTGCTCGAAGATTACAATGCGCACTTCAGATCGAGAAGCATTAACTCCAAATCTCGAGAATAATGAATGAGAAGCGATATCAACTAATCTCGTGAATAGAGACAAGAGATATGCCTAAATGAGGTTGAACACATGAGTCTCAAAGATTTTGAGAAGATAAGCTCGAGAAGAAATATAAGCTGGAGCTGCATACTAAGAACTTGGCCCAAGATAATCTGTTGTTGAGAAGGAATCACAGCGGAGATTCCCACTAGTCTCAAAATATATACCATTAGCAGCGGCTAAGATATATCCACTGTCGAGATGAGAAGTCCATTGGAGAACTGTGACATACACTTCTGACTGAAAGGTAATAGAACCAAACCTTCGAGAAAAAACCACTGTGTAGTGGATTGAGAAGCACCATGAATAAAGACAGAATATTCTATTGACACTCGATGTCGAGGACATAATTCTGGGATTGAACTGCACCCCGAGAACTTGCCCCTATGTGACCTTCTGTTTAAGAAATCTAGAGACTCGAGAAGACCAGCTCGAGTGTAATATAACATCAGAGAGAAGAGACTGTCATCATATACATCCTCGGTTGTCGAGGAGAGAAAGAAGAGTAGAAGACACCGTAAGAGATGCCACATGTGATATCCATAATGCAGAGATAGTGAGACTCGAGAAGATTCTCTTGAGTAGAGCTCCAGACCAAACTCAAGAACTGTAATCATCTGACCTCAAACAAGATACACAAGCATTTAAGCTTATTTATATCCGTCCAACCGACCCGCTTGCTATTTCTCATATCCCGAGAAATAAAGCATAGAACCCTCATTCCAGGTTTGAGAAGTATAAATCAGGTTGATGTGTCGAACCCAAGTAGATGTATAATGACGTTGCCCGAGATTCGAGCAAGAATCGAGGAGGTATTACGCATTAGTGTGAGAAGGAATGATGCCACAGTCTGAGGACCATCGAGAATAGTCATAGGAAGAGATTCGTAAACCAATAACCATCGAAAAAACAAAAACACAACCTCCCAAACACCTCCAATACACCTTACACACCTTCCAGACGCCTTACAATCTCCCATATATAAACACTCCTCGTTATAGATACCCCGGAGCCATTACTCATCTCGGAGTCCCCAAGTCTTGGGGTGACATTTGGCAGACCAAGACTTTAGATGAGAGTGTAATTCCCGCCGCTCAGTTCGAGGAGGTGCCTGACCAAGAAGCCCCCATACTCATAGGGTTAAGGCAATAAAATGGCGTCTATCAGAAGGAGATAGACGGTAACCACCTTACAGAAGGAATAGGCCTGTACTAACGAGGCACAAAGTGAATTCAAGAACATCGAGAATAAAGTCGTTTTCATTCTGATATATTGGATGATATGATATATCGATCCAAGAAAGTATACTCGAGAACAAGTTTTGTTCTCATTGAGGTATAAAACACATGTGTTTAGGTTCGAGGGATAGTCCACCCATTGTTCATGAACATGAAAATCTAGGCCTTTCTCAATACCGGATGTCGAGTACACGGCTTGTGAGTTATTTGTAAAGCGCTTATAATGGCCGAATGTTAAGTACACGGCTCTTTTGCAGGCGATCTTGAAGAGGATACCTTTGTACAGACGATTCTGAAAAGAATGTCTTTTTAAGGACGATCCTGAAGAGGATATCCTCGAGAAAACTAGGTACGAGTTCCTCGAATACAGACGATTCTGAAAAGAATGTCTTTTTAAGG